GGAAAATATCCATCGTAGAGGCTTGTGGCCAAGAGAGAAACCTGGAAAATATTTTCAAGTTTCTGAAATGACCGCCAAGCGGCGTAACTGCAACCTTGAATCTGAAAAAGTGATGTTTCTGTGAATTCAGATATTAACCTAACAAAAAAATACCTGATCGAGGATAATCTGAACCTTTGTTGTTTGATAATATTTGCTGTATTTCTAGAAACAAGGTGGTGGGGATATCCAAAGGTTTCCGTAAAAAACACTCTGAATCTTCTAAACGACTGAGCCGATTTTAACAAATTTGGGCTAGTTGAAAAAGGCTAAGAAAGTAATCTTCTGCATTCATCAGTCTAAAATGTCTTAAAGCTGAACAAATATAAACTAACCTCAAAACAGTTAACACGGAACAGTAGAAATCTATAAATAATAGTTCCATGACCACGACGGATTTTGACCCCATAGTCCTGCCTATCTAAAGAAGAGGAACATGCATGAAAATCACGGAGCCCATAAAGCTTTCCTTCGAAGTAAGTTAAATGAATTATTACACGCTAGAAAAAAGTTTCCTGGGACGTCTATGTTGACCACGCCATTATGTCGTCATATGTGCTCCACGGCATCATATCGCGTTAGCTGTGTAGCAACCAACAAGGCCTGCGAGACTCGTCCGCAGCCCTAAACTCATTACTCTAACAAAAGACTGTCATTGCCTGCATAAAAAGGTCATTAAAATCGGGGTTGGCTATGCGACGAGCGGTAATAGGGTCCGACGCCCCTACGGACTGCTCATCATCAGGGAGCCATTTTGTCTGTCTGGTCGTAGATTGTTCACAATTCGGGATGAACGATTATCTAAAAGTACAATGTGTAATGCCTGACAGCAGAATATACTAACTATGTATCTATATATTACATATTAACAAGCGTCTTTCCTGCGCGATCAATCCGATTGGCAGCATTCTACATGCAGGAGTTCAGAGTACAAGCCGATATCTATTGGTGGTAAGTTATTCGTAAAACTTGTAAGCTGTCCCCTACCTGATTAGCGTTTGCGGAAAAGACGAGTCATCATCTAGTTCTTTCTCTCGAAACACGTGCGAGACAAGAATATCTAGATGAACCTGCCGGCTCACATCTTACTATTCCGTTTTTTTTTCTGTTTTGTAACTATGGATACATGTCCACCAACTTACAATTAATATTGCAATAAAAAAGCACCAGAAAGTTAAATAAGTTGTTCAGGAGTGTCAGGTTTGTGTGGTTAAAAACGGGGTAAACACCCCAAAGATGCCTAAGGTTTTATTTTTCCCAAGGAAAATGACCCAATATGGCAACCCTGGGCGCTTCCTTAGAGCTCTCGCTCTAACATACGCGTTTCTCCTTCCACCTCGCTCATACACATTAAACAGGACACCGAATTATTCTCCGCCGATCCTGTATAGTGTATATAATAGTGGGCAGAGACCTTTATCCTTTCAATTTGCAGCCCGGTAGGTTCACCGTTGTGCGTATAATGTGTGGCAGGATTCGGACATGATTCAGTATAAATAACAATCAAGTGACCGTAGCATGGCGGCCATCTTTTACCCTCACTCCGTCGGACCCCGGAATGAGCGTGAGCAGAGCACACTTGGATGTTCCGTTGCTCTTATTTCATCTCGCAACGCAACGTAAAGTGTTGCACGCCTACCGAGATACAGATTGTAAAATACTGCGCGGCTAATAGCCGGTTAATTGTTTATAGTGCGCCGAGGAGAGGGATCGTTGGGAATCATACAGGGTGGTCTGTGCTTCAGGAATGTAAAATTAATCCAAGGCGTTAATCGACTGTTTTGAGAAAATAAGGAATAGCACCTTTTTTGTTTAATGAGTGTCAAGTTTTATTAGAACGAATAAAAATTTGAAACAGGAAACTAGTTTGGCAATCAAGATATTATCATTCAAAATACGCAGCAACCTAATGTCATCCTGTCACACTTTATGTGGCGTTTGATAGGAAAAAAATTATTTCCTATTCATACCTGCATATCTAGTTTCCACTTATCCAAGACAGACTATAATTTGATGGTATGGTTATTATTGTTCGGTACTCATACTGCAAAGCTTTGCGATCCCTAGTTTTTCGGAAAACTATCATAAGTTCAAGATGACGTCGGGCGGGACATTTTACACACATAGCAGCAAGAGTTTATTTTTTCTGATTTACAGTTAAAATAACTGTGTTCCTTTTTAAGACCCGTATCGTCAGTCGCCCCTACAATTGTAGGGCGCCTTTATGGCCTCCTTGATTGTCATAGTTTTCTACTTCTCCGTGTCAGCGCTCTATTTTGAGGTTATGTCACAAACATCTATTTGCATCAAATTGTGCTTGCTTTTGAGTTACATCATGTTTTATCAGCCTGAAATTTCCTACAATTTAAAAAGAAAACATATCTTTACAGAAGGCAGAAGGAGAGCGCTGACGCTGACAAGGGACAAGTGTAATCTAGAAATTTTTGAAGGAGAGAAAGAAGTATGACAATCAAGGAGGCCATAAACGCGCCCTACAATTTTAAGGACGACTGACGATACGGGCCTAAATACATGTATTTTGTTTTTCTATCATTTAAAGCAATGATCCCTAGTCAGTATATTGACAAACATGATTTTTGTTATCTGCCTTGTTTATTCACTAATTTTTTAATTAGAACGACTTTTGATTATCATTCTCTTACTACAATTATTGATTAAAATATACCTACCTGCCGCAAAGCAGAGTAAAATCTCCCTAGAACTTGGGTAATGTTTCCCAGCCACGCGGTAGACACTAGCTGAACGTAATGTCCAATAGAATTGTCAACTTGGAAACTGTGGAAGATTTCTTTAAGAAGAATAGAGATTACTAACTTCGCTTTACTACCACATTTAAATCATAACAATGCTCATTCTTCATGAATTTATGTGCTTTTATTTGGAAAACGGGTCAAGTCTCCTAATTCAGTAAACGAGCAGGATTTTATTTTAGCTGCTTATGTGCTAGACTGCTAGAGGATCCACAGCTAGCCTAGTCATGAAGCAACGATATGTATTTCCAGGCAGTATAGCTTCGGTTTTAATTTTTAACTGGCATTGCGACTGGAGACTCGAGCAAAGGAAGCATATTGATAATTATAACCTGCTATTCCGTCTTTACCCTTCAGACACACCGGGGCGCAAGCCAAGATCCCCAGCCTAACGGTGGGCCTCCAAATGTCTCCAGATTTCCAAAAAAATGTTTCCGATAAGCAAATCTAGGTACCTAGCATTTCGCAAATACTGGAAGTCAATAATAACATCTGATTTTTTCAGAAAATAAGCAAGGAGATGTTAAAACTGAATATCTATATCATCTCGATAACACTGTAACTAGTAATCATAATTAACATTTTAACTGTAAATTTGCAAATCCAAGCTTTATTTGTAAAGTCTGTAACACATTCCCCGTAAACTTATCTGCACATTTTATAAATAATATTCAAAAATGTATATTGTAAACGAATCTATAAGCATATACACACGTCCTTCCTTTTCAATGTTTTCGAAATTGAAACTAAAGACACCAAAAGGTTTAAATAACGTGAAAAGCCAATCAACTACTACATACTAGCAAAACCAACAAAACCATCACTATCGGAGTCATCTAGCGGACACAATTTTTACCAGCTTTCATATCATATAATATTAATAAAGTTTACTCTGTAAATTATTCTTGATGTAGACTCCGACCCATAGATGACACACATGCAACGTGCAGTGGCACCATCTATGACATGATTTGCGAACACTAAATAGTTTTATCAATTTCTTCTTCAATTAGCTGCAGTTCAAATAGTATTCACTAGACAGCGCCAGTAGCTTTGTCACAGCGTCATCTAACGATCGAATAGCGAACACAATATTTTTAATTACAAATATCCTTCATTTTAGGCACAGTTGAATAATCGTGCACTAGATGGTCCGCAAGTACATTGCAGTGGCGACATCTATCGCCTAGAAAGCTATTTAACTTAATATTCTTTTTACAGAAACCTGTAACTGCCAAATTGCAAATACCAAAAATGATAATCTGAAGGTTGGTGTTTATCACTCCTGTATCTTAATACAATGAAAACTCATTCTGATTAAATTCTAGTAACATATTATGATCAAAAGAATGGCCGAAGCAAAAAAAGATTGTTTGAAGCTAGTTTTAACCACAATTTTAACTTGCGAGAATCACACCTACCATTTCGCAAATCCTGGAAGTCAATAGACAATATCTGATTTATTCAGAAAAAAAGCAAGATGTTAAAACTAAATATCTGTATCAACTCCATAACACTGTAACTAGTCGTCATAATTAACATTTTAAATGTAAATTTACAAATCCAAGCTTTATTTGTAAAGTCTGTTTATACAACTGGTAAACTTATCTGCATATTTTATAAATAATATTCAAAAATGTATATGGTAAACAAATCTATAAACACACGTTTTGCCTTCGCAAGCTTTTCGAAATTGAAACTAAACACGTACTAAAGACTCCAAAACGTCCTAAAAAACGTGAAAGTGAAAAAGCCAATCAACCACTACAAACCACAAAAGTACAAACCATTGGTCAAGAGTCATCTAACGGATACATCTGTTACCACCCTGCATGACATAAAACACCAATAGAGTTATCTCTACAGTCTTATCTATAAATCATTATTGATGAAAACTTCGACCAGTAGATGGCACACCTGAATCATGAAGTGGCACTATCTATGACACAAGTGTTCAACTGAATACGATTACAGATTTCATCTTCAATTATTACGTATAGTTCAAACAGTACTCACTAGATAGCGCCAGCAGCTTTATTACAGCGCCATCTAACGATCGAGTGGCCAATGTAACATTTTTAATTACAAATATCCTTCATCTTAGGCACAGTAGAATTATCGTGCACTAGATGGTGCGCAATTACATTGCTGTGGCGACATCTATCACCTAAGAAACGATTTAACTTAATATTTTTTTAAAATACCTGCAACTGTCAACCTGCAAATGTAAATATTGCGAATACCAAAAATGATAATTTTGAAGGTTGGTTTTATCACTTCTATATTTTAATACAATTCAAACAATGGGTATTTATATTCTGATTAAATCCTCGTAATATATTATGATCAAAAGGATGGCCGAAGCAGATGTAAAAGAGTGTTTGAAGCTAGTTTTAACTAGCGTAAAAGAAGCATGTAAAAGACGATCTCCTGTAAGTGAATTTCATCTCAAAACATTTTCTCCATTTCTCAACTTTTACGTAACATTTTGAAGGAATTACAAGAGCTACAACCCACACTGGTAGCAGTAAGCAAAACCAAACCAGTGAATCATATTATAGCTGCCTATGAAGAAGGCCAAAGGCACTTTGGAGAGAACTACATTCAAGAGCTGGAAGAAAAATCAAACAATGCAGAGATTTTGGAGAAGTGTAAAGAAATACGATGGCATTTTATCGGCCACTTGCAGTCTAATAAAGTAAATAAAGTTTTGAGTACACCAAACTTGTACTTGATCGAAACTGTGGACTCTCAAAAGCTAGCAAACTTATTGAACAAATCATGGCCTAAGTTTGGTACCCCAGAGTCAAAGTTGAAGATTATGATACAGGTCAACACAAGTGGAGAAGAAGGTATAATAGTTCCATCTTAACAGCTTTTGCTCATTTTATTCAACACTCATACCATTATTTTCCAAAAGATTCTATTCCACAGTTCAAAATGTTTCATACTTTTGATCCATTTGGCTTAACCTGGCCTATGAAAGGGCCCGAGTAAAGATAACATGGCCACGCAAGATAACTATTGAAATATACTTAGAAGACTATCCCTAGCGAAATTTTTCTCGAAATCGTTGCACACCCTTGAAAAATGCAAATGTTGGAAAACAGCCGCTTTGACGTACTAAATTACTCCATCGTTACCTCGGGATAGACATACGATCTTGTCACCTAGATTGCGGCGTTGCCAGCTCATCAGCAAATTTTGCTGGAATGTTATAAAAAACAGAAACTTGGATAAAATATTGAGGGATATTAATGGAGATATATAAAATTTGAGGTGTAGCAGTGTTTGCCAAGAAACTAAAAAAAAAGCTGTTATTTACAGTTTGCGTCGCCTGGCGTCTATGCGCACTTTTATAAATGCCCAGTTTTATAGGATAAAATACTTTTTGAACAGCCACGCCCCTTTCCAGCTCCCACTCCGCGCGTCTGCGTTTTATCTGACGGTATCACGAAGCGAATCGTTGTTTACGTTTAGGGGAGCGGACGTGCGGAGTGGGAGCTGGAAAGGAGCGTGGCTGTAGTACCCGGCCGTACCATATCGTCGCAGCGAGGTACAACACTCACACGCTTCAGTCTCTCTGCAACCGTCGTCGCAGCGGAATGTCCACGCGTTCACAGCTGCGTGCAGAGCTCTATTCGGTTAAGCTATTTTTTTTAATAGTGGTGTTCACTATAGGGTTCTCGATTGTCTCTCAGCTTTGGTGTTTTAGTGTTGTAACGTGGGTGCCAAGTGTCTCCAAAGTTGAAATTAGGTCTACTTCCAACTCTTCTGAGGGAAACAGGATACATGTGCGGCAAACTTGGTAAGCCTTGCATACGCATCTACTTGTGTGTTAGGGTTGACATGCTATGTTTTTTAAATAAATTACGTACATTGCATACACTGAGAGATTAGTCATATACTGAGGTATTTGGGAAAAACTAAAATGAGGCCAAATCATTTTTAATTTTGTCTGACTTAATTTTAAAAAATATCAAAAAACTAATAGTACTACATGATGGTGTTTTTAAATGTGCCCGAAGTGCTCAACATTTGAAAAGTTCGGCCCTGTATGTAATAGCATCTTTTTTTACATTTGTTTTTTAAAGTTATAAACAACAGTGTCTTTTTTTTCTATTTTTTCACTTTATTTAAGAAGGCGTTGCAAACAAATGCTTGATGTAAGATTATGTGATTACGGAATTTAACCTAGTCTGATCCTCATCTTGGCCACCCTGTAAACTATTAGCAAAGCCTCGAACAAAATACTATTTTTAGTCCAAGGAAATGGTGATAGTCTATAATTGACAGTATCGTGCTTTGATACTAAGCCCTTGGCACTATGTTTACGAAATATTGTGGAAAAAATGAAGCGTTGATTCTCTGGCGTTTTCAAACCGGGAATCTCAGCCCCGTGTTTAGGAAACTACGATGTCTTACCGTGGCTGTTGGAGGATACGTGGGCACCAATGTCTAACAAGAGTATGGATGTGATGCGTCCAAAATGCGTCAGCCTGTAATTCCACATGATCGACGACTTATAAGTTGGATTCAAGCTATCAAACTGTCCATTTTTAGCTTCCTCTGCGTATAAGAGGGATACTAATAAATAGTAGAGTAAAATGAAAATTATACTTCTCCTGTTAATGATCATGTAATTTTAGATCAAATAGTTAATAAATGTGTTTATATAATAAAACATTGTTTTTTACCAATTGTTGGTAAAAATTATTTTATCCTATAAAACTGGGCATTTAAAAAATGCTCAGAGACATTAATATTGCTACGTCTCAAATTTTATATATCTTCATTGGTATTCCTCAATATTTTATTCAAAACTTCTTTTTTTTTGTAGCATTCTATCAAAATAGCAGAGGTATCAAAATCGCCCGATGAGCTATAGCAACGCCGCAATACAGGCGGCAAGAATGACAAGCTTATCTGTCAAGACTGATGTCTATCCCGGGGTACCGACGGAGTCATTTAGAACGTCAAAGCGGCAATTTTCATTTGCATTTTTTAAGTGTTGTGCAACGATTTCGGCAAACATTTCGCTACGGATAGTCTTCTAGAGTGTAGTAGAATACATTTCAACAGTTTTTTTTTACTCTTAGCGGCCTGGTTTATCTTCCTATTATGAAATCATTAATTTTATATTATAGATATATTCAGTTAGTACTAGTGAATAAATGTGTTATTAGAACCTTTGCATATTTAAGTTATTTACTATCAAGATTACTAAAGCGTTTGAACCTGTTTCAGAAAAAAATGGGATTGCACCTTCAGAAGTATGCAATGTAGCAAAGTTTGTTTTAGAAGAATGCCCAAATTTGCATCTTGAAGGCTTAATGACAATTGGCAAATTTGGAAGAGATCCAAACGAAGGCCCCAATCCAGATTTCCTTTGTTTGAGACAGTGTAGGGAAGATATGTGCAAAAAATTAGGGTTGAACTGGAAAACAGTAGAACTGTCGATGGGGATGTCGGACGATTTTGAGCACGCTGTAAGTATGCAGTAATAATGATATAGAATATTGAATTCTTCTAATAAATTGAATTATTTTCTAAATCCAATTCAACATTCAGAATTAAGGATTTTTATTATTTTCTAGATTGAACTTGGCAGCACAAATGTGAGAGTTGGGTCAAAAATATTTGGTTTCAGAGCTCCCAAAACTGCCACTGCTTAATCTGTAGCAGCAGATTGAAAATGTTTTTTTTTTTATTATTTGTAATTTGTTAAAATGTCTATGTGATAGTTGTGTTTGAATTAAAGCCCATATCTGTGTTAAATTGCAGCTTCATTTGATTGCGTATAAATCTACTCAATTGATGAGTTGACAAAGGTCAGCAGGGAAGAGGGGATTGCCCACAACAAAATATTTCCAATGATACAAAGCTGTCACTTTGGTAGGCATTGGTAGACAAATGAGTCAAAAGTATGCAATAACGCTACGCAATTTCGGCGACAAAGGACTGATTCAAAAATCATCGGATATATGTACATATTTCCACAGAAAAATAGCATATAACTTGCTTATTCACATGAGTCTATATAGTGCTATACTTTTAAAACTTCATGAATTTCTATCATCCGTCAGTGTCAACTGCGAAAGCGGATTTAGAGGCCCAGCCTCCCATACACGCCCAAGTTGCCATCGCCACTCTTGCGAGTTTGCTGATTAGCATCATAAGACGTAAGGTTTGACTAGTTTTTAACATTCCGTATCAGCGCGCGCTGTAACCAAAACTTTGTAATCGCCTGTTACCTGTTAGACTCTTACTGGTTTACAAATAAAAAGATAAAAACAGCGACCCATTGGCTTGACGATTAGCTCATAGATGTCTCTGCATGTATTGAAGCGGTGTTGCCAAGCTGCCATGAAATGTTTATAAAACGCTACATTTGTACTATGTTCAACTTTTCCACGTTTTTTTGTGACTATGTCAAAAAGTCATACAAAATGGATAAACCCAACGATTGAACATGTCAAATAGACCGACGACTGGTCAAATAAGCAATAATTTGAGGTTAGAAAACTTTTAAATTTAACTGACACGTACTTTTATTACTAAACTAAATCGTGTAGTAAAAGTGTGATTTATCACTTTATTGAATGGAAAATATATTTCGTAGTTTGTAAATGAACGATAAATATTTCCACCATGAATAAATGTCCAGACAAAAGTGAATTTGAACAAAAAGATGCGTTCACTATAAGTGATGATCAACGAATTCATTCAGAATCAGAAATGACCTGGCAATACCGTATTTATTTTTTACTAAACTAATGAGAACAGCCGTGTTTAGGCGCAATCAACTGTTGCCATGTTTTTCTAATTCACCGTATCTGTCTTCTCTCATATCTATAACTACTGTTTGTAGCATAATAAAAGTCTGAATTTTTCATGAATTTATTTCTCCTCTTTCTTCTTAACAAAACAAGCAAAGAAAAATCCGACAGAATCCACATCACATTCTGAACCAAATCTCTGCACAAGTCTTCTGTCTTCGTCTGCCAATACACCAGCCCATCCAGGAGACCCCATTGTAATTTTGGGTTTGATAAGTTTTAGATTTTCAAATGTTTTCAAGGCCCACGCGACCATAGCTTCGTTTTCGGCGAGAGTTATAGTGCAGGTGCTGTAGACCAATGTGCCGTTTGGCTTCAACAATTTCACTGCCTAAAATTGATTTAGTATATTATAGTCCAGGAAGTATCTTCGCATCTTGCCGGAAAAATATTTTGATTCGATTTTTTGCATGATTTTCAAAAATGATCTCTTTTCAATCGTTTTAAGTTTAAAGTTGACAGTGTTCGAGATATAAGCGAGTTATCATTTGAATAAGTGCAAAATATTCCATTTCCAACCCCAAAATACAATATAAGAAAACGAATATTTCAATGTTGCCAAAGTTCCTAAATATTCTTTATATATCCATTAACAAAATTTCGAAGCATTTTAGGTGGTATTATTGTTGTGAACCTTTTTTTTAATTGTTAATAAAGCTCGCACTCAATGCATATTCTGCGTGAGCGACAAGCTCACAATTACAACATGTCACACGTGAAAGTAGATACTTACAGATTCGAATAATTTTCTTTGAATCGGCACATATGACCTTATTTCCTTCTTGCTCAGCCTGTTGACAATCTGCGGCCTTTTCCCCAAAACGCTGCACGGTGCGTCCAGTAAAATCCTGTCAAAAGCCTCGGGCGAAAATGGTGGTCCATCACAAACAGTTTTATCCGAAATCTGGCTTAATGCGACAATTTTCGTGGAATCAGCTTCAAAACAGTGCACCTTGGCTCCGAATTTCTCGCAGAGCGCTTTTAGCTGTTTCACTTTGTTTTTCGTTTTGTCGATGGCAACAATGGTACCCTGAAATGAGAGGAGGAAAAATGATTCTGACCGCGATCTTCCAGGTATAAGCTTTGTAGGGTCAGCTAAAAATAGCTTTGACCATGACCTTGACCATCACCTTCAAGGTCATGCCAAAATTTTACACATTTTTTTTTATAAAAATCAGGGGTATGCCTTACAAAAAACACTTAAAGTTGACATGACCTTGACTGCGAATAAGGGGTTTTCTTTGGAAAAAAAATACTTGACCTTGAAGATTATGATCAATGTCACCTTTGGATAACCCCCACGAATAGCACAACAGGCCGGCCAAGACTTTTGCATATTGTTTTCAATGTCTACTTGAGCTTAAAATGAATTATGGTCAAGGTCATAGTCGGATGTAGATTTTTTATTTCCTTGAAATAACCTTGAAGATAGTGGTGAAGGTCATGGTCAAAGTACCATCATTTTGCTAGTTTGAAACGCTACAACTTTAGTTTGATTCCATTTTTCCTAGGATGTGTAGTTTAAATTAGACAACCTGTTTATGTATCGACCACTATCTTTAGGTGTCAGCGTTGCCACTTGTCGAATTCTTGCATCAATTTATAAGACTTCCTTTTTCGTCGTTTTAGGCGGCCTCAGTGACCCGTGGCAAAGTGTACCAAATGCGCTACCTAAGAGTACAATCTGACCAGCAAATTCTACTTCCTTACTATTCACCAAGAAGTAGAGTAGTTACCGATATTTTATGCCTTTACCTGATTTCTCGTAAGTTCTGCTATATGCGTCGTCTTATTTCCCGGCGAGGCACACATATCAAGAACTGTATCACCAGGTTGTGGATCCAAACACGCGACACAAATAATAGATGGTAAGTTTTGTAGCAGTGCAGTTCCACTTGGCAGGAAGTCATCGCCTATCGATGGACAGCCTGATGTTGTTTCTTTTACTTCAACTGCAATACCTCTGGAAGAATATTGATAGATGAACATAGGCATAATTTTTTAAACAATGAAAATAGTTCATTAATAGTTCAATAATATCAATTATCAACGTATTCCACCTTGCAGAATAAGCATTACAAAATTACATGACACTTTTTTGGATACTTGAAACTGTATTATTGTCTTTTTCATTTGGCGTGATGTAAAACGTGTCACTGCGTGATACGTGATATGGAAAAAAAAGAAAATAGATTTATTACGGATAAATCTATTGTATGTGGAAGTTATGAGTACATACTTTTGTACAATGTTATTAGAAAATAATTGGTATCTCTGCATTTTGACGATGCCGTTCCCTATGAACAATTTTCCTTCGTCTTCAAATAGCTTTTGGAATCCTTTTTTACATTTTTTGTGAACATCAGCGTATATGCTCACTAGATCTCCTATCTGGCACCCTAAAACATAAAACGAGGTGGATTATTTAACTTATTCTACCTAAAAATAGCCAGATCCTAGATAATACTTGGTATGGAATACATATTTAAATAAACAAAAAAGTTTCCTGTTTGTCAGGATCGAACCCGGAACCAGTAGAATCTATCAACTGGTTTCAGAAATATCTAGTCCGCCATACCGAACCATGGCTAACTAGATCATGCTAAAAAGTCAAGATCGATACAGCTGCTTTGCTGGAACGGCGAACGAACGTTTCGATTTTGTGCGATATGAGAAGTTCGCCAGCCGTTGCGCAACGACCGACAAACACTGCAACAGCGCAATTGTGCACCAGTTGGGGATATTTCAGAAAATTTGCTACTTTTTCAATTTTACGATCAAGAACTATCCGAAATGAAATTTAATCAAATGAGAAAAAGGTTCCTATGAATCTATGTCACAACATTTATAATCGGGGAGCTGGAGCGTATAAAATAGTGAATAGAAACTATCGATTTTATTTTACAGCGTATACCTAGATTTTTTATACATTTTCGTGTTTTTTTTCTGCAGTCGTGATTAAATTTTTTTTATTAATTCAGAGACGACCCAGTCAGTTGCCTCAGAACACGACTTCATTTAAGGGCCCGCAGAGCAGGGAAAATAAATATCATGAGCTGTTCGCAAATTATTATATGTATAGGCTCTAACCTGAAAGCATGCCCAATACTCCTGGAGCAAAAATATGAGCACCTCTTAGAATAGCGGAAGCACAGTCTACATCAACAATGATTTCCTTTTCGTGACGTTGAAGGAAATTCACTTCTTTTCCATGAATAATAATCACCTCATCTAGCAACCGGTGTTTCTCTACCTTCAATTGTTTGCCAACAGTCTGAAATGTTTCAGTAATCTTAGAGACTGGTAATCATAGAAGATTTTATCTCAAAACGGGAAAATATAAAAACAATACCTAAGTTTATCTAAGATTATCTTCACTATCGAAGAAAAGATGTATTCTTGACGTACAGTTTTTGAATACTATTTCTTTCAAATATTTCGGCTGTTACTGCGACCAATGAGACACTCTGTAATTAAAATTTGCTACTTGTATGAAATTTAAGCCCATAAACTTTACGACGTTTGGTACTTACAACCTAGCCCATAAAACCACTACTTTCAGCAAGGCCACCTGGATTGTGTAAATCACACTTCTTGACTGTTTCTTTTGAGACTGTACGTTAACCACTGACGGCCAATATTTAAAAGGAATTATCTCCAAAAAACGAATGTCATGATGCTTCTTTTAATCAACAATAAACATACCGCGACACAGTTGAATATTTTATTTTTGCAGGCTTTTAAGAAAAGCACCTCTAGATGAATCACTCATAATCTGCCCTATTAAAGTTAGGATCTCGCACCTTGCGATCACCATTTTTGCGAGACGAATCCATCATATTTGCAAAACACTCCTAGATACGTATTTAAATAGCACATTCAACATTATTGTAACGTAATCATTCACATTGTTAAAAGTTGGTGCATCCACCACTTTTTAAAGTAGGAAACGCAATCAGTAGCTTCTTCCAGGTATAAAATTAATATCTTGCTGTAACATGCTCTTCTTAAAACAAACCAGTCATGGAAAAGTGCCAAACTTCTTTGCATGGCGGACTAACATGTACAGAAAATCTAAAAATATGTTCTGTATTAAAAATCTATAGGTACGCCAATGATGTAACCCCGGTTCCATTTTGTTGTTCTACACTATGGCTTTACCTGAGAGCAGTGCTCTTGGATCAACTTCAAAACATCTTCTACCTCGCCTTTGTTTCTATTCACCCTATAAGAGCTTGTTTTTGGAGCGCTACACAGCCACTTGACCAGCCTTTCGTACTCTTCATTTGAAATCTGAAAAGTTACCGCCTAAAACACGGTTGCCAACTCACATTCGTCAACTTACCGATGTCTCACATTTCGCATTCTGCAGGCCGGTTATCAAAGATGGGTCAAAATCTTTTGAAAAAGGTGAATTCGGATACGGCATTAAAACAAAATTCCAGGAACAAGGTGCTTGTATATTAAATTTGTAAGTAATGGATATGTAAAAGAGAAAGGTATGGGAAAATCCGAACAGGTTATACAGGAGAACGTTGGCAGCGCTGCGATACGTGTCAAACATTGACCAATCAGATGCGTCATTCAGAAAGCCAGATTGCCAAATTTTCTAAAATTCATCAATATTGATAAATTTATCAATTCAGATACATATGAAAGTACTCAAATATTTGAATATCAATGTGGATACAGTTCAGGAGGGGTTTTTGCATTTTCAGATGACTTTTGGCGTATTCAGGATGATGGACGAGGCTCGCTTGTCGTTTTTGAGGAGCGGACGTCCTTTTCGGAGTGAGGAGTATTACCTATCCAGGTGCTCCTGAGCTTTGCTGGTTTTGTGCGGTGCCAAGTTAAAATGCATTGATAGATTCGCGCAATCTCAGCATGTAACCAGACCGTTCAAACTATTCAGACATTGTATAGAAACGTGAAAATGAAAAAAGAAAAATGTCACACTGTCACAAAATTGTCATTTGTACTTGAAAAAGGTTATAGTGTTGATTGAAAAAAGTTTTTGATCACTTCGAAGTACACCCCTCCTGAAAGATTCTCGGATTTTGATGCAAGAATTGACAAAGCAGATATGCAGGTGGTTATATTTTGAATTTCCCGATTTTAGACATGTCACATGTGGCAACAATGTGCACAAGACGTGGCATGAAGTAGGGACCTCTTCCACGTCCGCCATATTGACATTCGTCAACATTTCGGGGAGTACAGTGAATGAGTGGTGTTTTTTCGAAATATACGGTGTTTTATCAAGAAAAGGTATGTGTGGAGATATTGTGACTAGCTTTGTGCATATTCGTGTATACTGTGAAAGTGCCCAAATCCATCTTTTATCCGGATTTTCGTCGTTTTCCAGCCTTCTTACAAGGGTTCCGTTGGACAGTGACAACAAGTCATATCGGCATTTAAGTCCCGTTTTCTTCATACCGATTATCGATGAATTGGAGCGTAAAACATGTTGAATTGCTTGTAAAAACCACCCCAACACCTCAAAAAACCCTTCCGCATCGTTTTAAAGCCGTCATATTTCCGGAACACCCAAGTATTCAATCAATATGTCAATTTTGTGCAAGATTAATAACCTTATTTTTGCAATACTCTGTCTTTGTTCTAAATATAGAGATGTCTTGAATTCGCACTGATTTGCGCATAATTCAAAGTACGTTTTGCCATCCTGGACAATAACCCGAGATGTTTTTTTAGGTTAGATCCATTGGGGCTTAGGTAACACGTAAGATACAAGACTACCATGGGAAACATATTCGCGAACCTTTTTAAGGGGTTGTTTGGCAAGAAAGAGATGAGGATACTTATGGTAGGGCTAGATGCTGCTGGTAAAACTACGATTTTATATAAACTTAAGCTAGGAGAAATTGTTACTACAATACCCACTATTGGTGAGTATGACACATCATCTAGTTTTAGTATGACTGTACAAATTTCCAGAATGAAACATTTTATCATTACACATGTATTACTCTGATTAATAGTTTTGGAACAGCATGGTACTTGTTTGCCTTGATTGCAGGCCCACAACATGTTTTTTACTAAATGTGACATTTCTTTTAATCATTTGCAAAAGATGTTAAAAAATAGCTGCATCATGTAAAATGCTAGAATGTTTTTCCCTGGTTAATAAACAGTCTTAAGATAGTCTGATCCTTATTTATTTACACTATTTGGGTGGCTTCAACCATAACATAAAAAATAGTATCTGTTTTCTGGTATATCAACGTAATCTTGGAAGTAGAAAATACGTATCTTTGTTTAGCATTTTTGTCTTCCAAGTTAAAGATCAGCTGCTTATCTCAAAATTGAACCATGAGCTATGTGCTTATCTATGAATTTTTTATTTCTTAAAAAGAATTTGCAAATTCTGAATTATTTATCCTCATGTCAAAAAGGTTCTGCAGTTTGATTTTTAACTTATGTTTCATAATATGTTCATGATTGATTTATGCAGATCATAACAACTTGTTCTAATTAGATATGTGCATTTTTTGTGTTAATAATATCGATTTGGATTTGTGATCATTTTTTCAATATATCTTTTAAAATGACAGAGGGTACTCATATGAATTTGTTTCTTTTTTTTACAGGGTTCAATGTTGAGACTGTAGAATATAAGAACATCAGCTTCACAGTATGGGATGTAGGTGGTCAAGATAAAATTAGGCCATTGTGGAGACACTATTTCCAAAATACACAGGTAAGGAACAATACATTTGTTATGGGTATTTCAAAATTTGAGGTGAGAATCATTATATTAAAAATCCAAGAGAAACATTTCGATAAATTTTATCATCTAAAGGAAATGATGCAATAAGGTGATTATTGATAACTTGAGCCCCCAAAAAACATCCATTAATATATTTTTCAACATCATGACATTTTTTAGCTTTCAGTTTTTCTCGTACATATGCTAAGATTGTTAGGACAACAAAACTTGAGTATTTATTTTTACAGGGTAGTTTTGTAACATACTTATATCAGTCATTAACTTCATTCACACCTTATCAGTAAACTACATAATTATCATCAGTGAAATGTTTATTCCTGTTTATTGAGTAATTTAGGCTCATGTTTATATACCAGGATGTGGATCCTTATCTCAATTAAATATTACATGAATTTGTTTACTTATAGGTGCAATATTTTCTATTACCCTAGTAACTATTATTCCAAAATATCCTTTATTACTTACACCAATTAACATAACTCTGAGTACCCAATCGAAGCAGTGAAATTACTCGAGTTGATACTTTTCCATTGCTTGAAATGTTGTATCATCATCTGTCATATCTTCAGTTTTGTCTGCTCAGCATCAGTAGTGAATTTAGTACCTCCTTTTTTTACCAATCCCACTTAATACTGTACTAATATTAGGGATGTACCAAGGAAAAGACTGGGTACTTGGTCAAATAATTGTAATGCCAAACACTGGGTACTTTGCCATGTACTTGGAGAAAGTGAGTTATTTGGGGTTATTTCAGTTACTGTTAGTGGTATTAGAAATATATTTGAGTTTTTGGAAGGTCCTTTATTTCGTACTTGCTCTTTCAAAATCACCAAGAGACATCAAAATATAATTGGAATACTTTCTCTAGAAGCAGTGCATTCAGTTTATTTCTCAAATAATTGATGGATGTGTTCATTCTAGTGTGTTGTAATTGTTCATGCTTTAGCTATTTTAACACCACATCTTGTGTTGCAAAAATGACTGCCTCGCTGTATGAATCATCACAATAAATGTTTAATGGCTCATATACAGCATATGGTTTAATAGTTGTTTGGATTGTAGTTGATTACATGTTTTTGTACACAATGTCCTCCATACATTTCTAAGATTAAGATGCTCAGCAAAGCTTGGTTTTATAAAAATTCCTGGTTTGTAGAAAAAATTCGCGGTCGTTATTCTGCTATCTGTCCACATTTGAATATATTAAAATGTGCAAACATTATCTAACAAGGTTAAACACATAAAGATAAGTTAATCATTTTCTCATTTGAATATGTATTTCTTTTAATTTGAGCACTAGCAGTGTTTCACCAAAGATACATATTCTCCCATATACATTATCACTACAATTGTTTTTTTAAAAAGCCATCAAGTTGCTTGACTTTTTATTTGACACCATGATCTGCAGCATAAGTTCGAATTTGTTGGTGTTTTGGTTATTTATTTAAAAAATATCATTGAAGCTGTACTGTACTTAAAGTTGGTAAACATCTTCAGTTAACTTCAGATGAAATTGAGTTTACCTACTTGACACAATTTTGCAAGTCATATAAGCAAACCTAATCTATATATTCTGCAATGAGTATTGTTTTTGGTCTGAATGTTTCAATGCAATTTGTGTATAACAAACATGTTTGTTTTAAATAATATAGCATTTATTGACTGATTCACCCTGTTAGTGAATTTATTTATATTATAAATGCATGCATGAGAAGTTGATACAGTCGTATTTAATTGATCTAAATTGGAACCACTTATTTTTTATTCACATGGAAATTATATCAGACTGACAATTTTTTGTGTTGCTGCTTTCTGAAAATTCATTTTTACGTATCTCTTCATGTTTGAGCATCAAACGCTTATTTTCCACGCCGTCAATGTCCGAATGATTTTTATTATTCCAGGCATTTCATCCAAAAATCAATCATAAAATACAAGGGAATAAGAAAACTCTTTGTATGCATATAACCCCAATATATAATTTCGACCAGGTGTTTAAGACGCGTGGAATGTTTGTATTCAACTATTGAATGATTCATAGTTACTATGCCCCTTATTTCTCTAAGTACAGGGCTTAAATTATTGTAACGACTTTATCGTATATACGAGGCGACTGCAATATAAAGTTGGCATATGGGATAAAATATACTAAGTGACATATAAACCCGAACACCCAGTTTAAATGGTTTTATTTTAATAAAATTTTGCATAAGTACTTAATGAAGCATAATAAGTAAATGATAAAAATTTCAAAATGATTGCACTGCTTTAAAGCCCTTTGACCTTTAATAATGTGTGGATGCACCCTGATGTGCTACGCATTCTCCAACGCGCCTAGGCATGCTTCTGATCAGGTGGTCAATGTCCTCCTGTGGTATCTCATTCCAGGCAACCACCAACTCCTCTCAAAGTGCTTCTAGAGTCGGAGGAGGACGTTGCAAATTGAGCAATCTCCTACCCGTCATATCCCACACGTGCTCAATTGGGGATAAGTCGGGAGATCTTGGTGGCCATGGTAACAATGTGACATCATTATGTTGAAAGAAGTCTATTGTGACTCTTGCAACATGTGGTCAGGCATTATCTTGTTGGAAAGTTGGATCTGCCATGGTGTCAAGATAGGGTAAAAGATGGGGTTCTAGAACTTCGTGGATATAACGCTGCGCGTTCATGTTACCTCTGATGAAGATTAAAGGTGACCTGGAACCATAAGCTATAGCACCCCAAACCATAACTCCAACAGTGTGATGAACATGTCTTTCAAAAAAAACTGTGGATTCCTCCTTTCACCACGTCGCCTTCTAACCCTGGCACGACCATCGTGCATGCCTAAACAAAATCGAGACTCGTCCCTAAAGACAATACTGTTCCATTCCTGATCCCAGAGTGACCGTTGTCTGCACCACTCAAGGCGATTACGTCGGTGTTCTCGAGTTAAAGGGAGGACCCAGTGTGGCCGGTATGAAAACAAGCCAAAACTTCTCATTCGTCGGTAAACACTTCGCATGCCAATAGGTCTTCCGTGTTCTGCAAACCATTCATTTGAAATGGACCTGGTAGTGGAGAAGCGGTCCCTTAAGGCCAATAATCTTAGGCGGCGATCTTCACGGTCTGTTGTTCTACGGCGGCGTCCAGTGCCCCTTGCTCTTTGCGTACGGCCTTCTCGAAGCCATGCCTGACAACACCTAACCACAATGTCTACACTTCTTTGCACTCTAACTGCAATTGCCCGAAAAGAAAGCCCAGCTTCCCGAAGTCCCACTATACGGCCCCTATCAAACTCACTAAGTTGACGAAATCGTACACTTCTCCGTACTCTAGGCATCGTAACCGATCGTAAAGGATGTCAAGAACCAAAATCCGTCAACGTTGATTCTTTACTGCGGCTGAAATATTCATTTTTAGAGCGTTAGTGAATTAAAGAAAAAGCAGTATAAAAACCGGAATGTCCAACTGATAAGGCTGAACATTTTTTCACTTGTTATTTACAGTAAGATAAATACATTCACCAACTATTATTAAAATAAAACCATTTAAACTGGGTGTTCGGATTTATATGTCGCTTAGTATACATCGCGACTTTTAACGATATATGAAGAGTTCGCGTTTTAGTTTTTGGCATTTGCTCTTCAGATTTCTACTGTTCCGTGTCAGCTTCAGCACTTTCCTATTGTTTTTTTATGAATCTTAAGAAATTTCAGGTTTTCAGCCTGAAATTTTTTAGAATTAAAAAAGAAAATATAACCTCAAAATGGAGCGCTGACACGAAACAGTAGAAATCCAAAAATACCCCTGCGTTTATGGACGAATAAAATTTTTTAAACTCCGTTTTTTTTTTTAGTTACAGACGACCCTGATCAGTTTCGGAACATTTTTGTAGGGTTTAAAAATCGGTGGTTAGGGGTTGCAGGTGGTGAGAAAGGGTGCATCTCATTTTTTTGACGTTGGCATATTTACACGCATAAAACCTCAGTAAATCTACGTACATATCGGGTTTTCCAATAGGGACTATAACTTTGAAGTTTCACTGTGAACGCACCCTTAAATCAATTACCGAGCTGTCAATGTCAAAACATTCAGTAAAGAAAACATTTGATTTTTTGTTATACATGTTCGTATCTAACTTTGCCAAACATCCTTTAATCTTTTACGAGCTGATCAGAACGTAGCTTCGCAAGAGACACGTGTAAATTTCAACCACTGCCTGGGTTGTGGCGTCTAAGTAGTTGCCCCTTGCCAATAGCCTGTCCTCAGATTCAGAACTGAATGAGGAATTACAGTGATATGATCAACCTTATTTTTTTTTCAGGGCCTAATTTTCGTGGTGGACAGCAACGACAGAGAGCGTATAACTGAAGCGAAGGACGAACTGATGCGCATGCTGGCAGAGGACGAACTCAGGGATGCGGTTCTGTTGATATTCGCCAACAAGCAGGATCTGCCTAACGCTATGAACGCAGCAGAGATCACCGACAAGTTGGGACTGCATTCGCTTAGGAACCGCAATTGGTAAGGACATTTTTCACTTCCCACGCCAATTTGCTATTATCATTGCGAAATATTTCGAAAAAGGTGTGTATTTCCTTTTTTGTTTGGCGACTCTATTGTTGGAGAAGCACTGCTCGGATTTTGAGCAAATTTTGACACAAATTCACTACCAAACCAATGGCGAATAAGCTTTGCAAATTTTGAAAGTTTATGCAGTAAATCCTGTCTATATCTCGTAGCAGAATTATCGGAATTTGTGTGGCAACAAATTGGTGACAGCTGTAGGAACAGGACTTTATAGGATTTTTTTGTTGTTCTAGGTACATTCAGGCGACGTGCGCGACCAGCGGCGACGGTCTTTACGAGGGCCTGGATTGGCTGTCCAATCAGCTGAAGAACGCCAATCGCTGAGCCCGCGTCCTTCCGAAAGGGCGGAGCGAGAGCATAAAGCAGCGACCAATCACGCCCCTTCATCGTCACTTACGTCAGCCGCGATTGGTGCAGCGGACTCTACACATTCTCTTATACATATATGTTCATCGCGTCGCAGTCGCGTGTGTGTCGCGCGCGCGATCCGCCACCATATGTTGCAACAGCCGCGCGCGAGTCGTTCGCGAGTGTCGCACCAACACGTTATTATCCTAAATTATATTTATTATTTTTTAACATTGTTCGCCCGAGTTTCAGCAGTGCGTTGGAGGGTTTTTTTCTTCTTTTTTTGTGTAATATAAGGTCTCTATAAGGTTTTCTTGTGTTTTCTTTATGTAGTGCTCGCATCCTGATGGTTCTTCTGGCAATGTGATGTTGTGAAAATGTGTAGTCAAATGAATCGTTCGTACAGGTTGTTGAAGAAGTTTTCAACAACGCAGTTGACTTTGACGTCATTATATGTTATGATGGGTTTTTGAAAAAAATGTTTACACACGAGTCTGGTGGGGCTATAATAAATGTATACCGCCATAAAAAAAGTTGAGTATTTTTGCTTTTTGATGATTTTTCGACCTATTACGTGACTTCAAGGCTCGGTTTTCCAATTTCTGCTCAACTTGCAAGTTTACTAATAAATGTTCGTAAATTATTTTTTCAAATTCTGGTTAACTAACTAGTCAGCGTGGATCTGGCAACGCTGCTTTCACGTCTAAACTATAGTGCCCTGTGCATTTTTTGACGTTTGTGTCATCTGTCACTGTTGATATGAGGCTGCTTTTACTATGGTCATCTGTACATTCCATGAAGTTTGTGTTATCTGTCATTCGGGTCGCTATCGAGCAAAAAAGTTTAGGGACGCTGTTGATCTGACAACGTTGCTTCTTCGTCTGACCTATAGTAATCTGAACATTTCATGACGTTTATGTCATCTATCATAACTCATGTCGCCCTCGAGCAAAATAAATTGGAGACACTTTTGAACTAACGTCTGATCGTTCGTTTTATGTATGTTTATGTCTCGTGTCATGTGACAACTTGTGTTACTATCGGGCAAAAAAGTACACAATCTGGCAGCGCTGCTTTTACGTCTGAACTATACGTTCTGTGCGTTTTATGTCATTTGTGTTCCGTGTCATCTGTCACAACTCATGTCACTGTTGATCTGGCAACGCTGATTTTACGTCTGAATTATAGTGTCCTGTGTGTTTTATGACGCTAGACGTTCGTATCGTGTCATCTGTCACTGTCGAGCACAGAAGGTTAGGAATCGTGGTTTAACTATATCTTTCAGGTTGACGGGGTCGTCTGGGTAAACTGAACTACCGTTTCAGGCCAAACTTGACATTGAAGAACTTGTTTTGAAGTCTAGCCGGTAAGTATTTTTGCTGTTTGATGATTCGACCTATTACGTGACTTCAAGACTCGGTTTTCCAATTTCTGGTCAACTTTCTAGTTCGTGAGTTAACTATTAAATGTTCGTAAATTCGTTTTTCAAATTCTGGTCCAGCTGTTCTGGACTAACTAGTCTCTGTGGATCTGGCAACGCTGCTTTCACGTCTGAACTATATTGTTCTGTGCATTTTATGACGTCATGTCATCTGTCATAATTCTTGTCACTGTCGAACAAAAACGGTCAGAAACACTGTTGATCTGACAATGTTGCTTTTACGTTTGAACTATGATTTTATGAAATTTGTGTCGAGTCATCTGTCAAAACTCTGGTCGCTGGCGAACAAAAAATGTTAGAGACCGTTGATTTGTCAACGCTGCTTTTACGTGTGAACATGTTCTGTGCGTTTAATGACGTTTGTGTTTCGTGTCATCTGTCACAACTCATGTCACTGTTGATCTAACGCTGCTTTTACTATGGTAATCTGTAGTACATTCCATGACGTTTGTGTCTTCTGTCATTCGTGTCACTATCGAGCAAAAAAAGTTAGGAAATCTGTTGATTTGAAAACGTTGCGTTTACTCCGAACTTTTGAACTGGCAACGCTGCTTTTACGTCTGAGTTATAGTGTCCTGTGTGTATTATGACGCTTGACGTTTGTGTCGTGTCATCCGTCACTGTCTAGCAGAGAAGGTTAGGAATCGTGATTTAACTATATCTTTCTGCTGAACCCATTGACGGTCCTGTGGGTAAAGTTAACTACCATTTCAGGCTAAACACCCCCATTTTTTATAATAACTACGAATTAGGTTTCAAAATTTTAAAAGTACATAAAAGGATTTTCAGCCATCCAACGCAAAACTTTTCGAATTTGTCTTCACAATCCGCTGAGATAAAAAATGTGAAGTGAATCAACTTCACAAAATTGTGTCACAGCATGTTTGAGTGGCTGTGCTTGACAGAGAATGTCCAGGAATCTCAGGATATGTCTCTTACTGTAATAGTAACAGTGCGCTTCCATAATGGCTGAAGTTACAATAAATTTGAATCCCAAACTGACAATTCTCATTTGATATCTTACAATCTCCTGCGTAAAGCTATAAAAGGTAATCAGCTAGGGAATCTTTAGAGGTTTTACAAATAGGTTCTGTTTTCATAAAGTGTGATTTATAACTTCATACAATTTGTAAAGTTCCCCTACCTGATTGACTTTTAAAGCCATATGCTGGATGTAACACGGTTTAGTTTAGTATCAAATGAAAATTGTCAGTTTGGAATTCAAATTTCTCAACCAAGCTCAAAAAGAGATTCCCAATTTTTTCTTGGTAACCACGCTGACAAAAAAAATAGTAAAAATTTAGAGACGACATGCGGTAGTTTGCTACTAGCGCGCCTTTGTAACATATGGTAAGGCTGTTCCGTATTATATATAAAAAATACAAAACGAAAAAGGTTACAAGATGTCGTCTCTTTGTACATCTTTGAGATGCTTAGGAGACATACATGTTACGGGTAACGTCGGTATAACGGTTCAACCTTGGATTATCCAGCTGAACTGCGTAATTTTCAAGATATATAAAGAATAAAATTTTGTACAAATGATGAATAATTATTTGAGATTGATATGCTGTCTTTTTGAGTGTGACACGTTTTATATAAACTAATCATGGGCGAAGTTAGAGACAGTTCTGTGGGCGGCACACTGCTATTGCAAGTTTCCTCATATGAACAAAAGTGTGATCAAGGGTAGCAATTTTTTTCTTCACACTTTAACTCCGCCTATGAAGCTAATCCTAAGTTTAGCTGTTATTCCTCACCCGAATCGTACACTATATATATTTTATTGTTTTTTCTTGATACAGTGTGATTTACTTGAAATGGACTTGGTTATAGGTAATATGAAATATTAGATATTTGTTCCGGATTCTTCTTTTTCATATGTAGAGTTCAGAATGGAAATACTCTACTCCAAACTTTAAATTTTTTTTCCAGTTTAATGATACGAAATGGTTGTATCAACATAGTGCCAAAGTGATAAGATACATCCTACTTTGACACTGTCAAGTGTCAAACTATGAGACTGATACTGTAGATTTCCCTAGATTTGGTGGAGCTCGCGAGTTTTGGAGAATTTGAGACAACATTGAAACCAAGTCTCCAGGATCTTACGCCCAAATGAAACCATGTAGGTATTATATTAATTAACCTAATGTGGTTTCATTTGGCCAGTATGAAAATTAGTTTCTGGTGTTACATATTACGTTAATGTTGAAACTGTTTTCCATAGTGCAAACCTTTCCGAAAATAGGTAGTATAAATACACTTTAAAGAAAGGGTTATTGTTTACGATTTTGGGCTAAAAATAAACGAACATTTGCCTTAATTCTACGAAATACTGGAAATCTGACGGCTTCCTTCTCAGTCTATTTTGGGCGACATTTGTTGATGTTAACAGTTTATTTTGTAGATAAAATCCATAACCTTGAAAATTTGCTACCAATACGTACACACAGACACATTTGCTATAGTTTTAACAACTTTTCATTATAGATATAACAAAGTTATGTTCAATAATTATAAACCCGTCCATTTTAAGCCTCACAGTGTATAATGTATACGGTGCTGGCTATTTCCCTTTAGAGTTTCACGCCTATGAGAGAAAGAGAAGCGTGTTAGAAAGATTGCGCCCTATAAGTATAGTCACCACGTTGCCAGGCAACGTCGGTCAGGCAGGAATGCCAGACGTACCAGAAATCTCGTACATGTACGAGATTATAAGTTTCTGTACGAGATTAACATAAATCTCGTACACTTTTAGGAGATTTAAAAAGTGATGACTACGCACTCAATATTATGTGGGAAAGTATAATAATGCAAACATGACCATCGATGTTTCAGAAACATCGATGCTTAGTGTTAGCTTTTTTAGTTGGTCTGTCAAATATAACCACGCTAAGGACTCTCAACGCGATGCCAGGGCTGCTATTCTGCAATACTGATTTTGTTAAAATATACTATTTATTACCTTTCTCTAGCTACAAAAATACACCATCATTTAAATAAGTAACTCCCAGTTTTTATTAATTTTGATTTATTATTTCTTCGACATTTTTTCCGATTGTCATCACTTTAGATTTGGCTACATTAATTTTCAGATTTCTCATTTCTAATTCGGCGTTCTAGATCGGTTTGCAGGTGTTTTTCCCTGACAGGCTAACCATTTCCAGTTTGTGTTGACCAATGTTCACTTTTTTGAGTTTGTATTTAATTGTTTTCATGATGTCGTCTACGATAATTATAAAAAGTCTTATTATATATATATATATATCCTTTGTCAAATGCCTTTTCCAGATCTAGAAAGGCCCTGTATGCTTCGGCGTTCTTCATTCTAGTCTTTTCGATCATTTGGTTAATCGTGAATTCATGATCGGTCCTTAGACTTCACATACGCCACTGTGTGCAAGATAATGTGCTAAATGAACGAGAAATTTGGCAACCCTGGGGAGGAGTTACAGCGGCGCTCCGCGCCCTCCCCACTGTTGATGTCGTTGCCAGGCAACGTGATCGCCAGGCTTACAAGGCGCACTGTTTTTAACGCGCTCTCTGTCTCGTACACATGGGAAAACGACATTGGCCAGCAGTGTATATTGAATTTGTTTTGAGTTGTTCTTAATTCAAAAAGCGTATCGTACGATTTATATTACAACCTCTGTGAAATCTAAATTTTGATTAACGAGTCTCTGTAAAAAGTAAATGTGGTGCGATGAGTTTTCGGACATTCCCGTTTGTCAGAGTTGTACGATCGATTATAAATTAAATTTATACTATTTAAGCTTTTATGTGATTTGTCGTATCCTTTTTTCTCACCATTGGGAGCTGATCATAGTATTTTTGTCTAGGTTATATCAATTAGTTAAACGACAGTGTTACTTTTGCGAATGTGGTATAGTATCATGTATTTTATACTTATTTTCTTATTTAAAGTGTTTTTATTGCAGTTAAAATTTGAATTTTTCAATAAAGAACGCAATTGCGCTAATGTTGATGTATTTCCTTTAACCCTTATCCCGTTTTTTGTTCCAAATTCCAACCGCGAAAGTTTATGATTTCATAGATTCTCTAAAAATTAGTTGCGCATCTGCCTTTTCTTATTCAACCTGGAAATTATATATGCAAATTTGCTGCATATAAAAAAAAGTTGAGAAAATATGGTAGGTATATACAGGAATATTTATGAAACGTAAGAAAGTTAGTTATATTATTTCACATTTATTTTTATTTTCAGTCGTCATCTAAATTTTATAGAAATTTATTTTATGGTGCCAAGTAGAAATTAGAAATCACCGCCTAGACGTAAGGCAGGCCGGAAATGTTTTGTATGTGATGCGTCATTCTTAATTTTTCTGCATAATTACTCACAACGCGGGATTTCCCCTAGTGCTTCTCAAAGTTTGTGGAATCGCAAAAAACGAGCTGATTATCTAGTAATATCTCAGAATTCCCCATATGGGCACAGGACACATAATTCTGACAGATGCGTCAACGTCATGTAGTCAGAGCCGTGTTTTGTTTTGGTTTTTTGTACGCTACTGATACATTTTGTACTTGCTAACAGCTCTTTTATTTAGAAAAATTCATTTGCATACAAAAAATAAAACCATACAAACAAGTTTCACTAGATTCATGATTGCCAACGTTGCAGACTAACACAAAAATGTCACTTGCTGATCAGCTGTTCACCTCAGTAGACGTCAAAGCGTGATGAATACTCGTGAAATAGGGTTTATAACTTTGAAGATAACCTCTTTTCAGAAAGGACAACACAAATAACCCGCATGGCACAGCTAATAGATATATTTCATGGACAGCACATTCAGTAATAACTTTCTCATAAAGCAAATATTTTATTTTGTACACATGCTGACCAATTCACACAATCATCCAGGTGTGATCTTGCTCTGCTACTCAATCACACATCTCAGAGTATACTGTAACCGGCTTGATTATTTTATTTCAGTGTTGTTTTTGTTTTTCCGGTTCTAGAAAACACATAAATCAAATTCAAGCGGATAACCAAACGGAAATGGTATTTACCATTTAGGGTTGGTATTTACCAATCCGTTCAAGCGAGTGTAGTTATCAGTTTGGTTATAAGATCCGTGACGTCACGAATCAGCTGTTATATGTTATAGTTATCACCGCAAAATTGTGGTATTTACCCAACTCAAGAGTAGTTTTATATTTCTGGTTATTATTTGAAATGTGACAAGTTAGAATTTTGCCGGGTATTGGATATTGTTATTGTACTTTAGCTTCATTTTTGAGAAAAATGATACAGGCTGACTTCAGTTTTACCATAAAGTGGAGCACCTTATTAGTTATACTCATTACGGTTGTTGGGGACACTTTAAATGTAGTTCTTATGCTTAACAAAGTATCCTATGTAGCCATATACTACAAGAATATTAAAATATGGCCATATAAACTCACTAGATGATATTCACCTGTATACGGTTTTGCTAATTTCTTTTTTCATCATTTCCGCTGAATCAATAAATGTTTTCTTTAACATGTGGAAGAATTTAGAGAATTGAAAGTTATCATAGCTACAAAGTCATGGTCCCATCATTAAAAAAAAATCTGAAAAAAACATTTCTCCCATGAATATTATGAAAGGTTTCTTATTTAAACTTTCCATATACAGTTGTAGACGAAAAAGCACCGATTATTAAGTGATAATAAAAATAATCAGAGATTATATACGCGCTTTTCTAAAATAAACAACTTGCAACAAAACCGCGGTTAAAACCAACGCGTTCAAGCGATTCGTGTAACTGACGTCATCAACCCTTGTGTAAACTTGAACCATATTATAACCGCGGCACATAACACAGAAATTGTGGTTATTCGCTTGGATTTGATTAATCACAACATAAACTCAACTGTCTGTTGGGTGGAATACCGTCTTAACGCTTAGCCCGCTAAGAAATTCCTTTTCGCTGCGCCACTGTCCGGGCCAGCCACTCTCCATTCCAGCGGTCGCACGGTGAGTCAGCATTACGTCATCCCCGTCCCCGATGACGTAACCGCGGCGCTCAGGGCTGGCGTCATGGCACAGCATGCAAGGGCTAGGTCACATTGAACGAGGGTGAGTATCGCCGCCAATAACGACCCTCCGCAAAGGTTACAGCCGAGGGGTGGACGGATGATCATCGGGAAAGGGCGGAACATGAACATAGCCGAACGGGTATTAATAAAATTCAAGGACGGGGTTTACGTAAGCAAGCATCGGTGATGTGTTTACGAAAATAATAAGAATGATCGGAGTATAATTGAATACATTCGATCTATTCCATTTTGTATTTTACTTAATCGTATTTCAGCATTAACAATCCCGAATTGCTTTTAATAGAGATATCGGAATTAGACGTAAAAGTTGTGCAAAATAGAAAACTCATCTGGAAAATGAATTCTTCGCATTTCAATATTAAATTTTCGATGTCAAATTCCGTAGAAAAAAATACGCAACTTTGCTTCATATGCTTACGTGAAATACCTAACAAATTTGCGAAAAGCTATCGCCGCACGTCGGGAAAAAGTTTTAAAAGATATGGAATTTTCAAAAATTTGTTCCTCGAGCTCGGCGAATTTTTCTAACTTTTGGAATCTTTCCAGTTTCTACGAAAACTTTCGACCCCCGTACACGTTTATTTTACGTAGGGATCTTTACATACTAACTTTTAAGCCAAGCAAGTCCTAATAACGATTGACAGACTATTCAAAGCAGAAGGGTCAAAGAGCGATCAAGGTTAAAAATGTTGGCGATGGATAACGATTATTAAAATTCAAGAACGGCGTTTTATGTAAGCATATTCAATATACTTACATAATTAATAAAAATGTAATATGTAATAAAACTGATTAATTTTACTCGAGAGCGTCCTCAACTTCTCATTAAGTTCTGGGCTCCTTGTTTTGGGACAGAACTTTTGAAACTATAATTGATAATTGTCAATTTGTTCCAAAACCAGCTACGTTGAAAAAATAATTCTCAGACATGGAAAATTGGATGCATTGTTTTGTATGATTTAATCTGTGAACTCAGTAAATGTTTGGCTTCAAAGAAATGCTTTGCAAATGAATCGAAATTTCAATGAATTATGGATCGCTTTGGATATATCGAACCTTCGACCTGTGTTGTTGAAAATAATGTATATACTGAAAAACATTTTATGTAAAGATTCCTTGTTTTAAAAAAATGAATCTACGAGTATAAAAATTTGGATTACGCGGGTGAGATGATTCTAATGCTTTACGCAACATTTCGTCGTCGACAAATCGAAATGTTCTGCAACTGAAATGAACTGAAAGAAACGAGGTCGTTGCAAACTAGAATGCATTTGACAGTAATTTTGCGAAGAGCAATTAATTTGAAGAGGAACGGGGGGTGTATGTATTTTTAGCAAAATAAAGAGAATATCCAGTATAGATCAGGAGAATTCGGTAATAGGGAGTTTGATTAGTGTGCAGTAAAACTGGAGAGGATGAGGTGTGGCTGCCTCTAAATATGGGTATAATTCGATTGCAGCTAATATATAGTTATTCAGGTTGCTCTGTCTGTTTCTAACTATATTCTCTTGGGGGTTCAAGGCATGGGCGCTCACAGGATTTTTTTTAGCAGTATAACAAATCGTATGCCACTGACACCGCGGCATCTCACAGACTTTCTCAATTCAAAGCCACAGGCTTTTTGGGATATTAAATTGTCTCAAGGGGGACAAATCCTAAAAATCCTCAAAATTGTATACAAGATCATGATAAATATGCAAATTTTAAGGTCCAACCGGCTCCACTGCAGTGCCCACGTCGTTATAGGAAAAAATCACAGATTGCGGTATATATTTTATATCTATGTTTCTTATTATATACATGTTGGATCCTGATATTTATCCATCATACTGTGACAGATTCAAAAGCACGCTGCCAATCAGGGTAGTACTCTAATTCTCGGATTTTCTTAGATGATCTGTGGTATCCGCAACATCGCTAGCGTTGAAATCCTCGTATTTTGCGGTAATATAGGGGCACATGATGTGTTCGGCTACTCTCTTGCATTTCTCTGTGCCAAACTATAGTAGGCTTTTTGCTACTTTGTTGTTGTAAAGCGTTAAAACTCTTGTTTTCATTCCATCCCGGATAAACCGAGAAGATATTGTCTGGAAATTGATTTCATGTCGGTGAAATTATGGCTAACAAACGAAAACAAAAAAAAACAACGCCCAAGCATTATTTGTTCATTTCCGAATGTACCAATCTTGTTCATTTTTGGAAGTATGTATCGGCAGTGGCCTCCAGGACGGTGCAGCATCGCGCCGTGCACGCAACGCCAACGATTGCCAAGTTATTTTAACTTTTATCATTTAATTTGCCCATTGTTACCAGGATCAGCAGCTTCTTAATGATAGAACAGTTTTGACTATTACTAAGACGTTACATTTACAACCGCCTACCGCCAATCCCCAAGTTTCAAACCCTACAAATATTTTTTTTCGTGTTTCCATGGCTTCGTTACCACTGAACCAATTTTCAAAAACTACAAAGCTTTTTCATGCTTGGCAGTAACGTGTGAAAGTTTCATCAAAATCCGAGCCATATTTCTAAAGTTATAAAATAAGCAGACAGACTGACGGAAATGAGTGGCATGGTTTTTCGTGATGTAAATGTCACATAACATCCAGAAAACATAAGATCTCATTTTCGAAATTTTTTGCCAGTTTCGACATAGGAAGTAAAAACCCTGTGCCGCCGCACCTGACACCCGCTACCTTTCACCGTCCTCGCGCCGAGTGTCCGAGCACGAGCACAGCCGAACGTTCCCGACCTTCGCTTCGGTTCGCAAACCGTCGCCATCTTGGTGACGCGCAGTTGCGTTCGGTCCTCGTCGAGTGACGATTCGTGGCGGCGCGAACCTTCTCGGTTGACGTGGCTACTACGTAGTATTCGATCTCGCCCACTCCCAACAAAGATCGGACGTAGGTTTCAGACAGACGCAACTACGTAACACACACACTGTGCCACTGGTAAGTACGACATCCGACCACAGAAGAAGAATACCAACGGGCACGAAGAATGATTTTCAAAATTGTTGCCAGTGCGACGGAATATGGCGTCATCTCCGATAAAGCAACTGTCAAATGAAAATAAAAAATAATATTCAGACACGCCACAGGCGGCGGCGACGTTTCTCATTTGTTTACAGGATTTTTTTCCACACGTCAGATTTAGGTTAGTGCCCTATGATGCATTGTTTTGGTTGTCGTTTGATTGCATCATCAGGGTGACCAGTGAATTACGAGACTTTTGAAATGCGGAAGAAATGACTTCGGTTTTTACATTGGGAAAGTCTACTTGGTTTGATTACACAACCTTGTGCAAGCAAAGGCGAGATGCTTTTATGCTCCAAAGGCTAAATTTAAAAAATACGGGTTCCTATATTTCACATCATTCTCCGTTCGTTTACCAGCAAATGAAAACAATTATTTGACACAAATACGAATTTAATGGAGTATTCATTACCATCTACTGAACGTAAATATACTGGGTGTTTGAAAAGTAAGGTAAACGCATTCATTTTAAGAAAAAAGCGGACTGAGGGCCGTATCGTCAGACGTTCCTACAATTGTAGGACGGCTTTATGGCCTCCTTGATTTTCATAGTCGTTTCTCTCCTTCAGAAAGGCTGGGGTATTTCTAAATTTCTACTGTTCCGTGTCAGCGTCAGCGCTCTCCTATTGTGAAGTTATTTTCTTCTTGAATTGTAGCAAATTTCAGAGTGATAAAACAGATGACCGAAAGTATGAACAATTTGATGTAAATAGGTATTTGTGACATAACCTCAAAGTAGAGCGCTGACACGGAACATTGGAAAACTATGAAAATCAAGGAGGCCATAAAGGTGACCTGCAATAAATTGTAGGAAAATAGTATATGTTGCTGTATCTTAGTGTACAAATTACTTTGCTAGACCTGAATCGTGCGATACCCTCTAGTTATTTCTCCCGAAACACGCGTTTTAGGCCCGTATCGTCAGTCGTCCCTACAATTGTAGGGCGCGTTTATGGCCTCCTTGATTGTCATACTTCTTTCTCTCCTTCAAAAATTTCTAGATTAAACTTGTCCCGTGTCAGCGTCAGCGATGTCCTATTGTGAAAATATGTTTTCTTTTTAAATTGTAGGAAATTTCAGGCTGATAAAATATGATATAACTCAAAAGCAAGCACAATTTGATGCAAATAGATGTTTGTGACATAACCTCAGTTCTGACACGGAGAAGTAGAAAACTATGACAATCAAGGAGGCCATAAACGCGCCCTACAATTGTAGGGACGACTGACGATACGGGCCTTAGATAAAGATAGCTAAATCAACCGGCCCTGCTCACAACTTATTATTCTGATTTTTATGTGTCCTGATGCATGTCTGCCAACATAAAAATTGACACAAAGTGTACAGATGTGGTCTTCAATAAGTGTTTTTCGGCTTCGGGCTCAGACTCTCGCCTAAGATTCCTATCAGTTTCGGAATTTCAAGAGAACCGCCCAAAAACACCTGAGAATTGTAAATATGAATGGATACTTGTATTCTCGTTCCCGAGTTCAGTCGCCTTTTTCTTTTCCAAATTAAAGCATTTGTCGAGACGTTATACTGTCCGAGAAGTGCGGGGAATCCCTGGAAAGCCCGATTGTGAATGATCGCATTCAAGCGACTTGGATATTCTCGAAGCTGTGCAGCGTTTGACTGGGGAATTATGGATTCTCTGAGAAACTCGGAAAACTTCGGAACGTTCGGTCTCTTTGAAACGAGGAGTAAAGCAGCGTCTCATAAAGTATCTATTTAGTTTATTATACACGACGGTCAATATTTTTTTTTGTTTATCCATAGGCGTCCCAAATAAAAATGGAGGGCATCGTGGATGAAAGTGGCCAGGTGGATCCCCTGGCCCCATCTCCAGACCCTCAAGGACCTATTGTATCATCAGTAAGTACTATTTTCCTCTAGAACTTGGAAGAAAAGATTATCAAATAATGACATTTTTTGGACGGTTTAATCCAGCTCGTGAAGGCGACTGACAGATTTTTTAATTTGAAGTCCCAGGAGTCGTCAAGCCGGAAATGGGGGATATGCGAAGTCATATTAATTATCAGAGAAATATAAAAAAATGTGTACTTTTTACTATAATTTGTATAGCCTTTAAAAAATTGGGAAATCAACACCCTGTGATGAACTAAGAGTTCTCATTACTACAAATTTCAATATGGACACGACTTAGATTTTTTTATATTTTTCTAATAACTATTATGACTTTGTCTATCCCCCGTTTTCCGGCTTGGCTTTGATATCTGGGACACCCTGTATAAATTTGAACATTAAAGGATGTGGTGACGCTAGCAATTTTTTGCGTTTCGTAAGTTTTTGGTACAAAATAAATCGCATTTTTCACTTTTACATGAACTTTTAAATTGAAAAGCGTTAAGATATTCATGTATTTATTTCATTGGCAGCAAATGCATATTCTAGTTGCTTAGTCAACCTACCTGACAAAACATAATTTGTTTACTTATTCATAAATTCAGAGCGAGACATTTTAATGGATATATCTGTAATTGTTACATATGTATTATTATATTATAGTTATTATGTTAGAAATAAAAAAACATATTTAACGAGTTCAAATATGGAACTGAAAAGCTCATTGGCTGGAGGTCAAGGACTTGCGATCTATTGGTGTATGTGATTCGGAAAACGGAACGATTTAAAGTAGTACCTTACCATTCATCTTAATTACTCTTTTTTCTCATTCAAATCTTATAAATCATTTTAGGTGCAGAGTGTCATTCAACCGACCCAGCAGTCCGTGATCCAGACAGCAGCTAACATCCAACCAATGCTCAGCAAAGGCAACGTAATTCTAGTCAGCAAACCCAACTCGGTGATACAAACCACGCAAGGCAGTCTACAGACGTTAAGGGTAAGCTTATAATTAAAATATCCGTACTTCCGTCGAACATTACAATCATAGAATTAAGGTGTTGAAAGTCCGAGAAACATCTCAAACATTGTATTTGAGATTTTCTAAAAAAAAACAGCCTTCATTAATGGCCCACCATGTGTGGTGCAAGTAACTATTTTTTTTACATTTTCGACAACCTGTAGACTCTGCCCCCACCAATAAATGGATATACATCATATAACCTTTTTTTTTCAGGGATTTAATCTTCAAAACGACTAACTGTTGTGTGTTAACGCTTCAGCCTTTGTGAAACATCTTAATTCTATAGATTTGATTTTCGAGGGTATCTTAAATATTGCAGTTTTATTGCTTCTTTTTGTTTGCAATTTCTTGATTTTACTTTTCCAATTTCTTAACAAAGGTGTGGAGACTAATGTTAGAGCTCGTTATTTTACATTAACCATATTAGGTCTTTTAGCAATTTCACTAAATATTAATAGATTATTTACTTTGACATTTAATCAAATTTCAAATTGTAAATTATTGAGAAAATTGAGAATAACTATTATACTATATTATAACACTCCATCAAATTGGAGATATTTATGAAAAGGAGCAAAAATGAATTCACACAAGTTTTTCTTTTTTCTTTAAGGATCACCCCAAGGCTATTATGTTGGAGCATTTAAATAATTCTTACGTAGGTATACATTTTGTACAATTGGGGTTAAACATATTTTATCACTTTGATTTAAAAAAAATTCGTAAGAGTTTTTGTCATGCATGTCGTCATTGGGTATCACCATACATTATATGCATATAATTATATTTAATAAGAATAAAAGTGCATGCATAACAGAATTAGTTTCTCTTTCAGTTTAAACCGTTCGATTTTGAAAAATGCAAAAGCAATCTTAGACTTTTTTTTTGTTTTTCGAGTTCTCGCTCATTTTTACTTGAAGGAAAACAAAAACAAAGATTAAAATTCATTAATTTAAATGTTCTTTATTGCAGTGAACGCGATGTAACGCTTTATAACGATCTTTATTTCCACCTCGAAGCATGGGCGCCCGCAGGGGGAGCTAGGGGGCCCGGCCCCCCCTCGCAGAGAATACCGACGGATCTTTAAATTTGCATATTCAGCATGAGTTTGTGTACAATTTTGAGGGGTTTGCAGAATTTGAGAAAATTTGCTGTTCAAAAAGTTTTGAGGACGTATTCACATAAGTTGTCTCTTGCTAATAATCTGCCGCCCTGCGGGACGCATGCTTCAAAGTAAATGCTAAAAATCATGATACAAATAATTTGTTAACGGATGCTGATTAGGAAGTTTCCTGTTGACGAAAATAATGCTAGTTTCATTTGCACTATACATAATAGTAAACTGGTATCTTTCACGAATTTGAAAGAATTATTCCGATAACTTTTAAGGAAGTTATGACTCGTCGAGGTTCGGTTGTGACGTCACACGACATAAGTTCGGCTTCTGGACCACGGCACAAGCTGACCAGTCGCAATATATTGTTTATATCTGGCATATTTCGATATTATAGATATACAATAAATAAAATGAAAGGTTTTCTGCGTACCGGTTTCACTAATATTTCAAAGGTGGACATAATAATGGTTAATAGTTAAATGTATACGAAACTTCTATGCTTGCATGCGTTATCATTTATAATAAGTCTACACGCGATCGACACTCCAGTAATTCAAAAGTCCTAAAATATGGGGAAAATTAGAAAGATTCGCTAAATTTTACAAAAAATCCATTTCTACGTTGGGCGGATTATAAAGAATATGACATCAATCTGTCAAAGACCAAAATGATGTATTTAATATGGTGTACATATTTTGAAAAAAAATGTTTTTGATCGAGCTCAAATTTGAGTTTTAGATGTTTTTAGAGTCGTTAAAAACGAACTTGATATCGATTGTTAAAAAATAGAAATGTTGTCTTCGCGCTCAGAATTAAGCTTCAAGTATTATTGAGATCGCTGATAACGAATTAAATATCGATACGAAAAAAGTCTAAATGGCAGATCTAGTATGCCGGCTATGTTTGCAAAAAATTAATCGATTGCGCTTACAGTTTTATATGCGTTCAAGGTATAATTTATGTATTATTGTATGATGTCGGATGATCGCCAAACTTGTAGCCAGCTGCAGCCAAAATTGATTTATAAACATGCTGCTGGGATTTTTTAACTCTTTTTAAATTCACTAATTACGGAAAAATATGAATTGCAGCTAATACGAGGTCTGTAAATTAAGTGATGAGATGTGGAAACGTAGCGTTCGATCCGACAACACTGGAGGCGCCGGGCTAGGAGGGGAAGACAGCGGTACATGTGATCCGCCTTCAGTACAAGTTCGAACTCGGTCTAGTCATCAAAACCGATGAATATATCGACAGAATCCGGAATCGTGTGCGTACAGATCGTCGGTTGTCATGCAGAATGACCGGGAAAGAGTTAATTTTGACTCACACCACCGTTCATCAGATCAATAACTGCGTGTTGCATCACGAAAATGCTCCTTGTCACACAGAAATTTCAATAACAGAGTTTTTGGCCAGTAAAAACCGTCGTGTGGGTCCTCAGCCTCCTTATTCGCCTGAGTTAAATCTTTGTGACTTTTTTCTCTTTCCAAAGTTGAAAAATCACCTCGAGGAAACTCATTTTTAGACAGTCGAGAACATTCAAACGGCTGAATCAGAAGGAAGTTATTCTCAGGATGACAATATAAAATTGTAATTATATTTGAATAAAAATATTAAAAAAATCAGTCTCATCACTCGATTTACAGACCTCTGAATGCGAATGCATCTTGTCGACACAGACAAAGTTCAAGGAGTATTTCCCCTCTAGCCTTAATATTATCGGAAGAAAGCGAGGGAAATATTCATTATAACAGCATTCATATTATCTCGAAATAAAAGCCATAATCAAATCAATCCCAGTTCTCGTTCACACCAATCAAGTTAAATATCCATCATAATGTCCCTTTTTACTAATTAACTAATCGTACTAACATCAAAACGATATTTACAGCAATACAGTGATATTTCCGAAAGAGGCAATGTTTTTCTGGAGCTGATATTCCTGTATTTGTCCACTGCAGCATTTGTAAGCTTATGGTGTGGTTCATATTTTCAACCCTGAACAGTAACACGGTTTCCTAGGTGATCCCACTACCACCCCGGTCCAGATACCCTCACTCTTTCCGGCCCAAGTGGACTGGACGCTCCTGCGGCCTGTGTTCCTGTCGGACGCACCCCCTCCCCCCTCCCACCTATTTTGCCGTTTGAAGTTTCGCCACTCGGAATTTTGCACCGCCGAAAAGTGGTGGAAGCTGATCTCGACGCGGATGCACGGCTACGGAACGGCAGCAGTCATTCATACTAATGTACCTTCCATTTTGGTTTGACGAGTCGTTCTCTATTTGGGGTTCCATTGGTGGGACCTTGACCTGAGATCCACGTTAAAGGTTCTTTTTAAACCGTTGTCACCGTAAATCGTAAATACGGAGGCCGCCTCGCTTTGGGGAAGCGATGGTAGCTGGTGTCATGTGACGTCATCACTCATTCTCGCGCTCCAAATCACAAATTTCTGGGTATAGTGGATACCAAATAAAATCCGATGCACGTCATAGGTGATGTCATTCATAAAAATCATGGTTACCAACAGTTGACTACATTCAATGTGACATTTCTACTTGAAGTTTAAATTTCCCCGTCTCGATTCGGTTGGTCGTGCCGTGCAGAGAAATGTGAGGTTGCCACTTCTCATTTGTTGACATCAGTTGCCATTGTCCTTTTGTCGTACTATTAGTTCTTTATTGTTTAGTTTGTGAGTTTTGCGCTATTTGAGCTTTGAATCGTTGCCTTGCCAATTAAAAGTTGTTCTTTTCAGAACAAAAGTTACTGTGAAGTGGTATAAAGTATCCAAAATGCCAAAACAACTTAACAGTCGGTGTAAAGAGCTCATATCAATTCTGGCAACAGCGCACAGCTCCAGATCGATGACGTGCATCGGGTTTTATTTGGTATCCACTATAGCGCAACATTGTCATTTTTTATGATATTCCAGAAATGTTTTCATTGCTGCGTTACGATCGGTTTTTCAATCGTAAGTTGACTTCAAATTGACTGCTAACCAGAAGTTAACTATGAAAAAACGTTTTCCATTCCAATTTCAAGTATATATGTCTTAAAGCAGTAGTTAACTTCAATCAGACGATCATGTATGGGATAACCGTGATCAAATCGCAATTTCTAACCTAATGTGCTTGACAATGACGTACGTCGTTATGGATGACACAAAACGCATAAAACACGATAATTCAGGCATAAAAGCAGCGTTGCCATATCAAAGATTTATGGATTGTTAACTAGATCATGAAAAACGAATTCACAGACAACTGATAGTTGATAATAGAAGTCTTGAAAGTTAACCAGCAATTGAAAAACCAGGCCTTCGACTATCATTTTCAAAAATAGGAAACTTCCTCATTCTGTAGGTTAGATTATTACTATGATATCTTCTGGCTCGTACAGGTAGTGGACGCAGGCAGCGATGACAGTTTTTCTGAAGAAGAATCGCCGAAAAAACGAAGAGATCTGCTTACCAGAAGGCCGTCTTACAGAAAAATCCTGAACGAACTCGGCGGTGGAGAAATAGCCGGTAAGTCAGACACTTTTACATGCATGGTGATTATTTTGAATGCATTTTATAGCTCTGGGACTGCTCTGGGAGTATTTTGATTATCGAAACGATAATTTAGTTGGTTAGATGAGAGGTGATATATTTAGTACTTCGTAGTGTTTTGGTGTTTTTGCATGTGTAAGTAGATATACCGGTTGTTTCAAATTCGACCCTCACCATTAGGATTTCGGAAATACGAAGTCGCTTAAATGGGGATAAAGTTGCGTATTTAAAATACCGCTTAGAAATTTCGGAAATCAAAGTACTTTCGAAGAGAGACGAAAAAAAACGAATTTCCCAAAATCGTTTCAATATTTTTCCTGGGTTTATTTGCTGTGGGATTTCAAAATAAATTGCGCACTAACATTGCCACTTTTTCTCGTCTACAAGATGACGTAATCAGAATTTCAATATAATGTTTCATCTCTTGTCTCCAGCATCAATTTTATTTTTTCTTAAGCACGCCATAATGGATTTTTGCACATGTGAATAGAGTTTTTAATTTTGATTCCAATATTGTATAAGATTAGCATTGCCAAACCTTAGTTGTTTTTAAAAAAAATAGAATTTCCTGGGTTGGCATTGAAATTAACAGTCATTTATTTGTAAACCTAGGAAGAAATTCAAATGATTTTTCGAAAATTTTCTAAGCGTTTCCGAGATCCCAATGGTGAAGGTGAAGTTAGGTACTAAGGTATTTATAGTTCATAAGCCCTGTGCAATACAAAGTCGTCATTTTGAAAAGTCAAACCTCAGTCATTTAAATTTCAGTATGATCAGAAATCCAGATAATAGCCCTCACATTTCACTAACTCTGTGACATGAAAATTTCAAAATTTATGTCGATCTATCCGTCACGTTTTATCATCGCGTGAACTCAGTGTCTCTGAAATCGATACCCACATGTTTGTATGGATATTCGGAAAGATATATTCGATTATTCGATGAAGTTTTGGGCCAGGAAAATATTTTCGGGAATTTTGTAGGTATTTTTTTGGTAGTTGCATGTTATTTCTTCAATTTTCACTGGTATTCACTGGTATTCTTAAACGTAACATGTTAATATATGTTTTTTGTTGCTGTTAGAAAATCAGATACTGTAGTGAGCAAACTGCGATTCACATAACCTATCTAGTTGCTTTCTCTGTGACTTTCTATAATTTATATTTTCTCTAAAAATAGTGAAAATACACTCACTATGTTTACAAGAACAATGTTTTTAAATCCATCTCTGCTTAACCAAACTTTCTAAAGTCAAATACACGCAATCCATGGTGCAACAAAAGACAGCATTTTGACGTTTTCTAGTACATGTTGGTGACGTCTTTTGAACCCATTGTTTTGATTATTGTGAGGAGTGTTCGCCTAAATGAGCGCGATATTAAGGGGTAAGTTATTATTTTTGAGTTAGATTTATTTGAATTCCTCTAAGCAATGGTACAATTGTGTATTTGTAATATTTTCGTTTTCGGCATGCAAGTGAGTTCTTATACGTGCTATGAGGCATAGTTTATTTTATTTATACTGTGGTATGGGATCACACAATGGGATCTGACTTATGTTCCGTCTCGAAAATGAAACATCACACATTTGGTTTAACATTTGGCTTGCACGCATTTTCATAGATTAGATTTTTCTTATTCAGCTGTCGTGTACATGTACAGTATGTTACCTATTTTGAATAGAAGGAATCGAAAAATTATGGAATAAATTTTACGTGCAAGTTTACCCTTCTTTTTTATCAGTTGAAATGATTTTCAGAAATTTCAAAAATTTTGGTCGCACATCGCGTTCAGAAGAAACGAGAACATTTCTGCAGGACCAACTTTGAAAGTGTATAATTTTTTTGTTTTCAGAGGCAAATCGATAATTTTTTCAGTGGTCGATTATATTTCATCTATATTTTGCTCATTTCATTCTGAGTATGATTTATTTCATGCAAAATCTTAGTAAGTTGCTATTTTCAATATCTTATAAAAGCATATTACTTTTTAAAATCGAAGGGTTACTTAAGTTCACGTGACGTAAAAATGTGGCAGACAGACGGATAGAAATGATTGGCGTAGTTCTGGTTAAATATCGTAACAAAAAACATAGTAATTTCATTAAATAAATCTGTCTTTAAAAACGCTCAAAATACACTATAATTTATGATACAAAAGGAAACAGTGATGTTTTATTGTTCGAATTTTAGTATGGGTTGATTCTTGTGTTATTATACCTGAAGATATATTTGTGCGTCTAAAAAAATATTCTAGATAAAATGAGATCTCGTAGCGTTATCTATGATGATTGTTGACAAATTTATGATGTGCGAGTGTATAAGAAATAAAGCTGTCTTGTTTTATACTCTTATATTTGAGTATGCTCTTTTGAAAATATCCAAATTATAGCCATCTATGAGACATTAACATTTTTAAAGTATATACAGGGTGCCCTGCAAATGACTTTTCTTTTCAGAAACAACTGTGGTTGTTATAACAAAGCTCATGTGTGGTGAAACAACAGTAAAAATTGAAAAATAAAATAAATGAAAAAGTATCCACCATTTATCGAAAAGAAATTTCAAATACAGATCTGTCACTTGTAAGTATTGTTCAAAGATCTCTGCGATAGATTCACATTTATATATTATATGTTTTCCCAAATGAATACAGCTAAATTCATACCCGTAGTTTTTCAATCGTATCCACTTCAGTTTTATACACTAAACATTTAATTTCGCCCCAAACAAAAAATTAAATCACAAATTATCCTTAAAAACGATCTGCAATCACTCGCGAAGCCTCGGTAGCATTTCGAAGACTCTTACCGTAAATTAAAATAATATGTACAACTCATACGTTGCTGTGACAGTGTGCCATTTTTTTAGAATCGATGTGTAAATGTTTCCAAACGCGGCCAGTGATCGAGTAAACTGAGCCGCATCGTGTGGCTTCACCGGGTGCAGGACCGGATTAGGTTTGGTTTAGATTTGATTGATTTTGCGGAGCCCAATATCACGGTAAATTTAAGACTTTGGTACTGGAAAAAACTTCGAACAATGAAATATTTTTGACAAATTATCTCAGAATCTCATTTTACCTCGGAATTTTTTGTACGTGCGAATATAGCGTTAGGTTGGCTATCTTCGGGTAGAATACGTTATTCAACGATATAGGCAAAGTATGTTACAACTAATACTATACAGCTCAAGCATTATAAAAGTTGTGTAAAATTAGTGGTAATATATCGTATAAAATATACTGGTCTAGAACGCTTATGCCAAAATTTGTGTGTGAACATTATCATTAATCGATGTGTTTCGTCACGTGTGATGTTCACAGATACAAAGATCGAGCAGACATCTTCAGAGGCAGACAGTGAGTTGTCATCTCACTCTATCCCATACCACACAGGTTAGTTGTATAATGTGCTGTATATACAAAAAAAAAACTTGTAGTTGAATCCCAATTGGCCAGCTAAGGTATGCTTCTACTAAAGGCGCCAAGCCATTGCATTATTTTTCGCCAAAATTGCATAGTGTGGATACGTACCTTTAGTCTTTCAATCAATACACACGTTGCACGTCGACTGCTAGTGTAACCACATTAACAACCATTAAAAACATACAACGTCCTAACGTAAAGGTCTTGGGTCACATATTAATAACAGGTTTTAAAATAGAGCAAGTCTATTGGTTGAGCTTTATTATCATCACAGGCAGTATGGTAGTTAAAGGTATATTTGATTAGTTGGTAATGTGTATATCCAAAGATAGTTTTGTATTAGTGAAAAAGAGAACACGTTTTGACTTCCAGGTTTAGTTTTGCGCGGAAAGCTATATTACTAGTCATTTTTATACACGGTTGTTGATGTTGGTTCTCCCATTGGTTCTTTTTTTTGCAAGTTTTCTATGTAGCGTCGATACTTATAGGATTGAAGTTCACCAATTTATTAGCATTTGTATTTGTTACGAAAAATGACACATTTCATACATTTTTTTCTTAATATTTTTACTTGCAAAGACAGGTGCAAGTTTTAATTCCCGTGCCAATCGGCGAGGAGGTATTTTAATCGCGTAATATTTCGAAAATGAGATTTATATAGGATGCAGCAGCATAACTTTTTTCAAAACAGTTACATTTTTATTTGTTTTTTGTAATGTAAGCGCATACCTAAAGTTTTGTTTTACATAGTTTTGAAGATCAAGTCAGATTGGTGACGTCCCCGATTCTCCATACCGATTTTTGGCGTTTGTCATTACTCTTGTCTGCATAGCAGCATTTCTACCTGGACGTTTGTCTTCAAATCTTCTAGGGTCGTGAAAGAACCACATTGTGTACACGGGATTTCAAAAAACCCCCATAGAAAAAAATCACACGGGGCCAAATCGGAAGGGCGGGCTGGCCACTCGAAATTGCCCCTGATTGAGATGAGGCGTTCTGGGGAGTGTTCCTACAAAACAGCCATCGATGCTCTTGAAGTTTGTGTCAAATGCTCCCTAAATCGAACTCATCTGGACGTTGAAAAAAAATCCTGTAATATGTTTACATACCGATCCGAATTCACGGTCACTGCGACTTCATTTTCTTCAAAGAACCAAGGACCAATGATTCCAGTTGAGGAAATTGACACATTGACTTTAGGTAAATGCAAAGACCTTTGATGCAACAAAAAAACGGGAACTGACGATCTCAGATTTCTAACTTCAAATTCATCAGACTAAGAACCTAAGCAAATTTCATGTTGCTTCAATGTTCATAGCTGCTCCCCGTATACATATGCCTTTCGATGAATAGTCTGCGATTTCTGCGGCTTCAGTTATTTCAATGCAGCAGACGCTGTCGTCTCGCATTTCATTCATTTTGTTTTATTTTTATTTATGAAAGTGTGACGTAGGTGAACGTACTACACATCCCCTGCGATGTGTTTGTTGCAACACTCATTTGGTAAGGCTGCTCTTCTCGATTTTGTATACGTATTTATTAGTTTTTTAAAAAGTTTACTTTATCTCATATTTTGGATCAAGTTTTGATTACTAACTTCATCAAATTTCTGAATTCTTTTTATTTTTACGTGCTCCCATCGTCGTATATTTTTTGTTGGTTTGTGTATGCTACTGTTTTTAACATCTTTGTCTATTTTGATCTGATTTTACTTCTCATGCCTAATGGAGTGAGGGAGAGTATATCTCAATTTCCTTATATTAGTACAGTTGGCATTGAGAAGACGACTCGCCTATCGGTCGCACATGCCGTGCTCCACGAGGTATAATACCCGGCGATGGGGCGACATCAATCTCAAGCTTTCGACAGACTATGCTGTCATCTTCAGGAACTAAACACAAAATTGAAAATAGCAACCACTTTAAGACGATTTAATTTTCAATTACTTGCTTAGTCGATGAGGTTGCTGCTAAATGGTGTTTTAGATGATGAGACCACTTGTTACGATTTTAAAAACAAAAGACCGGACACATCGGGTTTGTTGTTAACGACGGAACACATAGCTGTGCGTTACAAACATTTGTCAATAAACTCGAACGGATTAAAATAAGTTAAGTGTATTCAAATTATTAAAAACTAAAACCACACATTTTGGGGAAAGAAGTTTCTTTTATTACCGTATACTTATTTCACGTGGTGAATGACCCGGAAATGTGACGTAGATGACAGATGTACGTCATGAAAGAGTGTGGAAGTTGTAAAATTATTACCAACTTAAATTATCAGGTACTGTACTTAAAAGGGGTGTTTGGAAAATTATGTATTTTCCCAAGAGGCCGAAATAGTTTTGTCTTGACAAATATGTCTAAAATGAAAAATAATGGTAATGACACAATAGACAACATGGATTGTGTGAAAAAATTACGAAAGCTTGAAAATTCCTGAAAATTTTTTATACTAGAAAATTGTGTCATATTGTGAAGAGACTGTACTAAATGGAATATGTAGTCGTTCTAATTTCTCGCAGTTCAACTAGTAAGAATAAATGATACTAAGTTGCTTAACATCAATCTTTGTCAAGAACCTTAACACTGCCATAAATCGTAGAATGAATGACCTGTAATGTTAATACTAACAATAACCTGACAAAATTCCTAATATTATTAATTCACGCATTTGACTATAACGAAAATTCATATCTATACAAAACAGCATGTAGGGTAATTTCTTATTTGCGATAAACTTTATCGAACAAAATTTATATAAAATAGTGAGTCACGCGCTGATATAGACAACGAACAGTTTCGATGCTGAATCATTAAAAGTCAATGACGTCACTGTTAGAACGTTGTTAACAAACATAATATTTTTGTAATGCAAATGTGTCGTTTTTCGATAGTTACGTATTCCGATCAACGTGGATTGTAGTTTTTTCTTTCATACGCCTCGTCATTCCATCTTATGATCACTGGTAAGCATATTGTTTCTTTTTCATTTATCAATAATGCTATAATATTTATTTAAGTATATTTGGCGCTAACACGTGGCTTGATTTTAATCAATTTGCTTGGGTTTTGGCACTTGTTTTTATTGGATGCCTTGATTTAGTATGAGTGTAGATTCTGTATCATATATGAACGTAAACTTGCATACTTTTGTATGGTATCCAACTATTTTCAACAAATATTACATTGACCCTGTTTGATAACCTCTTATGTTTTAGTTATATATGAAACAGTTTTGCCAAATTTCCGGGTTTTATTCGTTTTAAAGTCCTGGCTTGATTTGAAGAGGTCAAGAGAGCGCTCAGTAATACAGCCATTCGAACAATACGAACATTTTGCCTCCAAAAACAGCAATCCAAGTGTTTTTATTTTTCACACTTAACAGTGGCGTAGGCAGTATTGTATTTGCGAAAATGAGTTATAGTTTTTGAATGGTACATGACTGTCACTCATTTTTGTTTGCCCGACGCTGTGCTGCTTCAAGCAGATTTCTGCTGCGCACAAGCGCAGTTCCCCATATATCCAAGAATTGGCCTTACAAATGCCTTGGAAACGAAGACTTCAGATCCTTCGAAAGACCTCTCCAGCTTTAGAAATATTTTCAACATACGCGTCGCATGCAATACAACAAGCGTATCTATACCTGACCGATCGGTGGCTTGCGAGGTTAGTCATAGCAATGTTGCTAATCGGTCGGTAGAGAGAAGGGAGAAATTTCCTAATTTTCCTAATTGTCTAAGAATTAATTGGACGGGCCTGTTTGACTGAAGAGATCCATTTCATTTTTACATCTTCGTAGCTAATTTTTTTGTCATGAAATTATAAAAATGCGTAAATGCCAAGTTTTCGAGACATATTGACATTTAATAGATTCATAACAAATAATAAAATCTAACGATTCTGTTGTTGTTCTATTGCAGTGTTGCCGGCAACGGCGATACAGATAACGAGCGGTGAAGGTGGGCAGGGCATCCAAACGCTGACGATGACGAACGCCACTGCCGGAGGGGCCATCGTGCAGTATGCTCAAGGTCAGGAATTTTTCGTTCCAGGTATGGCCGTACACCGACGAGACGATGCAACTAGAAACATGGGACATTCAGAATTCTCAAAATTAATATACATTTTAATCTCCCCACCTAAATATTTCGAAATTTGCTGAACAAAGTTGCAAACAAAAGTTGTAGGGTTTCGAAGAGGCAAAGTGATGGTGACCTTGACTGCGATTTTCTGTGTCAATCGAATATTTTCATATGGAATCCCATCTTTTTTTCACTTCGGAATTGAAAAGAGGAGGTCCGATATCACCTTGGCCATGTCCTTCAAGGTCAAATCAAAACTTCGAAAACACTTTGGTCTAGCAAATATGTTCGCCAGCACATCTGTGACGTTTGTAGGGACCACCCAAATGCGACCATGACCTTGACCACGATTGTCAAGGTCAAGTCAAAATTTCTACAGGAAACCTCTCATTTTTACACTAGACCTGGAAAATACAGGAAAAAATTTTACGTCCGCATGTGACCTTGACCGCAAAGTCAAGATCAAGCTGAATGTTATTTGAGGTCTAGGTCACATGGCTTGCTTTGGAAATTTTGGCTTGATCGTCAAGGTCACATTTGAGTGAACCTCACAACTGAGCTGTCGAATATTCTTCAAGAGCAATTGAAGACGCAAGTGAATAAATGTAACAGAATCATTGTATGGCGAAAATTGACTTTATACATTCTTTATTGGGACTTTTTACTTTATATATTGACATTTTAAATATTTAGTTTAATTAGTTCGTTATCTTGATTTTGCAACAAAGTAATCACAGAATGAAAAAATCACTGCTGAAGGCTAGTTTAATTAAAAAAATGTTTTTTTTTAAATGTTACTTTATTATCTTCAGTTATTTTCGATGTCTTTATTTGACCTTGAGATGACCTTGAAGGTAATGCTCAAGGTCATGGTCAAAGTGATATTCGGGCGCAAGATTTCCTCTTCTTTTCAATTCAGCTGTAGCAAAAAAGGGGCTCCGCGAAAAATATCCACTTGACTTTGAAGGTCGTAGTCAAGGTCATTGACAAAGTAATCATCATTTTACCATCTCTAAGCCCTTACAACTTTTGCTTAATATTTTTTTATAGAATGCGCAGTTTCCGAAATACTCGGGTAGGGAATTTCAAATGGAAGTCCCTGTAAACATGATTTTCGCAAATATAACTTCATGACGCGTATTTAGAACCGCCACTTGATACTTAAGTGCCGAGTGTTTCTTGGACGTTAGAAAAAAATGCTTGCTTAAATGTTGCTAAATACAGTTTTGACAATTGCACTTCAGTTATACGATCGATGTAAAATATCTTCGATACCGCAACTATTTAGTGAAAGATTCAACCAAATTCAATGTCAGAGCTACAATTAAGCCACATTTAAGAATGATGAGAACACCGTTCAAGAGGCACTCAGCTGTTATTTGTACATTTACTTATTGAGCAACACCCAACAGCTAAAGCAGTTACAGGGTGGGTACAAAAAAACATAAAGATGCATGTAATTGCAGGATACCTTGTAAAGAAAACAGCATTAAAAATATTCATGGCTAAATAGAACTCAAAAAATAGGAATTCAACATGTATGTCATTAACGATGGAGCTACAGCAAATGAAAAAACAAAAAAAAGAATCGATAAAACCTCGTTTTTTGGCGTGAGAGATTGATTTTTAATTTTTGTTTTGCAAATGTTGTAAAGACGTTCTATTATTAAGAAGTTCGTGATCCTGAAAATACTACGCACCTGTTAAAGTAACATCCATATTTTCCATAATTTCGCAATGAAAACAGAAATATATTCTATAGTTTGAAATATGGAGGTTTGTGATACATTACCTAGCCCCGATTTTACTAATCCGGGGCGCAAAATTCGTTTTTGAAGTAATCGATCAAATGAATATGGTCTATTTCTTTTAAAATGTCTCTCAAACTAGAGAAAAATTACACGATTTGAGTGAGATAGACCCCTAATTCTCAAATTGAATCAAGAAATACTTCATGTATATAGAGAGCATCCGCAAAGTTGGGGTTTTCCTTTTCAGAAACAACTACCCTTGAAATAACAAAGGTAATGTGTAGTGAAACGAGGGCGACCAAGTAAAAAAAAAATAAAGGAAAAAGTACTCACTCTCCAGTTGACGAGAAGGGCTAAGTACGTCTCTGCCCGAAATCATACCGCTCTAACAGAAAATGAAATCAGCTGATGCGCTACGGAGCAGACGCAGGTAAACAAGGAAGGCAAAATGTTGCGTAAAAAGTCTAGGTATTGCATCCCGTCCAATCGATTTGGGAGAATAAATGGTCCAATGAGCATACCGTTCACCATGCCAGCCCAAACATTCACCGAAAATGTTTGTTGAAAATGTGCCCGACGAACAGCGTGCGGATTTTCTACTGACCAAACATGAGTGTTGCGAAAGTTATTCACCCCATTACGCGTGAACGTAGATTCGTCTGTCACCAATATGCACTTCAAAAAGTCCGGATTATTGTCATGTTGATGCAACAACCACTCACAAAACCGCACTCTTGCTGGAAAATCGTCAGGTTGAAGGGCTTGTACATGTTGGACGTGAAACGGATACAGCCCCTCTTCACGCAGCGTTTGCCACACGTTAGTTTTTGATACTTGCACTTCTCTAGCCAGGTCTCTAGTGCTTGTTGAGGGATTCTCGTCTACGCGATTACCTCTACACGCGTGACCGTAACCGTCGGTTGAAGGTTGCATACTGACCTGACACACCGACCCCGACCCAGTTCTGTCGTCGGGTTGAGCCAGTGACCTTGTACCAGTCGGTGATGTCGCGGCTACAGGACGGTATTCAGATATTTTTGATGTTGCAGAGCCCTTTATCTCGCTTCCCTTAAGACATTGGTGTAGATGGTACTAAGAAAAATTGCTTATGTTTTCAAGATCTACACCTCGTGTAAAGGAAAACCCCAACTTTGCGGACACCCTGTATAGAGGGTATCCGCAAAGTTGGGGTTTTCCTTTTCGGTCTCAACTACGCTTGATATAACAAACCTAAAGTGTGGTGAAACGTGAGCGAACAAGTAAAAAAAAGATAATTAAAAAGTACTCAGTGTTCAGTTGAATTGAAATTCCAAGTACGGCTCTGTCTTGAAATCCGTATTTACATCGTAGTCGTACGTCGTATAACTGTACGCTGGCGCTGTGTACGTGATCGAGGGATAGGACAGGACCGGCTTCGGTTTGGTTCAGGTGTGATTGAGTTTGTGGAGCCCAAGACATTGGTGTATATGCTACTAAGAAGATCCGCTTATTTTCTCCAAAACTACACGTCGTGTAAAGGAAAACCTCAACTTTGTGGACACTCTGTATTGCCTGGTTCAGCTACAAAATTTGCGACCGAGAAGGATTTGCGATAAGGTCGCAAATGAATAGCAGTAACTCAAAAACGTTTTAGAAAAATCTTGTTCACTCAAAAAACTATTTAGCGATGCAGAACTATACAGGGTGTTCCATTTGAGATTTTTTTTTCTTACTTCATTTGTAGTGGGATTTTAGAATAAATTGCACATTAGTATTACCAGTTTTCTCCTAAACAAGATAGCATAATTAGAATTTCAATATGATCTTATGTCAAAGCAGAGTTTGGAAGAAGGAAAATAAATCGAGTAGTGAACAATTTACAGAGAAGAGTCAGGCTTTGCATACAAAATAACGGACAACATTTTGAACATCTGTTATGATTTGCCGCTCTATGATAAATTTTCATTCTGTGTTCTGGTTTCACAGTACCTTTTCATCCAACAACAAATTCAATGCCAATCAAGGAAATACATCATTTAAGTTAATTTAAATGTACAAAATTCCAATATAATGTCTAGATGAAAAAACAAAGTCGGTGATGGACGTTGAAAGAAGAAACCTCGAATTGAAAACTTGACTACAGCAGAGGAGAATAAGTAAAATTGACAGCATGTAATTTATTTTGAATTTTTGCCTTAAATAAAGTCAGAAAAAAAAATAAAACGATTTTAGGAAAAGTCTTTTTCTTAGTCTCTTCACCGGGAAGTAATGGGTAATTTTTTTGCTAGTATCTTTTTGGCAACACTGTTTTTGACAGATGACGCGTGAATCGTGTCTTGTGTCATTGTCAAACTTGTTCAGTTTGGTCTATAATTTAACGATGAATCGACTTACGAACGAACAACGCTTGCAAATTATTGAATTTTACTATCAAAATTCATGCTCGGTTAAGAGAGTGCATCGAGCACTGCTTCCAATTTATGGGCAATTTGGTCGGCCTACTGAGGGAGCTATTCGGAAGCTTGTGACTAAATTTCGAACCCAGTTTACATTATTGGACATTAAACCACCAACACGCAGACGTAGAGTGAGAACTGAAGAAAATATTGCGGCTGCATCCGCCAGTGTTAGTGATGACCGTGAAATGTCGCAGCAATTGGGCCTCTGTTACTCCACTACGTGGAAAATTTTGCGACAGGATTTGGGTGTAAAACCTTATAATATACAGCTGGTGCAAGAATTGAAGCCACACGACCTCCCACAATGTTTCCAATTTGGTGAATGGGCGCTGGCAAAGTTGGAGGAAGATCCACATTTTTATCGAAAAATTGTGTTCAGCGACGAAGCTCATTTCTGGTTGGGTGGGTACGTTAACAAGCACAATTGCCGCATCTGGAGTGAAGACCAGCCAGAAGCATTGCAAGAGCTAACAATGCATCCCGAAAAAATCACTGTTTGGTGTGGATTATGGGCCGGTGGCATCATACTTCTTCAAAGACGACAATGGCCGGAACGTAACTTTTTTTGCCCAAAATGGAAGAGCTGGACTTGGCTGACATGTGGTTTCAACAAGACGGTGCCACATGCCACACCGCTCACGAAACAATGGCCCTATTGAGAGGCGAGTTCGGTGAACAGTTTATCTCACGTTTGATCGTGTGATTTAACGCCGTTGGACTATTTCTTGTGGGGCCATGTTAAGGATAATGTCTACAGGGATAAACCAGCAACGATTGACGCACTGGAAGCCAATATTTAAGCATTTATTCGTGAGATACCGGCCGATATGTTGGAGAGAGGGTGCCAAAATTGGACCTTGCGCATGGGCCATCTAAAGCGGAACCGCGGCCAACATTTACATGAAATAATCTTTAAACATTAAATTATATCGACCGTTCTATCGACTCAAATAAAGATTTAATCGTTTTTTCAAATTTTTTGTTTTTTTTTGAAAATCAAATCCTATACCTCTTAAAAAATCACCCGTTACTTTCAATTTCGACACTTTCTAAGCGGAATTTTGTTTTAATTACCTAATCATTTTACAAGGAGTCATCCATATTCATTAGGCCGATTACTTCAAAAACTCGTCTCATTGGTCAAATTTGTGCCCCATATTAGTAAAATCGCGCCTTAGAAGGCGTCAATCTACATTTTTATGTTCAATGCAATATCCCACGTTTCTAGTAACGCATCTTTTTCGGTTTCTAGTAAATCGTTCCTGTTTGCAATACTCATTATCACATAATCACATATTCTCATGATGATAGAGTTAAGTTCAAGTTGACTGTATGTTGAAAGCAACCTCTTTATGTGTACCCTCTAGGCAAGGAATATTCGGTAATACTCGATTGCGTACCGACAATCAAGAACGAGAGAGCCGAACTCGGGAGCCCGAATAGTAGCGAAGATTCGCAATCTATTAGTTCTGTTCACTTGTCGCCTAGTTCACCAGGTATACACTTAACTCATTTTAACATTATCTTACCATTGGAAAGCGTTTTTTGTTCGTTAAAAAATTTCGCAGTGAACGTGGGCAAGCGAAATTGCAGCTAAAAGCTAAAATGGCCGCTAGGCGGCGAATTTTCCCTTTCAAAAATTCAAACGTCATTATTTTGCAAAAATGCGTAATTAACGTACTGATTTAATACCTCCATTTGTTGATTGACTATTTTCGAATTTTGTTCTCAATGTCATTTTTCCGTATTTTGTTTCTTTTAAGTTGGGGGAAGGGTTTTATGTCATTTCAGAAAAAGTAAGCTTTCTTCGGGGTGTCTTAAGAACGTCCACATGTTTCCATAGCTCAAACCCAAAAAGTAATTATGATGGATCCCTCGAGTAATAAGAATTCTAGACGTAAACTCGCACAGCAACATTGATGCTGTTAACCACAGTAGTCTAATCGTTCCGTCATGCTTTTCTTGGCGGAGACCAAAATCTCCGATGCTGCACCGATTAACCTCAAATTACGAGGTGCACATCAGAGAAACAACGACGGAGTCTTTTATGCTATCTACAACCAACAAAAACCGTAAATCTTCGCGCAACACCTTGAATACCAAAATGTTAACGGCAGCTTCAAATGACATTGAGATTTGATTTTTTGATTGTCAAAAAAGTTATGAACAAAGAATGCTTCCAACCATTTCATACATCCTGCAGTCCGTATGTTTTTTGACTATTTAGATTGATCCCTTTTTGTTTCAGCGGTCGTTGCGCAAGGTGGCAACATCTCCGGAGGTACAGGCGAGGATCAGGCTAGGAAACGAGAGATGCGATTGCTCAAGAACAGGGAAGCAGCCAGGGAATGTAGGAGGAAAAAAAAGGTATGAATGGATGAGTATATTCAAACTGTCATTAACGTATTGAAGATAGCTACGAGGTCTGTAAATTGAGTAATGAGCATGGTAACGTATCGTCGATCTATAGTCAACGCCAAACAAAGTGGCGTGCACGTCATCACGATAAAAATTCCCCGACCTAATGCCTAGGTTTCTATCACAAACAATTGCTCTATTGCAGTTTCATATTAATGTGATATATAAATTGTAAAATGGTCAAACTGGGAACTGACATTTGTATTAATTTTGACACTGAATCAATTTGTGGCATTTCAAATCTTTATAAATCCTTTGGCCCCGCATACTGTAAATCAACAACTGTTTGTTTCAAAACAAAATTATTCATTTTACGAGTAGATAAAGGCAATTTTGGTATATAAAGATGCCCAAACAGTTAAATAGTCGGTGTAAGGAACTCGTGGCCTCGTTAATGCACTACTTTGAGCAAGAAAGGGACAACAACGGGCCTTTGTTGCCTTTAAATGCTGTTCAAGAGGTAGGTTACTAATAATTATATGTAATGTATATTAATAATAGTGAAATTTTATTTCATTTTTTGTAGCGTGTTGCTGCTGCTTTAAAAATTAGTTTAAGGACAGTTAGTCGTATTTCCGATGGTGTGAAAAGTGATGCAAATTTAGAATCGCCCAAGAAAAAGCGGAGTTATATTAAACGTGTAACCAACACAGCGACATTGGATACAAGTGCCATTCGAGAAGTGATCTATAATATGTATCACAAAAGTAAGATCTTATTATAATAACTTATCAGAAATTTGCATTAATTTGTTAACTAAATTATAATGTCATATTATACATGGTTTCAGAAGAACAAGTTACGATACAAACTTTATGGTCTCGATTAAGAGATAGGGCATTATTTGATGGTAGTGCCACGTCTTTAAGGCGGTTGCTTAGAGATCTTGGATTTAAGTGGCTTAAGGACAATCCGCGACGAGGGCTCATGGAACTACCAAGTATAGCTTTGAAAAGGGTGGAATTTCTAACGCAATACAATCAAGCCAAGGTTGAGGCCTTATACCAGTTTGTCTTCCTCGATGAAACTTGGATATTTCAAAATGGGACCATAGGTCGCTCTTGGCAAAATGGAAACCAAAAAAGCGTGAAAGCTATTAAAACAGATGGTAAAAGGTATGTACTTTTACACAATTTGCACTATAAAATTTAAAACTAATATATTTTAGATACATTATATTACATGCTGGAAATGAAAATGGGTTTATTGAGGGTAGTGAAGCGATATTTTCTTCGAAAACAAAATTGAGCGATTACCATGGAGAGATGAACCAGGACAATTTTTTGAAATGGTTTCAACATCAGTTATTAGAAAAATTGGAGAGTCCATCTATGATTATACTGGATAACGCCCCTTATCACAGCATGATATTGAACAAAGTGCCCAACAATGCATGGACAAAAAAAAATATCCAAGACTGGTTGACAAATCAAAACATACCATTTTTAAACACAATGTTTAAAACAGAGCTATTGAGTATTGTTGCTCGGTACATAATGCTTCTTAATTATATATATTTTTTTCGACAGTTTATATTTCTTTTGTTTATTCCTATTCTTAAAATAACTGCTTTTTTAGAAACAAACCACCTAAAATATACGTGATTGATGAATTGGCGGAACAACATGGGCACAAAGTTCTTCGTCTGCCTCCTTACCATTGTATATTTAACCCTATTGAGTTAATTTGGAGCATAGCAAAAGGTTACTATAACAGACATATTGGTAGAGATGGTAACAGTGAAAAAGACTGTTTGGATATGTGGAACGAGGCTCTACAAACGGTTATCCCAGACATGTGGAAAAATAGTGTTCGACATACTGAGCAAGAAATTTTTAAATGGTATGAAAGAGAACGAATTTTTGATCGACCAGACATCGAACCTTTAATAATCAACTTTGAGAGTGATGAAGATTCAGATTCAGACAGCGCTGAAGAAAGAAACTCCGACTAACTTTATTGTACAGAAAAAGCTTACACCAGTAGCTTACCTAATTTTAGAATGCATTTTTCTGTATGAATTCTGTAAAATAAATACCATGCATAAAATTTGGAGGACCCCATTTGGATTTTTATTCAGTACCTTTAAGCTATCAATTAAATATGGTAGTTTCATAGTGTCATCTGATCAATAATTGTCATACTTAATGATTATGCAAGTACAGATCTATAATTTTATTATACTATTATTCTTGTTCTCATTTGAGGTTAATATTGCTTATAAACCTAGATATGTAAATAATAAATTTTATTATTTTACAAAAAGTTTGGCAACAATGTAAATTTTTCAACACACCCACCTTGATGACGTGCACGCCACTTTGTTTGGCGTTGACTATATCAACACTGGAGTCAGAGGAACATGTGATCCGCCTTCAGTACAAGTTTGAACTCGCTCGAGTCATTCGTCATTCCGTAGCGATTTTTTTTTATGAAACAAGTTTTTCTATTTTGTTCTAAAATTTCGAGCAACGGTGGCTGTCAGGTTTTTCAGACTTGGACGCAGTGCAACGTTGTTAAACTTCAGCAGGCTTACCGAGATAGTGTTATGTCAAGAGCCCAGGATTTTCTGTGGTTTAAGGCATTTTTAGAAAGTAGAGAGTCGATTGAAGATGAACCACGATGCGGACCATATAAAATTTGTAATTATATTTGCATTAAAAATTTTTAAAAATCAGTCTCATCACTTAATTTACAGACCTCGTATGTACTGTTTTTCAGCGTGCAAAAATGACATGCGATATGAAATGTGATACCGTAACGTCATCTATGAGAATTTGTCACAGCTTTGTCTCCTCCGCAATAAATTGAAATAGATGTTAGTGACCCATAGATGGCGCTGTAGGCCTATACAGCGAGGAAACGAAAGAAAAACTTTGAAGGAAACTATTCATGGGTTATTATCCGGGGAATCTATGGGCACATTTCTAAAATATTGACAATTTTACAGGGTGTCACAATTTTGACTCACATATCAAAGTTGAATTTTATCAGATGGAATAGCCTAATTACACATTCGGTTAGGCCCTTTTAATAAAAGAAGATTCGTATAGCATACTTATGGGTATTGATTATTAGTTGTTGAATTAATGGGTTTTTTGTATAAAAAAAACAAAATTTTTGACAGCCTGCGTATCTGCTATGTCGATAGGTGAAGTCGTGAATTTTGTCTAATTTTTTAAAGCATAATTCATCCATGTTTCTATTTTTTTAATGATCAATACAGGGTGGTAAAAAACAAAACATGTACTTTTTTGTAAAAAAATTAAATGGAACATCACGAATATTTTTGTGCACTATAGTGATCCCCATGTTCATGAGCTTTTTTCAATATAAGGTTGTTACCTGTTTGTTTCTGCGTTATAGCTATTTGTCTAAAAAAATTGATATTTTTCTTTTCTTACAAGTCACATCATCCTTGGAAACAAAAAAACAAGTAAAGCATTATTGACAACATGTCCATAAAATCAGGCTTTTATCAAGAAACCAACCAATTCAATGCTTCTGTGTTGTAATTCAGTATGACTGATTGATATAGCAATATAAAATTAATTTTTGATATGTCTGAAAATGACATCAATAAGTCAACATGACTACAATTTAAACCAATTGTGCTTCTACATAAAATGCTCAAAAATGTCCACTTGGTGCACTAAATATCAGTTAGACATTTTGTTTTCAGTATAAGTGTAATTTAGCTTCGTATCAATATGTAGTCCAAGAAATTTCGTTTTTCCTCTAAAATCCAGTTTAGTGTTCCCCAATCTGAATTCAAACTGTTCTTCAGAATTTTGTGTATGTCATACAACATCAAAACAGAACAAAATTGGAAAATTGACATTTTCGGACTTAAGAGGTATTGATCGATATGCAAATATAGTCATCTATGAGACACTACTATTTTCAGAGCAGACTTCTAATCTCTGATAACACTGTTCAACAAAATTTTAACTTTGTCGTGCCACACGGACTTTTTTGATATTTTTTACTTTAATTGGTGATTGTAAGAAAAAATAAACAGTTAAAAAAAATTTGCTAGACAAGGATTTTATTCTATTGAGTAATTTACAATATTAAGAAAAAACACAGATCTCGTAAATCAAAAGTTATTTTTTTTACTCCCATTGCGATCCATTACCTTCACAAATTTTTTTATTAATCCTAATTTGATATGCAATGGTGGTAGAAGCACATTATTTGGCTGTACAAGGGGTAAATACTTTACGTTTTTTGCCCAGGAACTAACGATGCACGCGTAGGCCATGTTTTTTTTTTTAATAGTGATTAGTTCTGTCTCGGCTATCCCATCCACATAAAAAGCAGCAAAACTTTGTATAACCCAGCTGAAGTCCAAGTAATAGTGCAACAACTTTAAGATCACCGCAGATTTTGAAGGAATATGTACTACAATTTATTTTTTCAAGTTAAAGTTTCATATTTGCATAGGTTTCTTTCATATTTGCAGCATGGGCCAGAGGTACAGACGGAAGCTTATTTCCATTATGCAATAACACTGCTTTTAGACTTGCTTTCGAAGAATCAATGAATAAACGCCACTGAGAGAGATCAAAATCTATGTCCAACATTTTCATAATCTCATTTATGTTATTGCAAAACACCAAATCTCCATCCTGAGAAAAATACGTTCTGAAGTGTTGATCACGGTTTCGAAAATAACTAACTTTTGTATTATGATGTAGCAAATTCCATTCGTTTAGACGTGATCCTAATAATTCTGACTGCTTTTTTGACAAATTTAAATCCCGAACCAAATCATTTAGGTCTCCTTGAGTTATCAAATGTGGCTCGTTTACAATTCCTTTTAACTCAAAGTCATCGTCCTCGTCAACACATTCACCTGAAGTGGACAGTTGTGAATTGTTCTCAACAGACTTAGTTGCAACTGGTATTAGTTCTGGCAATTTTTTACAATGAGAGACTGGTCTTATAGCCGAAGATAAGTTACGGTAAATAACTGTGGTTTTTTTCTTGTAATTTATACCTATTATGTCTGTGAGACAAAAATAGCAATCTGAAACGTGATCTCGCTGTTCAGTCCATATCATGGGTACAGCAAACGGCATAGGTCGTACATCTTTCTTCCAGTCAGTTAAATTTTTCACACACGTTATGCAACAGACATGAGGATTTATCTTGATGGGCGACAGAAAAACCAAAACATTGGTGATAACACTCCAACACAAGATTCCTAAAATTTCGTCGTTGTTTTTTGAATGTTAGTTCTCCGCAGACATAACAAAAAGAGTTAGGATCATTATTACACTTCCTCGACATATTCACAGGGTTAATAAATCATAAAAAAGTGTTCAAATTCAACAACAAATATTTTTATAAGGATTTACTTGTAAGCGTTTCTGTTAATTTACTGCCGTAGTACTAGTTATGAGTATTATCGTATCACAACAAATATGAGGCTAATAGACATATGACAGCTGTCATGTAATAATGAGGGTAGACTGATAAAACAAAATTAGCTGTCAAAGTTCGTGTGGCAAAACCAGTGTTGACCAGTGTAATTCTTTGGACGCGAAAATATATAGATGAAATACGCTAATCATTATTATTATTTTTCGTAATAGTGCAACTGACGCTTTCTGTATCGATTTCAGGAGTACATCAAATGCCTTGAAAACCGGGTGGCGGTGTTAGAAAACCAGAACAAAGCCCTGATCGAAGAGCTCAAATCGCTCAAAGAGCTGTACTGTCAACAGAAAGGTGAATGAGAATGACTGATAAGAGATGCGCTAGTGCGTTGTTGCCGTTTCTCTACCTTTTGCGACGTAGTGCTGAAATCCGTGATGGTCTCGGTAGTGACAGAGTATTTATTTTTATTATGAAGGCGGACACCGAGAAGGCAGATGTATAGTCATGGGAAATCGAAAATTCGCGTGACTTTTAGTCATCCGTGCTTAACCGCTGTTTGACGAAATTTCGATTTGTCATCTCGGCCGTATACATTTGTATAAAGGGATGGGATGGAAGAGGGACATTTTGTTACCATATAGCTTTACGAGGATCGAGAAAGTGTTATTGTCAATTTATAAGAAGATTCTTAGTTCGATCTCAGGATGTATCATGCATAATGCATTTTAAGATATTCTTACTAGTATCTTTAAAATAGCAGACACAAACATTATACATATTATGTGCTTTCTACTTGGTAGTTGAGCATTTGTTCTATTACTAACCAGACACCGAGAAAAAGTAAAATAGTATAACTGAGTAATTTTTCATAGAAGTTTTAATGAAAATATCTAAAAATTGAAATAGAAATGCGGAAAATTTGTATATGTTCGTCACGTATTTTTGCAAAGTTTGATCAAAATCGACAATTTTATCCCCTATAACATCAAGACGCGACCTGATAGAGAACTTGATATTTTTCAGAATTATTTCCGTTTTTGACAAAAATAATCATATGCTTAAAATGATGATCTGTATAGACATTAAAACGTTACCTTGAAGTTTGAATAAAACTCTCCGTCTCGTTTTTGAAATATTTGGCTTAACCCGTGGTACTGTCGTATTGATATTTTTCCAATATTTTATCTTATGAAGAAAAATAATTATACAGGGTGTCCCGAAAGTTGGCACTTTACAAAGCGTCGGACAACAATAAGCAAGTTTTCTTAGTAAAACATACACCGAACCGTTACGTCACAAGGTACGATGTTTAGTGGTACTTTCAAAAAACGTCACCTTGACATTTTCGAGCGCAGTTTTTTTTATGTGGAAGAAAAATCGGACCATTTAAATAAGCTGAAAAGTTTTGTGCGCGCAGCTGCAGTAGAGCCTGTATTCTCTACTCCGCGGCTCTGTACTTATGAATAAATTCTATTTCTTGTCATAACTTCACAAGGACACCCTTTATAGATATTCAAAAACCTGGCCCTATCAATTGTGAGCGACATTACTGCAAAATAGAAAGGTAATGTTCAAATTAGTTTTTGGCATATTTAGCAAAAAAGGATTCCGTCGTATGGTCCACGTACAGTCCAATTTTGTCGCCACTAGGCGTGTTATAATTGGTTGTGCAGTCGAGTAGGAAATTTTTTCACATTTTGATACTCAGCTTATAATTCAGGATTGTTTTTATTAAAAACTAGTTTTGGACGTAGGTAATGTTTTAAAAGTGCATTTTGCATGATAGCACTATACAGATGTTCAAAACGCAATCAATAACTTGCTATAGAAATCTCTGAATCAAATGATTTTTATCGAAGCAATAGTAGCATTTAATCAAAATGATCTACCTCTGCCGAATATTTTCCTTAGAGACATTTGGTACAAAATTATGGATTAAATTTCATAATTTGCAACATTTTTCTATACACTAGCGGACAAAAGTTTGCAAAACACTCTTAGTAATCTTTAATCTTTGAGAAATGTCAACACTTCTAAATAATTCAATTGCTTTGTTACTTGAATGTTTTGAACATTCTTTTACTTTTGCCATTCTCACAGATGTTAATATTTATCGCACGCAATATCAAAATATCGCAGAACCAATAAATACGGCAAAACTGAAATGTTTCCATACTTTTGTCGTTACAAACACATATTTTTATTTTCAGAGAATTTGAATAGTGATAAGATAAACCTTGTATTATTACTGGAGACAAAGGTAGAGATTTAGGTATATGAAATGGTTCATAATGTGAAGTATACACCACTGTTATGTCCTTAAAAAATCGGAAAAGTCCTGGGTTCGATGGTATTAAAAGCGAGCATTTGAAAATTATAGCCGAGGACATAACAGAACCACTCACTTACCTAATCAACAAATGCTTTGAATCTGGCATATATCCCTCAATTTTAAAAAAAGGTAATATAATACCGATACATAAATCAGGAACAAAAACAGATGTTAACAACTATAGACCAATATCAATAATATCCAGTGTAGCGAAGGTTTTTGAAAAAGTTTTATCTACTAGAATGATTCGATACCTCACAAAATTCAAAATTTTAAGTGAAAATCAATATGGATTTACAGAAGGGAAGGCTACATCGGACGCAATAACTAAAATTGTAAATCAAATACATCAAAATATTGATAACAGAATCCCTTCAATCTGCATTTTTGTTGATTTAAAGAAAGCTTTCGACACAGTTAATCACAAATTATTATTAGAAGCATTGGAGAGAATTGGTTTCAGAGGAAACGCGTACTCACTGATCGAAAGTTATTTGTCAAATCGCCCACAATCTGTGCAGATATCAGGATCATTTAGTAAAGAAATGTATATTAAGTGGGGTGTCCCACAAGGAACTGTCTTAGGTCCGCTGTTATTCAATATATATTTAAATGATATTTTCCAAATTAATTGTGTTGGCAAAATAACTAGTTTTGCAGATGATACTGCAATATTATATGAAGGCACTGACTGGTCTGATCTGAAAAATGTAATTGAAAATGATTTTATCAAAATTATTCGGTGGTTTAACAGTAGAAAATTAAGCATTAACTACTCTAAAACACATTTTTACCATTTGGATCTTATGCTAGACATCTGCCAAATTACACAAATTTCTCCTTCAATATTAATGATCAAAAAATGCAAATTAATAGAGTGCCCAACATAAAATACCTTGGAGTGGTCTTGGATCCTCACTTACGATGGGACATCCATGTCAATTATATTTTAAAGAAAGTTAGATTTGTATCCTACAAAATTAAATACCTTGGGAATATATTGACAGAAAAATATCTTCGAACATTATACCATGCACTGATTGAGCCTCATCTCACATATGGTATATTAGCATGGGGAGCTGCATGTTCCTCACATATCTATAATTTAGATGTTTTTCAAAAAAGTATTCTAAAAATGATATTTAAAAAACCGAAACTTTATCCCACTGAAAAATTATATGCAGATGTTTGAATGTATGATATAAGACAGCTTTATTTCTTACACAGTATCACTCACTACCATAAATTTGTAAACACCGACCAAAAAATTAAACATAATCATTATACCAGGTACAAAATTTTATGAAATTATACCTAAAGACTTACGTTTCGGAAATTGTTTCAAAAGAAATTTAAAAAAGTGGCTACATTCTATATCTAGAACTGAAATTCATAAACTCATAAATACGAACATCAACTAAATACATAATCTACTGTAGTTAATTTTTGTCCTTTTTTTGTCATTTACATTCTACAGTTTCAACTTAAATTATTGGTCCATGTACAGGCGATGTCTTCTATTGAGCCTGTTTTGATTTTATATTTATTTACTCATATTGTTTGATATCTTTGTACATTGAGTAAATAAATATTATTATTATTATAATATTTTGTTTCCAAATTTTTGTCCGCTATTGTATATCATTTGCCTGAACACCGATGTTATAAAATTAGTCTGCATGTTTCTGACTTCTGTATAGTGCCCTGATACGTACTAAGAAAATCTGTTGTCCAAAATGAAAGTCGAATTAACTGTACTAAAACACTTGCTAAATTTTATATAGCTCTCCGAAGAGTCATAAAATTTGGAACACCGTACGATATATCTCTACATTATGGGTTTTAAAAAGGCTTGTGAAAAAAACGTATTTAGTTTGTATAAAAAGCCAATGTATATATTTGAATACTTAGACGTATAAACTGAAAATGTAATGCGAGAATGGCTGATAACAAACTAATATTACAGAAAACAAAAGATAACGTTACTGTGTTCGAGAGGTGACGTTTTTAATGGCGGAGTTTCATAGTGCCGTCAACATTTTATACTCGGGATTTTTTTGTGGACTACACGCATCTATTGTAGTTTTTTTGTTCGCAAAAAAATCAAGCCAGGTTGAGAGAACATATTATTATCGTAATCAGCCACTTCTCATAGAGTGCCTTTGGTAGAAATTAAACGAATGCCGCTTTCAGTTGGTAGAACTTTTCAATAGTGCCATCGTATCTGATCCCCGAATCAGTTTATATTTTTTGTCAAAATTTACAAAAGGTTCTACAAACTGCGGGCGCGAACACAAAGAAAAAACGTCGACGCTGAAAAACACTCAGAGTAGTAAACACACTGTATTATAGTTGTATGTATTTTTACATATCAGAGAAAGTACTCTATTTTGCATAACCAAAGCGTAAACGTGTTATTTGACGGATAATTTGTGTATAAATTGTATTGTTTCCGAGAGAATAAAACGCTCGATTGTTGAAAAGAATATCGCGTGTTTATTCTTTTATTTGATTGGTGGTGTTACGGATCCTGCTCATGCCGAATCCCGATATCAACAAAATCACAAAACCTTGTCTCGTTGTGACGTTATTTTAACTAAGGACCGAATGCATAACTGTTTTTTGAGGACTTCTTTTTGTAAGAGAATTTGTAAGACATCAAATAAGGCGTTTTTTTTTTCATCTTGTTCAGGACGCTCCTTTGTTCGGTTTTCGTCTGCCGGTCGTATGACGTCACTCAGAGAGTGGTTTTCAATTAGGGAGTTACCACAGCAGTGTCAATATTGTTCGACTATTTTGTTCACTGCAAACGAAACTGTATTTTGATAATTACAAATATTACAAAATAAAGCTATTTGAAATAGAAATAAAAATAAATGTTATGCTGACAGGTCTTAAATATCAAAAAATTCATAACCTACTTGTTTTTCATTTTCAAGTTAATAAATCATATTCTACCGAATCATTTAGAAAATTGTATTGAATTGAAAAATGAGTACCATAGTTATTCTGAACTATAGACTTATACAGGGTGGCCGATATGTAACTGACTGGTTTTTATCTTGAATATTTGTGAAATGAAATAAAATACGTCCATTTTTTTCATCTCAATCTTCTACTGAAACTTAGAAATAATCCCTTATTTATCCTCCAACCATTAGGACGCCAGGCCGTGAAGTCATACGAAAATGGGACCACTCACCATGCGCATGCATCTGTACGTGCCTCTTGTTATCCATAATTTAAGGCTTGATGCAGAATGCGTTTTATATGCGTAGCGTTTTTTGAGGACCGTGACGAAATAACAAACCCTTGAAGTTGAATGACAACGCAAGGGAATAAAAAAGGCTCAAATCGAACAAAGTAGCATTCACCCTCGAGGCAAATATTATTGCATATATCAGAAGTGTCAAGACAAATGAGGCGACCTCACAATAAGGATGCCTCAAGCTAATACAAGACTATGCACTCACATTTATCGACGTTCCTTGAAGATCGAGTGCCGAAAATCGTGTTCTAAAATTTTGAATTTGAAAATCTGTGTTTACAACTTACTACGAAATGCAAATGGTAAATGGTTCAATGAAAGAAGCGTTATTATATAAATTTCTCAATCTTCAAGGACCGTCTATAAATGTGACCCTAAAACACTTGAACAGTAATTTTGTCATTAATTTTCTTAACTACTTGGAAAGGGAGGATCCAACACCATTCAAGCATGTCTCGAATGTTATTTTAGAATCAAATGTATATTTCCTTTGCAATTCAAGAAATGTCGGGTTGTACGTTGAACAGATATTTAAGTTAAAATATCTGATTATATTGATTTTCGGGTTTGGAACTGAAATAGAGTTCCATTGTCAGATCATTGCTATTTTTTAATAGCCACCTTAGTAGTTAGGTGAATTTGTAAATAAGACTTGTTAGGTGTTATTAGTTGATGAATTCATTTATTACCAATAAAAAAGAATATTTTATTTTTACGTGTTTCATTCCATTAAACAACGTTAGCTGAAGTTTTAGACAAAAGTATGAAAATGAAACATCATACATAGGATCGCATTTCAAGGGGGTGCTTCTATAATGTTTAGGGGATTAGTGGCATTATTTTTCCAAATAAAAATATTACGCCAGTTTTTTTTTCAAAACGCGCAATTTTTGAATTGTACCTTCAATTTGCTACGAATAATTTCTCTTGTTTTTTCCTATAGTGCACTATTTTCGTAAAAACGAGGTATAATTATACTAAGTGACATATAAATCCGAACAACCAGTTTAAATAATTTTATTTTAATAAAATTTTGTATAAGTACTTAATGAAGCATAATAAGTAAATGATAAAAATTTCAAAATGATTGCACTGCTTTAAAGCCCTTTGACCTTTAATAATGTGTGGATGTGCTACGCATTCTCCAACGCGCCTAGGCATGCTTCTGATCAGGTGGTCAATGTCCTCCTGTGGTATCTCATTCCAGGCAACCACCAACTCCTCTCGAAGTGCTTCTAGAGTCTGAGGAGGACGTTGCAAATTGAGCAATCTCCTACCCATCATATACCACACGTGCTCAATTGGGGATAAGTCGGGAGATCTTGGTGGCCATGGTAACAATGTGACATCATTATGTTGAAAGACGTCTATTGTGACTCTTGCAACATGTGGTCGGGCATTATCTTGTTGGAAAGTTGGATCTGCCACGGTGTCAAGATAGGGTAAAAGATGGGGTTCTAGAACTTCGTGGATATAACGCTGCGCGTTCATGTTACCTCTGATGAAGATTAAAGGTGACCTGGAACCATAAGCTATAGCAAACCAAACCATAACTCCAACAGTGTGATGAACATGTCTTTCAACAAAAAACTGTGGATTCCTCGTTTCACCACGTCGCCTTCTAACCCTGGCACGACCATCGTGCATGCCTAAACAAAATCAAGACTCGTCACTAAAGACAGTACTGTTCCATTCCTGATCCCAGAGTGAACGTTGTCTGCACCACTCAAGGCGATTACGTCGGTGTTCTCGAGTTAAAGGGAGGACCCAGTGTGGCCGGTATGAAAACCAGCCAAAACTTCTCATTCGTCGGTAAACACTTCGCATGCCAATAGGTCTGCAAACCATTCATTTGCAATGGACCTGGTAGTGGAGAAACGGTCGCTTAAGGCCAATAATCTTAGGCGGCGATCTTCACGGTCTGTTGTTCTACGGCGGCGTCCAGTGCCCCTTGCTCTTTGCGTAGGGCCTTCTCGAAGCCATGCCTGACAACACCTAACCACAGTGTCTACACTTCTTTGCACTCTAACTGCAATTGCCCGAAAAGAAAGTCCAGCTTCCCGAAGTCCCACTATACGGCCCCTATCAAACTCACTAAGTTGACGAAATCGTACAGGTCTCCGTACTCTAGGCATCGTAACCGATCGTAAAGGACGTCAAGAACCAAAATCCGCCAACGTTGATTCTTTACTGAGGCTGAAATATTCATTTTTAGAGCGTTAGTGAATTAAAAAAAAAACAGTATAAAAACCGGAATGTCCAACTGATAAGGCTGAAAATTTTTTCACTTGTTAAGTAAGATAAATACATTCACCAACTTTTATTAAAATAAAACCATTTAAACTGGGTGTTCGGATTTATATGTCACTTAGTATATTTATACCGTTGTTATCGTTACTACTACCATTTTTTTATGCCGCACTTGTATGAGTCAGTGGTGGTCTTTTTGAACAGTTATTGAAATAAAGCTTTGATTATCTATTTGTTTTTTATTTTTACGAAAACGATGCACTCTAGGAAAAAACAAGAGTAACTATTTGTAGCAAATTGGAAGTAAAATTCGAAAAACTGCGCGTTTTTGAAAAAAAAACAGTGGCGTGCTATTTTCATTTGGAAAAATGCCACTGATCCCCTGTATCTCCGCCTGTGGTGCGCATTAAGATATTAAAAAATTATTTTTTATTTATAACTTCAACACATCTTTTTAATGAAGCCCTTGACGAAAAAATGTTACATAAACGACCTCCCTCAAAATGCGGTTCTGTGTCTGATGTTTCATTTTTGGTCACGACTTGTGAATCACCCTTTATAAACAGGGTGGCCCGACGAAAAGGTCGCACCCCCATTTGTGACTCTCCTGGTATATTTTGGAAAAAACTCGGACACGTCAGTTTTGTGTTTAGTAATTTAAGTATAGTGAATTAACTATACTAAGTGACATATAAATCCGAACACCCAGTTTAAATGGTTTTATTTTAATAAAAGTTGGTGAATGTATTTATCTTACTGTAAATAACAAGTGAAAAAATGTTCAGCCTTATCAGTTGGACATTCCGGTTTTTATACTGCTTTTTTTTAATTCACTAACGCTCTAAAAATTAATATTTCAGCCGCAGTAAAGAATCAACGTTGGCGGATTTTGGTTCTTGACATCCTTTACGATCGGTTACGATGCCTAGAGTACGGAGACCTGTACGATTTCGTCAACTTAGTGAGTTTGATAGGGGCCGTATAGTGGGACTTTGGGAAGCTGGACTTTCGTTTCGGGCAATTGCAGTTAGAGTGCAAAGAAGTGTAGACACTGTGGTTAGGTGTTGTCAGGCATGGCTTCGAGAAGGCCGTACCCAAAGAGCAAGGGGCACTGGACGCCGCCGTAGTACAACAGACCGTGAAGATCGCCGCCGAAGATTATTGGCCTTAAGGGACCGTTTCTCCACTACCAGGTCCATTGCAAATGAATGGTTTGCAGAACACGGAAGACCTATTGGCATGCGAAGTGTTTACCGACGAATGAGAAGTTTTGGCTTGTTTTCATACCGGCCACACTGGGTCCTCCCTTTAACTCGAGAACACCGACGTAATCGCCTTGAGTGGTGCAGACAACGGTCACTCTGGGATCAGGAATGGAACAGTATTATCTTTAGTGACGAGTCTCGATTTTGTTTAGGCATGCACGATGGTCGTGCCAGGGTTAGAAGGCGACGTGGTGAAAGGAGGAATCCACAGTTTTTTGTTGAAAGACATGTTCATCACACTGTTGGAGTTATGGTTTGGGGTGCTATAGCTTATGGTTCCAGGTCACTTTTAATCTTCATCAGAGGTAACATAAACCCCATTTTTTACCCTATCTTGACACCCTGGCAGATCCAACTTTCCAACAAGATAATGCCCGACCACATGTTGCAAGAGTCACAATAGACTTCTTTCAACATAATGATGTCATGTTACCATGGCCACCAAGATCTCCCGACTTATCCCCAATTGAGCACGTGTGGGATATGATGGGTAGGAGATTGCTCAATTTGCAACGTCCTCCTCAGACTCTAGAAGCACTTCGAGAGGAGTTGGTGGTTGCCTGGAATGAGATACCACAGGAGGACATTGACCACCCGATCAGAAGCATGCCTAGGCGCGTTGGAGAATGCGTAGCACATCAGGGTGCATCCACACATTATTAAAGGTCAAAGGGCTTTAAAGCAGTGCAATCATTTTGAAATTTTTATTATTTACTTATTATGCTTCATTAAGTACTTATACAAAATTTTATTAAAATAAAACCATTTAAACTGGGTGTTCGGATTTATATGTCACTTAGTATATCTTGAATCGTTGTGTAGTTTTGTTTCCAGCTACCATGAAGGCCTAAACGCTCATGGGGTACCGTGGGGCTATAGGGCGAATTCTTACAGGGAGATCATATATTATCAAAAAAAGAAAAACAAAACCTCTCATTTTCGATTTAAATACTTCCTTACTAAAAAAGTGAAATGGTCGGAAAATTTCGTTAAAAGTGAACATTGTTAAAATCCAAGGGAAATAAGACACAAATCTATTTTGACTGTATATGTAATAAACATTCGTTGATTGATTATCCATTTGAATACACCTGAAATACCTAGTATCACAATATAAGTACGTAAAATTTATTACAGATACAAAAATCACAATCGCATGGTATATTATAGAACATCAACAAAAAATAAATCTGAATACATTTACGGGGTTAAATAGTAATACTAGATAAATACCTAAATCTAAAATTGGTATAAAACACTATAGACCAGCGTATCTACAATTTCAGAAAAAATCGTATAGACGGATTACGTTATATTTTTTGACGGTAAGTGAAAAGACTCGTCAAATTCCCAACTCCTTTTTGCGTGTATTAAAAAACTTTTAAATTTGGCTAAATATACTACTACTACTACTATTAAAAATACCTTCACCTACTTTGTTGTTAAGGAGGCATGTCCCCTTTTTTAGATTTTTTTTCAACTGCGTGTTTGCAGCAGTATTCTAAATCCTTTTCATCTGATGATTTCATGATGTGTCTAGAGATGACTAAAAAACAATGTTTCCATTTTTTGTCAAAAAATGCATTCTTCAATCGGAACTTGTTAACAAATATAAGTACAGCTCTGAAATTGTGTATGAATATTGGAAGAATGAAATGAGTGATTACTTTTGTTATCACTTTTCCTTTTCGAAAAAGCTTTGCTTTTCTTGAAAACTCAACTTGCTGCGAGACGAGGCTTCAACAAAATCAAAGATTTTTCGAAAAGGAAAAGTGATAAGAACAGAAGTAATCACTCGTTTCATTGTCCCATAAAAGAGGAATATTCACACATAATTTGAGAGCTGTACTTACATTTGTTAACAAGATCCGATTGAAGAAAGACTGCACATAAAATGCAAAAAAAAAGGGACCTGAGACCTTGAATGTCTTTCTTGACGAGCTGCTCAGCGACAAAACCGCGGCAATAAATAGAAAATATAAAGTCTAGTTTTAAAGATCTTTTCATGCTCTGCAACTTTTCTACAGACCATTTTTATCTTTTTAACTTCATTCAAATATCTCTAGATGAGAATCCTTTTCATTTGCCCGCAAAAATATAATTCCCTTGTAACTCAGTCTATACAATGTGAATATTGTTTGTTATTTAACATGATCTACAATTGTGCAAATTAAAATCCACACTCTAGTGTGATGAATAAAAGCAGTAAAGGAAAAATAAAATCACAAATTTGACTTAGATGCTTAAAGTAACGCTTATTGTTTTGAGGTAATGCCGTTCGTTTTTATCTCACTATCTGAACGACATAGCGTGTAAATCGACTGCAAAGGAACGTGTAATAGTTCGATTATCTTCAAGTAGTCGGGTTCTAAAATCAGAAAAAATACATCAGTTAAACGTGAAACCAAAATTTGTGGAACAATCTATGAGCTCAGTCACTTTTTGCCAAGTTTCTTACTAGTCTAATTATACAGGGTGATATTTAAGTACGCAGTCCTACTTCAGGAGGTGATTCTTTCAGTTATTTCAAGATGAAAAGTTTATATAAACATAGGTCCAAAAATGCTTCATTTCAAAAAATCAGTTTCTCCTAAAGATCTCGATAAACTTTCAGTCGATTTTGTTTAAATTTAGCAATGGTATCAAGGGCAGTAAGGGGGTAATTTAGCCAAAATTAGATTGAAGTTATTAATCCTAGTGGCATCCAGGAAAACGCCCTAACCAATATCTTTAAAAAAAAATTTGTGGGCCACTGACTTTTTTCAATTATTCTATTTTTTTTTCGAAGCAGCTAAAAGTCCAACTTTTTTGTCTTCTGAATTCCTTTCATATCTCGCTTCGTTGTGCTTTTTACTTTTGATATGAAAGAAACTCAGGAAGCAAAAAGGTTGTATTTTTAGCTGCTTAACTCGAAAAAAATAGAAAAATTAAAAAAGTCAGTGGCGCACAATTTTTTTGTCAAAGATATTGGTTAGGGTGTTTTTCGGGACGCTACTGGACTTAATAATTTCAATCTAATTGGGGCTCCATCAGCCCCTTACTGCCCTTAATACTACTGCTAAATTTAAACAAAATCGACTAAATGTTTATTGCGATATACAGGGTGTCCGCACATTTGGGGTTTTCCTTTTCAGAAACAACTACCCTTGAAATAACAAAGGTAATGTGTAGTGAAACGAGGGCGACCAAGTAAAAAAAAAATAAAGGAAAAAGTACTCACTCTCCAGTTGACGAGAAGGGCTAAGTACGTCTCTGCCCGAAATCATATCGCTCCAACAGAAAATGAAATCAGCTGATGCGCTACCGAGCAGACGCAGGCAAACAAGGAAGGCAAAATGTTTCGTAAAAAGTCTATGTATTGCATTCCCGCACCCTGTATATCGTATATAGGAAAACACATTTTTTTTTTAAATTTGACACTCTGTACCTTGACCATGAAGCATTTCTGGATCTATATTTATATAAACTTTTCATCTCAAAATTACTTAAAGAGGCACCTCCTGAAGTTTGGCCATGTACTTATATATAATAATACCCTGTATGAGCCATAATAAAAGAGAGTCAACCTCGAAATGAGAGATAAGCTGTAAACTTGTAGAAACCATTGCCATTATAAAAATTGTCTCGTGTCCACATCTTAATACATGTGGTTTCGATTGGCAAGAGAAATGTGGGGGGTATCGACTAGAAAACCACCGGATAAATTACATTAGCTGGAGTTTCACAATGACATCTGCCGACTAGTTGCCTTTTTGGTTTATATTCATCAGCTGATCGCTTGACATAAAAAAATGGAGTTGAGCATGTCGATGCCTTGGTTTGAACTCACCATTTTCTGGATTAATTTGCCCATATCTGATCAAGAAATCTAATGTAACAGGACAGCTGGTGGTTTTGAACTCCTCAGATACGATTCTGTCGCAGCAGGCTTTGACTTCCATCAGTTCGAACGTTTCCACCTCACCGTCGGCGTTCTCGGGGATAAAATCAGCTGGCAATTCGATGTCAAACACAAATTCTGTGTTTGGAAACAGGCCTCTTTCTCCTTCAAAAAAGAATCTGCAATATTATTATTGGTATTAGATATGGAGCAATAATAAACTATAGATTAAAAAAACTAAAAAAAAAACGCTTTAATAGCAAACCAAACAAAAAAATTAGAAAACAATTTTCAAGTAATTTGGAATAAGATCAAATTAAGATACTAACAAAAAAATTATATAATAATATTCAAATTCGATTTTCCCCAAGATTATTCTATTGTCATCAGCCCTTAACTGTGTGTTAAAAAATTACTTATTTGAAGACTTCAAAGCTGTGATGAAAGAGGTCCACTTTAATATGGTTATCGTTATAATTTTCTAAAATCTTCACTATAATTCCATAATTGGTCATATCATAAGCTATTTTTCTAAATAGTCGCCATTTTTTCTACGCACTTTTTTAGATGTGGAATCCACTTTTTCGACGGTGTTGCCAGATTTCGCCTAGCATCACGCGCGGCAATGTTACAGCGTTATTTTTGAAAGAAGTTATTAATTGTTTACTAATTACTAAATGAAAAACTTACGAAACAGATCCAGCGCTTTTCAGGCTTGCAAGTAATTGTGGCGTTAGTGAAGCTTCTTCAGCTGCCTCTTTGTGTGCAGTTTCTAGAATACCAGTGTTCACAGCCAAGCCTCCACTCACCATATTGTCCCATTTACCTTTAAAAAACAAAAATTACACAACAGAACTCCATAATTTTCTTACCAAATGAAACCACAAATGTACAAATTACTTTTTACTGTCGTTTCAGCCTCAATAGTGTGCGGCAGGGTTATTATGTAAAAAACTATATAGATATACATATAATTCGTTTTTTTCTGACATTATGTGGTTTCATTTGCCCAGAAAATCATATAAGTTCTATCAGCATGAAAACAAGAGGATAAGTTTCAGGTGTTATAACACTATTTACTGTGATATCTCAGCTTATCGTGACATCTACCTTGTGCCCTTTGTGTTTATTATGTTTTTAATATTCTGAATTTTAGTAGCGTTTCAGAATTATGTTTACCAAATATTGATTAGAAATTTCTCAATTCTTAACTGACTTCAGTAGTGTTGTGATCATTAGCAGCTATATCAGCCATTCTGATTGTATATTGAACTCTCTTAAGTACTTTATCAAAAAAAAAATCAACACAGTGTTTTTTCAAATGCTTTGGTCAGTTCATACATTCTTCGAATATGTGCTTACCAGGCCAAGTTTGTTTAGTAAGTGCCCTCTTCTGGAACCAAATGCACAACCCTTTCTGCGGATGCCTGACAAATCCATTAATTGATACTCCATACTGTCGGATTCCAAACAAGCAAGTTGCTGATCTCTCCATTTCCAACAAACCATCAGAGTTGAACTCAGTTCTCACATCATAACACTGAAATTTATCGTCAGCAAAAACAACAGGGTAACTATAATTGAATCAATTCAGTATTATGTTAACAAATATTAAAAAAATTCATGCAGACTACTGTAATATTTTCCTAAGAGTAATTGTACCTCATCCCTCCATCCTCTCAGGGTGACAAACACATTTTTTTCCCTCAAGTCTTCTAAAACTGGCGCAACTTTGCTACTTCTCTCTTGGTAGTCTCTAAATGCTGGATTCAACTCGACACAACCAGAATGGATCAGGAACACCTATATATACGATATTATACACATATTAATTCACAATATTGACTTCAAATCATTTAATCTTCTACTTATAGTTTTCGTAAAAACACTGACAATTCCTTTTGTCTCAATTTCGGCTTTTATTTGTCTTGGGGTTTTAAACGGATGAAATTACATTTATTAATCTAACTGATCTAGCATTTTGTTTTCAAGGCTGGCCACTTCTCTTAGAGGCTTTCAAGATACCTTTTTGTTTATATTTGTTCAATATTGCCCAAACTGCTTTACACTTCACCTTCAAATTTTTGGCAATGTCAACTTAAAGTCACTCATCTTATTCCACAATACTTGAAGAACACAAACTAATCCTCTACTGGCACGAAAATGTACTAAACTAAGAATTTGTCTACATATTTTTGTCCCTCATAAAAAAGTGCTTATATTCAGACTTGTACTGTGTTCATTGCAGATAATGTAAAAACAAGGAATTTTGTTTTTCTACTAATAACGCATTTTTTTATGAAGCAATGAGGTATGAATTCGTTTTCTAAAGGTATTTAGGAAAATATTCATATTGGTCTATATACTTTTGTCAATTACTGTATATAGTGTGATTCTGTGTAGAATGTTTTTTTATTTTGCCCACCCTAACAACCCCAAAACTTTTTGGGCCAGGTACACTATCACAAAAATGTATCTCTTGCCAATGATCAGCCACACAATTAGTACATAGACATTCTTTCCCTGCCCTACTGATAGTTACCGTCTATGTGGCAAAGTTGTCCCTTTCCGCACGTATGAGGCAACGAATTATCTTTCGTTTCGTGCAAGGTCCGTATGTTTTTTGCGCTTTAGTACAGTTACATATAACTGGACTGGCGGTGCGCTGAGATAAAACAGGAGACGCGTATCAAGTTTTAAAGATAAATGTAGAAGTAAATCTATGATGTGTAGGCGATTTAAAAACAATGAAGGAACTTATATGGGATATCATCAGTTATAAAACATACACATAACTAGGTACTTACTTCTGGGTATTTTAACAACTGCTTCATAACATCTGGCCTTATTAGGCCTACTTGAAACCCTTCCACGATGAATGGCTTGCATTCTTGCTTTTTCAGGCCTATTTAAAGGAGAAAAAGGTGAGAAAATGCGCTTATTGATGCAGATCAATACTTCTCACAGACCCTATATATTCTTATAGCTATATGCAGTGAAACATTGTAAATATGGGAAGAATAAAGGCTTGTTTTAGTGTGCGCTTACCTGTTAAGTAAAAACAATTAAATTTATGTGATAACTTGTAAAATCGGGACATTATTTCAAAAAAAAATCTAAGCAGGATGACAGACAGACGGAGAACGACGTAAATAAAAAAAGGATAAACGTGTACCTTCGGAATTCCGATACTCGAAGCATACTCGCAGCAGTGGTGTCCTCAGTGTTGCCGGCTGATATCTTTAGAAGTAGCAAATAGTACAGTTTGATCATCGATTTGATAAGTTGTTCTGAGAATACGCAGGATTAAGCTAAATCTATAAAAAAATACGACCTAAGTTAGTAACATATGTGTATATTGGCTGGCTTGACTGTCACGTGAAAGCAAAGCTTGAACTTATTCCATTTCTGTCGATCTATCGGAAATAAGCAGCTTCCTTAACTATTGTGTTCGGCTATAGAGTTCAAGAATTTCTGGAGACCAGAGCCCAAACTTATAGTCCTCCCAGGACAGAAGAACTTTTTACGGAAATTTGACGATTAATTTAAATGAAAAAAATAAAATCGCAAAATTACATGCACCTTGGAAATTGGCGGCAATTTTTCAATTTTCATTTTTTTAGTGTTGTACATCGATTTCCGGATAAATTTCACTAAGGATAGTCTTCTAGAGCCTAGTTGAAAATAAAAATTATAGTTCTCATTCTAATGATGACGTAATTTTAAGTCAATCACTTATTACTGAGAGTTTATAAAAGTCATTAGCATTCCGCCGCATAGACGACGGGATAGCTGTCGGACTATTTTTTACCAGTGGTCTTGATTGCCTTCACAATTAAGCGACTGACTAGGCCATTTTCTCATTGTTTCTGAAAGTTTCATCCAGTTTAGTAGATCTGGCATCAAGCATCGGCTGCATTATCTACTGCGAGTATGCATCGTGTATCGTAAGTCGACCTACAACTGACAGTTAAAAACAAAACCTCAAATTATAAACAAGAGTAAAGAATTTTGAATTTTATGGATCGATTTGAATTGATTCCAACGAAATGAGCCTACCAACGGATTTCGGTCCAGATTCCGGGGGCCGAATGAAAGTATGTCTTTTTTATTTGAAGCATATTGTCATAAACTTACATTGTTCTTTTAGGGTCTCTGTATAATCAAACCAATTGTATACGGTAATATAGCCCGATATTTTGGCAAAAAACGAGAGGAGGACGGACACACTCATCAATGGACAGTATACGTGAAGCCCTATAACAACGAAGACATGTCTGGATACGTAAAAAAGGTCCATTTCAAACTACACGAAAGCTATGCGAACCAAAACAGAATTGTAGTGAAACCACCTTATGAAATCAGCGAAACGGGATGGGGCGAGTTTGAAATCGTCATCAAAATCCACTTTCATGATCCTAACGAGAGGCCAGTCACGTTATACCACATATTAAAATTATTCCATTCTGGCAACACTCAAGATGTCACTATGGAACTAGGAAAAGGCTTAGTGTCTGAAAGCTATGATGAGATCGTTTTTCAAGACCCCACTCAGCTTATGCACCACTTATTGACCAACACAAAACAACTCACATTGGCCAGGTGGGAGCATAATACAGACTTTGAAGCTAAAAAGGAGAAGACTCTAAAAGCAATACTTGAGGCTAAGGCTAAGACGAGAGCAGAGATTTCTATGTTGAAGAATAAACTAAAGTTGGCTAAGGAGACAATATCTAATTTTAAGGAAGAAATTGCAAAGTCACAGGATAACCAATTCCTTGTATGATTTTTTTATGTAATAAACCATTTTTATTCAATTTCTAATTATTGTCTATTCCCTTTTTCACAGATAGGTTATCGGCCCAGGCATATTAAAAACATGGCTTTATGCTTTGTCTTATCAGGGCATGGATTTTCAACATTCCCATTTTTAAGTCCGCTTGTAAGGTAGAAATAGCAGTCACTGGATAACCAATTCGTTACTCAAATTCTAACACTATCAAAAAAAATTAAGAAGTCCATATACTTGAAAATATTCACCCTGGTAGGTGAGGCTTCCTGAGTAAACAGTATTTCAAGCATACGTGGTTCCATTCAGCGACCAGACAGGTTATGAGCCAGTGCGACATTGATAGGTTATGGGCCCAAGCAAGTTAAAAACACCTCTCCATTTGAAGGTGTCATGATGAAAAAATACTGAAATACTACTTCCCCTGTAGCCCCATGGGTGTTTAGACCTTTGTGGTAGCTGGAGTATATAAAAAAACAGTGGCAGGTGAGGTTTGGGGATATATCCAACGAAAATATGAATGAAACTTTATTTTTCCCCTTTCACCAAATATAACAAGTTGCCATCCACAACTGAATATAAATATTAAATAAATATAACATAGGTACAGGTTCTCTCTTCTTACAATCACATTTTGCTATAGATGGAATGTATGTGTTTACAGAAAAAAAAGTAGAAAATAGATACTTAAATAAGCGTAACTTAAGATTAAATGTAAAAATATACATTTATATAGCAGGTCTGCACTTCACAATTCAAAATTGTCAACAGTGTAGCTTGATTTAAGGCAAAAACGATATGGGACCTAGGTTGTTAGAAAACAGCTGCTTGGCTTACCGAACCCGATAATTTTAAACTCAGAACAAACCTATAAAATTGCAAATAAATCTTTCTCAAAAACAGGAAGAGTTCGAATCCTTTAAAAATATGTCGCCACAAGTTATTGCACTAAATTTAATCAGAGATATAAATAAATACTATACAAATGCACTTCATTTTTAATCTTGCAGAAAATATAATAACCTTTATGGAATGTATAAAAAAATATTGTTTTTTGTTTACTTAAGAAACTTACCCACTTGTGTAACAACACTTTATAAATGCTTAAAATCTATACTATAATAGTAAATATACAAATATATATTTCATGAACAATTGTATAACAGTATATTTTTGGACGGAATTTTCAGAGCAACATTCAGTTTTCGTCTAAGGCAACAGTATTTAAAAAAATAATCCATCTTGAGAAACCTTTACAAAACCAAAACCAATTTTTGACTTCATACTCATTCAGAAAAATCTGAACGCATCATAAAATAATGAAACAATTTGTGTAAAAGGAAATTCGTCAAAAATTAAATTGTGTAAAAAATACATGGTAAATAAATCTCTAGTTACCTATATTAGGAATGTTTGCGTTAACAACCTTATCACAAAATTTTGATTTTGTTTCATTTCGATTTGTGTAAATGTTGCGATATAAGTATGCATTATAGTATTTACAAAAAAATGCGAAGTTGTCTATAAACTAACAACAATTCTACATATGTATTAAAATTATTCAACAACAATGATAATATTATTGTGCAAATTTCAATCGAGCTACAAGATGAGCATTTTGGGAGTGTCTACTTCCCTGAAAATATCTACAACCACGGTTGAATGAGCATATAATGTTAAGGAAGGCACCCATATAAAATATTTCCAACAAACGTTTACCGCTAATCAATTCCCAACTCCTGATTTTAATATAAACAACAAAAGATTATTGGCAGATTTAACCCTCCAATACCCATTATCAATATTTTTCAAAAATCCCGCCTTAAATTGTGCTGTGTACAGAGATGAAAAGGATCATCAATTTGCAAAGACAAAATTGATATAACTTCCTTAGACTGGTAGAAACGTGAATAACGTGATTGTTATTTAGACCACATTTTGTGCCCTTTTGAGGTTAGCCTATATTTTTCATTAGCAGGTATCTACTTTTTCTGTAACTAAACACTCACTCAATCCGAAATATAATTTGGAAGAAAAATAGAATAATCATTTTACATTAGGTAATAAACTGTATTATACACTTCGAAGCAAAAATCTAATTTCAAGTGCTAAAAGTGTTATTTTTTTAATCTGTAATAAAATGTATTATACATATAAATAAATATTTGCCGGGCTGTGGGCATTGGAGAGTTAAAAACGCATGATCAACGCCAACTGAAACATCATAACATTTTTAAGAGATATTTAATGGAATAAGTCATATTAAATCCACCATAAAATCAAGGCAACTTTTTAAATTTCAATACGTCATAGTCAGTTCCCAAAAAAATATTTTCTAAATTTCATAAGTATTTTTATTCCTACTTGATAGGTAGAAACAAAGTAACTAACAAAAATGATCAACAACTTCCTCTGGTTTCTTTTCAACACCTATCCTAAAACAAAACTTGTATGTATGTGGAATGTTTACTTTTTCATGGAATGAATTTTTTAGAATACGTTTCTTAAGCCACAGTATTACCAAAAGGCACTTAAGTCTTAATAGAAATATGTTCGAGATTTTTTTTGCTCGAATAATATCAAATATTCTGAGTGTTGACTCTATTTTCGGGAATGTTTAGAGCGGATAACTAAAACCGTAAACATCAGACGGTGAGTCAATGTGACCGATATCAATTTTCATAAGAAATGTGTGCCTGATATTTCACGAACTGAAAACCTAAATAGATCTGGATATGTTGCGATTTGTCAAATATAGATATTGAGTGACCTAGAACTTACAGCAAAAATTCGTTTTATTGTCCATGTCAAATGGCGGAGAAATATCGTAATCACGAACCATATCAAAACCAAGATATTTTTTTAGGTATTGTGTGACATATCCGGTAAAAAATTAATCATTTCTATCGGTCTGTCGTCTGTCTGGTAATCCATGACTCCTTCCTTTTTTGGTCTTGAAAAAAGGCCGGCTTTTGCAAACTAAAAATGTTCTGACAACAAAACCTGGACCCAAGATCAGAATGTTATAACTCCAACTTAATGGAAATGAAGACAAATTGGTGCCAACCAGATCTCAGATTTCTGGGATTATACAGTGTTCCAAAATTACCCCCCCCCCCTATCTCAGAAAATACTGTCCGGCAAATATTGTAGGATTTTATGTAAGCAATCTAATAGTGGCATTAACAATGACCTTGACCTTTTTAAGGTCATTTGAAAGTACTGAAATCGAAAGGGGAAAATTCAAAGTTTGGATATGTAATTGACCATGATCTTGACTTTGGGGGTCATATGAAGGTCAATTGCTAGACCCTACACTTTTTACCTCGGAAATCGGAAGGGAATCACGGTTGGTTATGCTCTTGAAGGTCGTTTTAAGGTCAAAGCGATTTTCTTAAATAGGACCATAAACTGTTGACCCCGGATATCGAAACAGGAGAACATTCTAAGTTTCGATATGATCTTGACCTTAACGGTCATTCAAGTTCAAAGCGATTTCCTCAAATGGGAACCTTTACCTAAAATGTGAGAAAATTTGAAGTTTGGATGCCCTTGATCATGACCTTGAATGTCATCACATTTCTATACAGCGTCTCACTACAATAGTCTGAATGTCCCGTATCATGCCGAGATTCTTTCGAAGTCAGATTGACCTTCAAGATCAGGCAGCAGCGGTGGCCGCAGTCGTAGACTCTTCGGTCTCCTGATCAGTCGCCGTGCGCTGTGCGGGTTCGAGTCCCGTCCCAGGAGAAATTTTTCCCTTGGTTATGGATGTTGTGATTGTCCGTAGGTGGTAGACGGTCTCTGACTGTCGAACGCGGAGGTACCACCCGGCGGATCTCGTAGGCGGAGCCAGAATGTGTGCATGTTGCATGCACACGTGTTCCCTCGCCAGAGTCCGTGTGGCGTTCCCCCTTTCCCCTGTATCCTGCTATAGCCCCACGGTACCCAATGGGTGTTTAGGCCTTAGGCCTTCGTGGTAGTTGGAGTATAAAAAAAAGGTGATATCCAAGCTAACAGTTCTCGCCTCTTTGGATTTTCGTCATCGAAGGTATAAGGGTCGCATTTTAGAAAATTAATTTGACCACAAAATGTCCTTCAAGGTCAAGGTCATACGCAATATTAGGATTTTCCCATCTTTAGATTTTCGGGGTCAAAAGTATAGGATCGCATACAAGATCAATTTGACCTTAAAATGACCTTCAAAGTCAAGGTCCTGTCCAACGACATCCCAACTTATAATTTTCCCCTCTTTCAATTTGACCTTGAAATGACCTTTAAGGCCAAAGTCAAGGTCATTTGCAAGATCACCATTAGGCTGTTCCTACAACTCTTGTCTTAGTTATTTTTTCTTCCGTATTCTCAGTATTTTCCGAGATAGGGAGGGGGTCGGGAATTTGTCAAGCACCCTGTATATATATTCTGAGATCTGCTATCGAGACTATAGACCAGGGAATTAGCGTTTTTGTCAGGACAGCAAACCAAAGTCGTTTCGGATGATACCTACGGAACATCTGTAGAAAGTTTGTTGAGGTTTTTTAGTTATGAAGCGATAAAGGTCGACATTTTTGGATTTTTTTATATTTTTGCTTGTATACAAAACACACTGTATTTTTGCTCAAAATTCGATACACAATCTAGTTGCCACTTGAAAAGGCAACTTTCATCATACTCCAAAGTTGATATCTGAAAAAATTTTCACACATACGAGGTCTGTAAATTGGGTGATGAGTTTGAACTTTCTCGAGTCATTTGGTTGTCCGTCGAGATTTTTTTTGTGAAATAGTTTTTCCTACTGTGTTCTGAAGATGAGTGACAACAATTTCATGCATCTTATCACTTAACTTACAGACCTCGTACCAAGCTTTCAAAAATTTGTAATTGTTTCTCGCCATTTGCGTGCTGCCTTTGCGACTGTCCCGAAGAACGTGTCGTTTTCTCTTATTTCTCCGGCCAATTACCCAAAGTAAGTTCTAAGTCACCCACTGAACCTTACAAAACAACATAATAGACACAACCAAGTGTCCTCCCCGTTCCTAACCGAGTCATTGGTGACTCTTGCTGAGCAGATGCGAGTTGAACTCGTACACGTTGCAACACTGTTCGCCGCAAATGTTGCATTTCCATGGATTCGCGTCCGAGTGACAGCCCTTGTGCAGGAAGTATAGAGTCTGGTCCGGAAAGCCGATGCCGCAGAACACGCACTGCAGGCTGGGGGAGAAATCAAACAGATGCCTTTGAATAGAAGAAAAAGAACATGTTAGATTACAAAAATAGGAATTTTCTAAAAAGTAGTACATACAGGGTACTACGGTGTCAAATGTGGCCTAGTGCCAGGCTTTGCCTCCCCACCACTACTACTAATAATACATAATAATAATAGTACAATACGTAACTAGGTTGAGAAAAGCACATCTCGAAGCATATAGATATAGGGAGAGGTTAAATTTGACAGACGTCGTAATGTGTACGAGATAGAAGTGCGAGAAGCGTATTTTTTTTCAGGCACAAGGAATTTTTTATTTGAAAAAACGAATTTTTCATTGGAAACGTTGATCTTTAAGCTATTTTTCTGAATAGTCGCCATTTTTCCTACGCATTTCTTTAGACGTGTAATCTTTTCGCTCACTCATCAAGGAAGTCCGACCCCTGCCCGCTTGTAAACTATGACGATTTTGGATTGCCCGTCTCAGCTTATTCAGAAGCCTCAACCGCCTGTTCCCGGACCATCATTCGCCGATCTTCGAGCAAGATTTGCCGAATGTTCGCCATAACTTTTTCGGAGATCGACGGCCTCCCGCTTCGTTATTCATAATAATCGTCAAAGAACTCTCTTCGCCATTTGAAGACATGTTAAATGCTTATATACTTCCTTATACTTCAGTCAACTGGCGATGAATTTCTATGGGTGGTAACGTTTTTGCGTGCAAAAACCGGATGAATTTCGCATCTATCGGTGACGGCAATGAAGGACTCCAGATTTCTCCACGTGGCAAAGATACAGCGTTGGGAACTATAGTTTTGAAACAACCCTAACTTGAAATAATTTTTCGAAATTATGTAAAGATAGTTTTGACGAGTTTGCTTCCCGACTACTTTTTGCTTCTCATTTTCCACAAATTTGGACATCCTGGAACTGCGCCATCCCTCCGTCGCTGTATCAGTTGTTTTCAACGCGATCTGTAAAGATATAAATATACAAATCTGCTCACCCTGACAGCGCTCGTTTGCCCATTCCCCTCCACAAACTGCTCTCGCTTGGTTGCTCAGGCCCCGTGGAGGTACACACGGCCCCATTCGTCGCACCGGACCCTTGATCGGCTGCAGGCGGAGATCCATCCGCGCCCGCGGCAGTGGGGGACGCCGCCCCACGGCCCCCACGGGTACCGCCGTTCCCTGTGCCCCCGCCGCGTTGGACGATCTTTCGTTTCAGGTCATCGCGAAGTAGGCTTTTCAGGGGGGACACTTTGATCAGGTTGCTGAGGCTCGACGAGGTGGCTGTTTGCATTTGGACACTACCTGTTGTGGAACGGAACTTAGTGAATATACAAAAACAACAATAAATAAGGAACGTTTTAAGGGGGCACTTTGATTATGCTGCTTAGGCTGGAAGAGGTTGCTGTTTGCATTTGAATACTACCTGTTGGGAAATGGAACTTAGCGAATATACAGGGCGATTCAAAAAATAGTTGCACTATTTCTGGGGCTGGAAATGTAAACAAAAAAAAACAATAAATAATGAACTTCTCAAGGGGGACACATAGATCACGCTGTTAAGATGAATGAGGTTGCTGTTTGCATTTCACTACTTGTTGATGAATGGAACTTAGTTAATATACAGTGTGATTCAAAAAATAGTAGCGCTATTTCTGGGGCTGGAAATATGACCAAAAATAATAAATAAGGAACATTTTAAGGGGGCACTTTGATTATGCGGCTTAGACTCGAGGGGGTTGCTGTTTGAGGTTTGGAGACTACCTGTTGGGAAAATGAATTTAGAGAATATACAGAGTGATTAAAAAAATCGTGGCACGATTTCTGGGACTGGAAATGTGACCAAAAGTAACAATAAATAAAGAAATATTCAAGATGGACACTTTGATCAGGCTGCTTAGCCTGGACGAGGTTGCTGCTCGCTTTTGGACACTACGTGTTGGGGGAAGGGACTTAATGAATATACAAAAAATAGTAGCGCTATTTCTGGTGCTGGAAATATGATCAAAAATAACAATAAGGAACTTTTTAAGGGGGTCATTTTGATTATGCTGCTCAAGCTGAAAGAGGTTGCTGTTTGCATTTGAATACAACCTGTTGGGCAATGGAACTTAGTGAGCATACAGGGTGATTCAAAAAATAGTGGCACGATTTCTGGGGCTGGAAATGTCACTAAAAATAATAAATACGGAACTGTTCAAGAGGTTGCTGTTTGCATTTGAATATTACCTGTTGGGGAAGTGAACTTACTGTCGGAAGCGCCTGTTAACATGTCTGTGAATAATAATAAAAATAAAATGCGACATATTTTTTTTTTGTAGTTGTAGACAAATTGAAGCGTAAACTTCGGACTCAGTTCTGATTTTCCTACTTCTGTTTCTGTTAAATTATAACTATAATTGTTTTGTATCGATCTATGAAATTTGTAATTGCTTTTTTACAAAGTACCCCATGGTTATTTTTTTATAGTACTGTGCCCTGTAAATTGTGTTAAACTGTTAGGCAATAAAGGTTTATTATTATTCTCTTAGGTGCGTCACCTATTACTTTTTTTTCTATTTGAAAAATCAACACGCTTTTTACGGGGTGAAATCGATTTTTTTATTGATAAATGAAGGCTGGTTTATGCCATTTATGTATGAAAAATAACATCAGTCATGTGACCACCGCGTTTACAGGCCAACATCCGAACATCAAAATTTCCAATGACTTCTCCCAGAATAATCGGGTCTATGGCCGCAATTTCAGTCCGAATATTGCGCTTTAGGTCTTGAATTATCCGGGGACCATTCGCATACACTTTTCCTTTCAAAAATCCCCAAAGAAAATAGTCAAGAGGTGTTCAATCGCACGATCTCGGGGGCCTGAATTTCGTGAAATTACGCGGTCTGGAAATTTCGTGTGCAATAAGGCGATTGTTTGGCGAGATGTGTGAGCCGTTGCTCCGTCTTGATGAAACCAAAGATCGTCGGCACCAATACGATCCAATTGTGGCCAAGAAAAGTCTGTTAACGGCATCTTCAAAGAAGAATGGTCCAACGATGCCACCAGCCCATAATCCGCACCAAACAGTCACTTTTTCAGGTTGGAGAGGTTGTTCATGATATTGGTGTGGATTGTCAGCCTCCCAGAATCTGCAATTTTGCTTATTTACGTACCCATTGGAGTGAAAATGAGCCTCATCAGAAAAGAGCACTTTGGCCGAAAATCCGTCTTCTCTTTCCAGTATCCAATTAACAAAAACACGCCGCTGTTGATGGTCCGCCGGCTTCAATTCTTATGTTAGTTCGATTTTGTATGGATGGAGGTGTAAATCAACGTGTAAAATCCGGCGTAAAGTCCAATTGTTGCGAACGGTGTCTAGTCGAGGTGGTTGGATCTCGCACACTTTCACTCACTGCGGCTATGTTTTCACGAGTACGAGCTGGACGAGCATGTTCCTATGGTCTACTGAACCAGTTTCCTCAAAACGATTAACAATCCAACGAATTCCAGGCTCTGTAGGGCGTCCATGTCGGCCAAAACTAGTGCGAAGTTTGCGAAAAGTATTTTTTATATTTCGACCGTTTTCGTAATAAGTTTGGATAACCAATAATAAATGGCATACCTTTGACAGTTCATATATGCATACCACATGACTTTTGACTCACATGGTAACACATAAACTTATAGGTTAAAAAAAAGTAATAGATGGCACACCCAGTATAACCCAAGGTATTGTCCGCAGACGTCGACTAACCTGAAGGTGATGTGCTGAGATTAACAGGTCCATTCTTCTTAGCTGCCTCATACTCCTCTCCAGGCTCCTGCTTTATGGGTATCAACGAAATGGACGGTGTGATGCTCGTTTCCTGATCGATCCTGAGTGTTCCAGACTGTGCCAGGCTGCTGGTGGGAGCGTTCGAATTCGAATCGCCAGATTGGGGCGACGCGGGGCACTCGCCGTTCACGCGGCTGTTCGGCTGGTTGTTATTGTTGTTGTACTTCTGATCAAGCTGGAAAGGAATGTATACATTGAAGAGGTTGAGGCAATAAGGGCCTTATCGTCGGTCGTTCCTTCGTTCTGTAAATTTCGCCAGTATCTTTTCAGACGCTGTTGTAAATTATCTTCTTACCTCAAAATTACTGTTGACCGAGTTCTGGGCCGGTCCGTCAGCCATGCTGATCTCCACCTGTGGCGTAAGGAAATGCATCGGCGGCGTAGCGTTATCCGTACTTCTGTTACCGGTGGACTCTCCGGAATCGCTGTAACTGCCGCCACCGCCTCCAGAGGGTTGACTGGCTGCTGCTAGTTGTGACAGCGCCGTCAGGCCATCGACGGCGGCTTGTTGTTGTTGGAAGGCTTGCTGGAGGAGAGCTGCTTGAGAGCCTGCGGGGCCTGGGTTGTCTAGGTCAATACCGTGCCTATGGAAGATGAAACAGTGGGTATAGCATTTCTATTACCGTCTGAAGCAGCGTATAGTTGGCGACAAACTTATAGTATCTGTTTACAGTTTTTATCGACGGTCGTTAATGAGCCGTAAAAACGAGAAGGCTGCTCCGTTGGCGGCTAGTGGTGTCTACTAGATAGATAGATAAAAATATGCTTTATTTTCTAAAGTATACCATCATTCATAGCGACACAAAGCTAACTTAAAACTAAACTATAATTGAAGACACAAGTGGATAAAGCTGTCGTCAAAATCATTGTATGGAGAAAATTGACTTTAAACATTTTTTATTGAAACTTTTTACTTTATTGACATTTTGAATATTTAGTTTAATTGGTTTGTTATTATCTTGTTTTTGCATCAAAGTAATAACATAATGAAAGAATCACTCCTTAAGGTTAGTTTAATGCAAAAAAACTATTTAAATAAAATGTTACAGACACCTTTAACCACTTGTGCCTTCAATTGTCAAAGCTAAAATCCGCACGCCACTTCAAATTTGTAATAAGATATCTGTATATTAATTTTACAGGTCTCAATTTTGTATCTGAAGAACGCGTTTAAAGTCGCCGAAAGGTCGTACTTTTAATAAATGTTTCAACGTGACCGAATAGCCAGAATTTATAACTTGAATATGTCAGAATAAAGACAATGAGGCTTGGGGCCGTATCGTCAGTCGTTCCTACAATTGTAGGACGCCTTTGTGACCTCCTTGATTTCCATAGTATTTTCTCTCCTTCAAAAAGGCTGGGATATTTCTAGATTTCACCTGTCCCGTGTCAGCGTCAGCGCTCTCCTATTGTGAGGTTACGTTTTTTTAAACTGTAGGAAATTTAAGGCTGATAAAAATCAAAAGCTTTAATAATTTGATGCTAGATATTTGTAACGTAACCTCAAAATAGAGCGCTGACAAGGAACAGGAAAAAATATGAAAGTCAAGGAGGCCATAAAGGCATCCTAAAATTGTGGCCTCCTTGATTTTCATAGTCTTTTCTCTCCTTCAAAAAGGCTGGGATATTTCTAGATTTCACCTGTCCCGTGTCAGCGTCAGCGCTCTCCTATTGTGAGGTTAGGTTTTTTTAAATTATAGGAAATTTAAGGCTGATAAAACAGATGATAAAAATCAAAAGCTTGAATAATTTGATGCTAGATATTTGTAACATAACCTCAAAATAGAGCGCTGACAAGGAACAGGAAAAAATATGAAAGTCAAGGAGGCCATAAAGGCATCCTACAATTGTGGCCTCCTTGATTTTCATAGCCTTTTCTCTCCTTCAGAAAGGTTGGGATATTTCTAGATTTCTACTGTTCCGTGGCAGCGTCAGCACTCTCCTATTGTGAGGTTATGTTTTCTTTTTGAATCTTAAGAAACTTCAAGCTAATTTTTATTAGCTTTTGAGAGGCTAAAAATCAAATTTCTTATAATTCAAAAAGAAAACATAACCTCAAAATAGAGCGCTGACCCGGGACAGTAGAAATCTGGAAATACCACTGCCCTTCTGGGGGACAGGAAAAACTAAGAACATCAAGGAGGTCATAAAGGCGTCCTACAATTTTAGGAACGTCTGACAATACTGCCATTAGATGCCTTATTGTCCCAATTTGAAAGATGATTTTGAAGGGCAAAACAAAGTGACATCGAAAATTGATGTTTAAATTTTGTAATATAATGCTTTTATTAAAAAAAAGAGGTACCTTCCCCTGTTTATTTTTTCAACCTGCGAACTTGACCCGTTCACACCGTATGTAGGACGAACCTTTCCGAAAAGCACCGCATAAACGAAACGAATGAACGTACCTGTTGAAGAAATGTATCCTGAGACTCTTCATACTCCCGGCCCGGTAGTTGCAAAGTGGACACGACTTGACCAAATCATGTTGCCCGACGTGCTCGTTCTGAAAATGTGCGCGCATCGCGATCTGCCTCTGGAAGCCGCGATTGCAAATGGGGCAATGATGGGGCAAAGTCTTCGTGTGCGTTGTGAAATGTTCGGCGAGGTGGTCCTTGCGGAAGAACCGCTTTTGGCAGACTCGACATTCGTACGGCTTAACACCTAAAAAATGGTGCCGTGTTAATTTACAAACCTCTTAAACTTTAAATATTCCTCACCGGTATGCCTCATCTTATGCCTGCGCATATTCGCCCCGTTGCTGAACTTCATGTTGCACACATCGCACTCGAACATCTTCCTGTGCTGTCTGTCGCCCGCGGTGTTGCCAGCTTGAGCGGGCGCCGCCGCTGGCGCCATCTGTGCCACGACAGCGGGAACTACGACCACCGGCGTTGTTTTGACATCGGCTGCAGCCACGGCCGGTGTGGCTTCGCCGTGCGCCTGCGCAACGTGCGCTGCTAAGGCGACACGACTGGGCGATTCGAAGCTGCAGCGCAGGCATTTTGACAGGGAGGTACTGTCGCTGGAATCGTAGTTCGTCGAACCTGGAAGGGAAAGGACAGAGATTCTCTATTGAATATTTATTTATTGATTTACAGATCAACTAATTATTGGAAGGAGAAGAAAAGTTTCGACATTATGAGGAGTCTGACCTCTCTTTTTTATATGACCAGAAAAAAAGTCGTTATATAAAAGTTATAGGGTGTAATATGAAGTTTTTCGTGTAATATTGTTTCTATATATTGAACATGTAAAGAGTCTATCTCAAAAAACGAATCTCGTCTACCCATTAGAGGCTTTAGCAATGCATAGAGCGTCAAATCGGTCCTTTTTAGGGCGACAAGAAATTCCAGTTAATTTAAAAAAAAATAAAAATTTAAGTGATTTCTGTATAAAATTTTCTTTGGCCTAAATTTTAGGTTAGGAACAAGACATCGAGATGCGATTTTCGCGCGCTTCTTTAGACATCATTTAGGTACTTTTTCATAAAAAAATCATAACCAGGCGTTTATTTTTTTTGAGAAAATTAACCATTTCTGTCAGAATGTCGAAAAAAGCCCTCTAGCGGCAACATCTAAAACTAACAAAACTTCAAACACTATAACATTTGTAGCGAAAGAATAGCTCTTTTCGACTAGCTCAAGTTTGTTAAAATCAGCTCACCTACAGAGTGTTTTTTACAGAACCCTTTGAATACACCAAACCACCTTATTTTTACAGATACAGCGAAAATTGTCAAACAAAAAATGTACATTTCAGAAACTTAAAAATATTTTCCAGGTTTTTCTCTTGACAGTTTTAGTAACAACTTTTTTTGCTACAATACTGGATAGGTTCCCTCACATTCTTAGGTGGCCACCTTCTGTACATTGTTCAAACAGTTACACATGCAAAATACGAGAAAATGTAGTCTAACATTTTTCATTTCTGTACACTTTTTCAATCATTATCTTGTATCTGCTATTGCAAAAAATCATGCTCCCTTGTGCCCTGGTCATGTGCTGCGGGCTATCTACTGTGGATTACCAAAAGGCATAGGCATAGTATTTCACATGGTAGTATACTGTGAAGACAAAATGCAGGACTAAGATTTTCCTAATTGCTAATGAAGCAGAACTTGGGCCAGATTCGTGACAATATGATACAAATGTGTCATCCTTGACTCCGCTACGTGATGCCAAAACTGAGTAAAACCAGCTAATTTGAATAAAACTGCTAAAAAATCATGAAATTTCCCGGTGTCATCTTTCCAGTGCAGAATGAAAAAGGTAGAACTTGATAGCAAAATTTCCATTTTGCTTTATAACAAGAATAGAAGAAAATGCAATGGCTTATGCATGTTATTGTAGCTCATACTCACCTGTGACCATTTCGTCATTCTGATCCTCCTCCTCTTTAATATTTACATTATCTGGGACAGCTAAGGTGGTAGCAATGCCGCTTCCAGAATCTGCCTCATTTTCAGCTGTCGTATTGGCCATGATCACCTCAACAGGCACCTGTTTTCTGCTGCGAAGGCGCCGTCGCCAGCCATCAACACCTGTAACTAAAAAAAAAAATTGCTCCTATTAAAAAGAGCATCATCTATCTAGTTATAAATTTTTATTTATTTTTTTATATTACGTTTATGAACTGTCTCTACATTTGCCATTGAGTGTCAAAACAATTTTCAATCAGATTGTTCAGTTTGATCAGGACACTCAGAAGCCAATCAGGATTTAGGAGAAGAAAAAAAAAATAGCAAAGCAGTGAAAAATAAATTCAACAATGGAATTTGAAATCATTTATAAATAATTATCAATAGTGTAACTTGTATTTACTTTGATTTCAACAGTAAACAGTAATGCTAGCAATTCAATGCTACAAAGTTAAACAAAACAGACTAGGTTCAAAAAAGGGGTAAGGCCTCTAAAAAGGTGCTATATAGATATACCATGTGATTGAAAAAATAGTAGCATTACTTTACACTAGAAAGTATGTCCAAAAGTAACACAAAAGATACTAGGATACAGTGATGCTAGAAAATATTATACCAAATGCACTGATAAAGATATTTACTTAAAATTTTGTAGATGAGATGTCATAACAACACAGTCAACAAATAAAGTGACTCAAACTTCACCAAATTGGGGTATTTTTGACACTATGCAAAAGGAAAAAGGAGGAAAAAGTGACTGATATTCTTAAGACCTTTTGCATTTTTGAATAATGTTTTTTTTTTATTTCAGTTGTCTCTCTTGGAACATTTCTTTATCGTATTTTGGCAAAAAAATGTTTTAAATATTTATGGTAAACCTAGAGTAAAACTCTTAATAATTTCAATACAGGCAATATCAAACAGAAAATATCAAGAAATAAGAAAATAATATGTTTGTTCTAGTTTATATAGTTTATTATTTTGTGCTTCACCTCTGTATACTTATATAAAAAATCGAGTAAAGAGCATTTCATAATTATTAATATATATCCATTTTTCTCCTTTAATATATTCCTATATTTAAAATGATCATTTGAAATACTTTCTAACATATTGCTAAAACATCTCTTTAAAAAATTACAAGCACGCCTATGCTTCTAGGGTAAATCAAAATGACAATCAAGTTAGGGAGTCAACAATCCAACTGAGATGTCAACAAGCAGCAAAAAAATTCAATGCACAGGTGTTTGAAATTATGTGAAATAAAATTTCTGTTGTTAGAAATGCCTGATTCATAGCAGACACTTGTAAAAGAATTTCCCGTGAGCAGTACTGCCATCGGAAATAAAATTGTCATATTAAAACAAGAACAAATGTAAAACTTACTGCCCCCAATGTTTGTTTTTCTTCCTTCAAAGGACGTTGACCATTTTTATTGCGAAATTGTCGAAGCAAATAACCTATAGTTTTCGCTGGTCGCACTTTCGAAACTTTTCACGAATTCAATAGGGCTCAGATCGGGCGACTTGCATGACGCTTCCACTTTAGTACCTGTTCCCAATCTGATACAGGTTCGCCGCAGGTACACGTCGGCAAAAGTAACGTTACTTTGGGTTTGGGAACACGCAGCCAAGGATCCCGACACACTGTATGCACTAGATTTTTGTTTCAGCGACGAATTTGCACATAACCTTATTATCACTATCAGGAATGTTTTGCGGAGGAATTTCGAAGGAATACGGCCAACAGTGCGATGGGCAAAGTAAAAAATCGTACGGTATATGGTTGAGAGAATTTAAAAACACCTGTACACTGGTGACCGCTTTCCATCCATTCCAGGTTTGACCTGCTGTTTGGAAGTGGGAATGAGGACGGCAGGGCCGCATTCGGCCCAAGCGGGCAGGGAATTTGGGTCTCGGATAAATCCTGTTCCGTTATTGAAAGAAATACTTGAAACGCTAACAATTAATAATGATTTTTGTCACAAAACGTTTTCCGGAAAATTTGAGTGTAGATTTAGCAAACTAAAATTATACATCAAAACATGCAGATTCGATATTTCTTCGTTTCCATAATTCCTTGGCAATCTACCTTACATTTCTCGAGAACGTATTGATTGAAATTGGCTTTGGTGAATACAGATTAGCAGTCACAAAGGGGTTACACTACTGTAATGGCCTAAAAAAGTGATTTTTTTTGTGGAAGAAAAGGAAATAAAATAACATTGTCGAAAGTTATGGAGTTGAAAAAAGTATGACAAAAAATGTTTAAAAATTGTCGCAGCCATTTTCTCGAAGCACATAGGCAGTGCAAATACTGACAACTTGGATCTAAAACGTGTTCAGTTTTTGACAAAAAAAGGTTATCATTGATCAATCAATCTTATCGAAAATCCCCTATGTGTTTCTATTATCTATTCGAAATGTTATTTTAGAGATATTGTGAAAAATTCGAATGAAAAAAGAACAGTTGCTTGTGTTACGCAGTGTGCCCTTTTAAAAATCCGTGTGTCTCATCTGCAAAACTAGAAATTAGTTGCGCATTCACTTTTTTCACTCAAAAAAGAGAGCGATAAGAAAAGAAAATCCCATTTTGGTACCTATATTACAACTAAGGCCCGTATCGTCAGTCGTCCCTACAATTGTAGGGCGCGTTTATGGCCTCCTTGATTGTCATACTCCTTTCTCTCCTTCAAAAATTTCTAGATTACACTTGTCCCGTACCAGCGTCAGCGCTCTCCTATTGTGAAGATATGTTTTCTTTTTAAATTGCAGGAAATTTCAGGCTGATAAAACATGATATAACTCAAAAGCAAGCACAATTTGATGCAAATAGATGTTTGTGACATAACCTCAAAATAGAGCGCTGACACGGAGAAGTAGAAAGCTATGACAATCAAGGAGGCCATAAAGGCGCCTTACAATTGTAGGGACGACTGACGATACGGGCCTAAAAGGTGAGAAAATATGGTACATACAGGAATATTCATGAAACGTAAAAAGGTTATTATATTTCACATTAATTTGTATTTCCGATCATTTAAATCTTATAGAAATTTATTTTACGATTTCAAGTAGAAAATACAAATCAACGCCTAGAGGTAAGGCAGTGTATGTGTCATTCCTATTTTTTCTGTGAGGTGGCTTGATTACACACAACGTGCGTGCGGTGCTGATTTCCCATAATGTGTTTTACGCTTTATAGGTTTTTTACTTAATAACCCCTGAAATCCGCTAATTTAACATAGTTTTATGCACTCCGCATGCACCACTCGCTCTCCGAAAAGGTTCGGGGGCTGATATCCTCTTGCCAATCGTCCACTCCTCACTCCTTGTGAAAAACTCATTTTTATTACTTATTTCTTGGACGGGTCAAAATAAGGAGATGAAAATCGGAATGATACAACTGGTGCACGAATACTATATTTTAGCGTAACAGTAGCAGTCCACAATTTCAAAATGGCCGCCAGGCGCCATCTTGTCACATTTTTTTTCATGGAATGGGAGGTCGTGTGATACCATATTTTTAAGCTCCTTATGCGTGCTTTATAACCTTAGAAAATTATATCACTTTCTTTCAAAATGGCGGTATGGCATGCTGTCATGTTTAAGCGTTTTTTGTATATTCAATCAGATTCAGGATTCATTATCATATGAACTTCGTTCAACTTTTGACGAGATTAAATATTCCTGATAGAAACATAGTGCTTAACATCAAACATAAGAAAGATTCTGGTTTTAAAATAATATACTTGAGAGAGGAACAGGAAAAATTCTTGTACCATTCCGAATGCGTCCCTGTCTGGTTTTGGAGACGGGGATACGCTCAAGCGTGGCGGGTGGCGGGCATCTCATTAACAGGTTGTCCGTTGTTTGTTGTTTCTGAATCGTAGACGGCCATTTTTACAGCCAGGAATTTGAAACACGCCACTTATCCTACGTTCTGGATCAGGTTTCTTCCAGAATTACGCTGAGCCAGCGCGGAGCTCAACGAAAATATAGTTTGCAAGTTGATATGAACGACCATTGCTATCTGGATCACTGTTTGTAAAACCAGGATGTGCGATGTTGTCATGTTGCTTACTGAAATGCTAATGTAGGCATTTGAATAAAGATTATTTTCAAAGAATTGATTTTATTCATAGCAGTGCAGATGCAGTGCAGATGCAGTGCATTTTTTTCCCATGAGAGGGTACAAAACATGTTAAAACACAAGTGCCTACCCATGTTATGGAAAGTATGACATTTTTTTCTATAAACCAATATTGACAAGATAACTTCGAAAATATTTATTCTGAGAAAGTATCTACAATGTAGGTATCATTTTCTCATATGAGCAAATTCATAGGTAAAATATTGTAGGTACCTATACATTTTACATTGTCTAATGTAGCTTTAAAATGGTCGACGTGTTCAAGAAATTTATGTTACTATGGCATCGCTGCAGACATTCTCCCATAAAACCGTTTTGTTTGGGATTTAAAATTAACAATCTACTCTGTTTTACCCACAGATTATTAGCTAAATAAGTTATACCTTTACTGGTCACTGCTACCAGCATCATGCTACGCAACAGATTGTATATTTCCCTGCAGAATATCCTCTAACTTTTTGAATGGATCCGTATAGAACGAACGCGAGACTAGATGAAACTCACATAGATGGAGCCAGCAGAACCGTTGTCGCGAGCCTAATCATATTGCCGCAGCTTATGGGTTGGTATCATTTTGACACGTTAGATGGCGCTGGTTGGGTTAGAATTACACTACCGTTATAAATTTCAATGTGGCTATTGAGATAGCCTATGACATGCACTCTGGTTTCCCTTCAAAGCGAATAAATCTTTCGCCTTTTACTAAAGATTTCCGTGGAGGGGAACAATATAAATGAGTCTTTAAAATTTTTTGTAGCCTGGCTTTAGGTCGGGCTTATTTAATAATCAAAACAGAAAACACATTTAACAAATACTTATTTTCTGTTCTCTATGCGTTATCTGAAGTCACTTGAAATAGCATATAAACGTATAAACCTTTGGTCGGCGCGCCCTTTGTAATTTCATGACGTATCATAGGTTCATAGGCGTGCGGTCATTTATTTAGAACGATGATAATAATAATGTTTTTATATCACAATAAATGGATTTTACTATCTTATTTTTTTGATTTGGGATAAAAAATACTTATATTGGGAGTTTAATTTATGTTGACTGAAAGTTAAGAAATGGATAAATTACAGAATTCCAACGTTTGACATAGGCAAATATTTACATAGCAGGTAGGTATATAAAAAGGTATATAAAGACTTACATTATAGGTATTTATATATCATCCTCGCCTTCGGAGCTGTCGCTAGAGTCATCTTGTAGAGGAATTACAACGGGATTTACAGGAGGCAAAACACAATATTCATTTTCTTTTTCAATAATATGCCTAGAACACTGCTTCCATAGGTCTGTGGCAGCAATATGAGATACTGCATCTCTTATTGTGGCCAATAGCGATTCACTTAATTGAGGGGTCTGATTATGTTTTCTTACTTTTTTTTAAAGCAGCCCAGACCAACTCAATCGGGTTAAAAATGCAGTAATAGGGAGGTAGACGTAATACTTCATGGCCATTTTGCTTAAGCATATTGTCAACAACATACTCTTTTTCAAATTTTTGTCTTTTAATAAGATCCAATAATATGGCTTTGGTTGATTTTTGTGGTATTTCCATTCCCTTATCCTTCATAAAATCAATAATGTCTTGTTTTTTTGTGCCTGTATTCGGAATTTTGTTTTTCTGTCGGGAATGGTATGGCGCATTGTCCATAATAATCACTGAATTTGGGGAAATGTTTGGTATTAACTGCTGCTCTATCCACTTTTCAAATAAGTCGGAGGTCATGTCCTCATGATAGTCGGCACATGATTCTTTGATATTTTTGGCAGATAACAGCAAGGCATTAGGTATAAATCCATTTTCACTGCCAGCATGGAGAATAATGATTCGTTTTCCACGGTTGCATGGTGCATTTAAAATGCACTTGTTGCTGTCGTCAACCCAGCCGTACTGCACAACATCATGGGTATCATACCACGTTTCATCCAGGTAAATCAGATTTCTTTTCTGCTCTCTATAGATTTTAACTTTGTGCAAAAATTCTTGGCGCAATTCAACGATTCGAGACGACTCCATAATCACCATTCTTTTATCTAATTTTTTGTATTGAAAACCACACAGTTTTACAATACAGTGCAGTGAGTCTAAGCATTTGTAATTATAAAAATCTTCAGGATAATCTTTTAATTTATCCCGTATCATTTCCAACGTGGGCACCAAATTTTCTTTATAAAATCCGTATATTATACGACGAATATCTTCATGAAAACCCACGTCTATTCTTTTTAATTTTTGCCTTATGCGCTTTCTGTGGAAGGAATGGTTGACTACATCTCCCCTTTTTATAACCCCATAAATGGTAGACCGACTGATTTTTGTCAGGATACAAATTCTGTTTAAAATTTGATTTTGCAAGGAATCTGGATTTTCGTTTTTCAGACAATCATACATATTTAGGATTACTCTTTGGGTCTGTTCCTCTAAATCTTTATGAAAGAATTCTGCCTGCACAGGTTCATCAACCATCTCCTCGTGGCTTGGAGCATTTTCCCAAGGTCTCCAAAGAGCCATATTTAGGACACACAAGAACAATCAACACAACAATTAAATCAACAAGTAAACTGAGTATTCAAAGTCAAAAACACACAAACTAATAAAATCTATGAAAAAACACGGACAGACTAAAGAAAACACGTTTATTCACCGCTACACGGCACTGGCTAAACTGTTTCAATTTTCAGTAGCCACCTGCACTTGTTCGGAGCTCTGAAATACACGCTTTCTCATTGGCTATGTCCACGCATAGGCGTGCTTTACTCCACGTGGACCGGTGAAACTGCCTTTGATCTTATACGGGGGATATTTGCTGCGAAATTTGGCGATTTTTGCAACAGAGCGTGTTAAATATAGATATATAAAACGCACCCGGTATTTCACAGTGTTTCAAGTGACTTCAGATAAAGTATATATAAATAACTATCAGTTGTCCACACGCAGCCACGCTTTAGCTTTATTCCTTTATTCGTGTTTCAGCTTCAGCCTAATTCCTCAAAAGTCTTGGGGCTCTTCGCCGTCAAGAGTCAAGATTGACTTCCTGAACTGGACTACTGAACATCAATCACTCCGCTTCAGGGGTAGGGTAGGGCGGTAGGGGCGTTCTCGGTGATTTCAATGACCATAATTTGCTTTGGTTGGGCTCAACAAGACCGATACCGATGCAGCAGGTGCTGGTGCTGCAGTTAAAGCGTTCGCTCTTACTCAAGGGCTGACCCGCTGACCCAGCTAGTGACGGGCCCTACTTTTTTTGCCCCGCGTCTCGTCTCGTCAGATGCCAGTATTCTGCTGGATTTCTTTTTGATCACGCATCCTATGTCGCTGGGTAGTTCAGTTGTTGTGGAGGTTAGGTTTCGGTCAGAACCCGCTCTTTCAGCAGAAACTCACAGGCCGCAAAATTTGGCCTTAGGGACATGCCGACTGGGAGGGGCTCAGACTTCGTCTCTACCTTTCCTTGGAGAAATGTCTGTTTCACTGACGCGGATCTGTCGGCTGTCTGTTCTTCGATAACCGAAATTATCCACGTCGGAACGGAGGAATACATGCCTCATACTGCTGATATGATAGAGGTGCTTGATTGTGTCAGTATTTGCATCTTTTACTTGATTTGTTTAATGGGCAAGTTCAGAGTCTTAATCCTTAAGCTTATTACATACTAGTAGACCCAGTTGCGCAATTTGTCTATAAGCAGTCTGGAGACGGTCTACAGACATCCTCCTTTGTCTTGTCTAGCGTCCATAGGATGATGTGATTTTTTTTGTCTCATGATCGTTTTCGCAATCAAAGCCCTTGTTTTGTATGGAATGGACTGAGGGGGTCGCTCAGAATGTTTTATTTATCTTTCGTCGGTTAACAGAGTAATGAAGTTTTTTATGACACAGAGGTTAAAAAATGACCAGCCCCAAATATCGTTTGCGCCCCCTCCGTAGACGAAATCCTGAATCCGGCCCTGGTATCGAGGTACTTATTTCTTAGAAAAAAATGCAATCAACTTTTTTATACGAGAATATGAACACTTAATACAATCGGTATGAGCTCAAAGCGAGCAGAGAAGTAGACGAGAATGCATAACTTACTGAGCTTGCTGTGAAGACATTAGTTTCTCGAGATAGATCGAAAGAAGGCGTATATCCAACGTGAAAATACATAGATGCACCTCTCACGTCACATCTTTACACACAATTATTTTCACAAAACTACAATCCACTCTTTCAAGTCAAATCATCATCATGACACTACGGAAATCGCCGACAAAAGCTTCCCTGGTAGTTTAAGAGAAGCAGAGCGTTGCACGGAAGTCTCGACGCACCAGCTTCCACGAACGCCAACCGACAACTGAAGCTCGTTAGCTCGCAGCGTATGCAGTACGCCCATACCTCATCGTCACTGGCAGGGATTTAGCCACGCCTCCTTCCAGCTCCCAATCTTTCGCGTCTACGTGAACATCAATCGTGTGAATTACGAAGATGAGGGTAATCCCGAAGGTACTACACTACAGTGCTTTTGATTCGAGAGTTGTATGCACCCGGAGTGTGACGTTCCCGAACTGCTCTCTAGCAAATGTGTACGGGAACGCGTCGATGAAACCCTAAGCTGTTTTGCTTTGACGTTGACAATTTGTATCACACTGCCAAACAATGAAAATGTAAACACATTTTTGTCTTTATTTTCAGACTATCCAATTGATGCCTGATTATGCTTTTAGAATGATGGATCAATATGTCGAATTCATATTTTAGTGTAGACATCTCAAATGTACGTTGTGACTGGGTCATAACATCATCAGTTTTTTACCATCCTCCATTGTCTGGTATCGGTTTAATGCGAGTTCAATGCAAAAAAATAACGATGAAAAAACATAACCTATCAATCTTGACACATTGTCATTTTCGGTATCCCCACTATTTCGGAGCGTATAACGCCCAATAAAAAGCTGGTGCATGCGGGGCAAGGGATTTCAAAAATGAGTAGCTCCGAGTAACACAAATGAGTCCCTGATTTACCAAGAAAATTATAAATAATATTCCATTTTTTAGATTTTATAAAGGTTTATTTGTATAATATAAATAGTAAGGTGCTGTAAATTAGATAATTATAAGGAATGGCTGACTACAACAAACTCAAAAAGATTGCAAAAATATTAAAGCTATCACTCAATCTCTTGCCACCTTTGGATTCTCTCATGTTCTGGTATCTCTTTCCAATTTGGCGAATGTTTTTCACTCAACCAGTTGAAATCATCCACGCACCTCCAGTTGTTTACATTTTTCTCCAAGTGGGCGTTTTCGAAGTCTTTTTCTACGCCTAAAACCAAAAACAGTTACATAGTGTGATTCAGAAAAAAAAACAACAAAGTTCCTGTTAATTTATTTCGAAAAATCCTATTACCAATATACAGTGTTGTAATTCTTACGGCACTGACGAGACTGAATGAGGACAAAACATGAACATTGTCAAACTGCACCTACCCCAACTTTTTCAAAGTAGAGCAGATTGAAGTTTTTAATATAAAAAAAATCTCAAGAGTATTGTTTATTCTACAATCGATTACCTTATTCAAAAATGCAACAGATATTCAGAAAAGACACGAAAATTTGCCATCATATCAGAGCTACATAAACAAAATTTTCAAGTGACTAAAAGATTTTTTTTTCGATTTCAAAATTATAATTCTAACATTCTTTCACTAACTTTGAGGTTCTTACAACCATGTATGACTTTTGTCCATTCAAAATTAAAATATAGTGTTCCCATTGCTACACAAATTAAATGGCAATTGAGAAAGTGCAACGACGCTTTTTGAAACTGCTGGCTTTCAAGACTGACAGTACTTATCATAGTAATATAATTTAGGAGCATCTTGCTATTGGATTGGATGCGAGACAAAAATGTAATTCGGTAATCATTTTGTACAAACTCTTACACAATAACTGACACCAGCGTAGTTTTATCTAGTATCAATTTCTGATTATTTGAGAACTATAAATACCAAAGCCTTTCACTGTGTGACAGCTAGAACTAATTTGCTTCTAAAGTCGCCAGTATTAATGTAACATTTTATTTCAATTTATAGATTTAATTATAATATAAATAATATAAAAGATAATTTAATTTTATTTATATTTATTTCAGCAGAGCGTTTGACACTTTAAACCATCAATTAATGCTTGCTATTTTACATCATATTGGTCTTTCTCAAAACGCTATAGATTTATTTCAGTGCTACTTCACTAAGCGGAAACAAACAGTTGTTTTAAATGGAGTTCAGTCTTTATCTTTAAATTTGAAATCCGGCGTACCCCAAGGGTCCATACTTGGACCACTCCTATTTCTAATTTATACATCTAATTTCATGCACTGCCTTAGTCTATGTAATGTGCATTTTTACGCTGATGACACCCAAATGTATTGCAGCTTCCCCCCACAATTGATGGATCGTTTCTCGTTGATCATTAATAATGAGCTAAACTCCTTTGTAGAATGTGCCACACGCCACTGTCTTTTAATAAATCCATCAAAGTCTCACGTAATTGTTTTTGGACCTAGACAAAATAAAAATGTTATAGAGAATCTTATTAAAATTGAGATAAATGGTGTAACTCTCAAAATAATGGACAATGTAAAAAATTTAGGTGTTGTGATTGATAGTAATCTTCGATTTGAGTATCACATCAACAAAATTATGCAGAGAGCATATTTGTCGTTGAAATTTATTTACGGTAGCCGGAAATTTCTCTCGTTAAAACTTAAGATCATGCTATGTGATACTTTAGTATTATCTTTATTCAACTACGCTGATGTGCTTTACGGCCCACATTTAACTAACCTGTATCGACGTAAAGTTCAACTGGTTCAAAATTCATGCTTGCGCCTTGCATTTGGTATACAGAGGAGACATAGAATATCTCACAAATTGAAAGATGCAGGTTGGTTAAATATGGAAAATCGTAGGCTCCTCCACTCTGCTGTTTTTTATCATAAATTAATTTTAGTCAGAACACCACAATATCTTTATCAAAAAATAACCTACCGGACTGACGTTCATAACATTAACGTAAGAAGTAAGTGTCTTATTTCGCCACCCAAGTTTAGAACGTCAATCTTCAAACGGAGCTTCACATACCAAATATATAAAGTCTACAACTCAGTCCGGAAGGAACTAAAATTTTCTAGAATAGATAACTTCAAAGCCATGTTTAAAAAGGAACTGCTGAAAAAATAGTAGCACCGCATGAATGAATGAATGATTGTTTTTTTTTTGTTAGCGTGTAGGTATGTCCCTCTTTTATAATGACATGTATGTATTATCGGTTTATCGGATGTCATATGTCGTAGAGGATACTGGGCTAAGTGGAAGAGCAGGTTGTTGGTACTGTGTACTAATCAAACTGAACTTCGCCTTTTATTGACACTGGTTGTACTTATGTTCACTTACCATTTTGTCAATGTCTTATGTCAATAATAAAGATGGTTATTATTATTATTATTATTATCCTTTTTGGGATATAAAGTTCTCCAAAATACGGATTTGTTGTCATTTGCATATGGACAGAGAAAAACATCAATGGGCTGCCCCTTTCTTGAAATGCCTAGCATTCAACTTCCAGTATATGTTTATTGTAAATGCCTGCTTTATATTTTTTGAAGTTGAACATATTGATGCTTGAAATAATGTCAAAAATCATATATTTTTTCTGTAATCTGTACTTTCGTAATTTTGCTAATTCGAATATTGTTTATATTTCACCATCGTCAGATTTTTTTATTTAATTTGGTTTTAATGACTATTATTATTATTATTATTATCACTCTGAATTCCTGCATGTAGAGTGCTGTCATCTTCAAAGCTGTGGATCAGATTGTTCATACAGAAAAGGAGGTTGTTAATACGTAAGAGGTACAATGTTGGAGCCAAGACTGACCCTTGGGGAACACCCACATTGACAATGTGAGATCATAATGAAATAGTGTATTATTTGTACGTTTTTAGAGTTGCAGAACAAGAATCTAAGCCAAATTAGTTACATGTTATATACTAAGTGACATATAAATCCGAACACCCAGTTTAAATGGTTTTATTTTAATAAAAGTTGGTGAATGTATTTATCTTACTGTAAATAACAAGTGAAAACATTTTCAGCCTTATCAGTTGGACATTCCGGTTTTTATACTGCTTTTTTTATTCACTAACGCTCTAAAAATTAATATTTCAGCCGCAGTAAAGAATCAACGTTGGCGGATTTTGGTTCTTTACGATCGGTTACGATGCCTAGAGTACGGAGACCTGTACGATTTCGTCAACTTAGTGAGTTTGATAGGGGCCGTATAGTGGGACTTCGGGAAGCTGGACTTTCTGTTCGGGCAATTGCAGTTAGAATGCAAAGAAGTGTAGACACTGTGGTTAGGTGTTGTCAGGCATGGCTTCGAGAAGGCCGTACGCAAAGAGCAAGGGGCACTGGACGCCGCCGTAGAACAACAGACTGTGGAGATCGCCGCCTAAGATTATTGGCCTTAAGGGACCGTTTCTCCACTACCAGGTCCATTGCAAATGAATGGTTTGCAGAACATGGAAGACCTATTGGCATGCGAAGTATTTACCGACGAATGAGAAGTTTTGGCTTGTTGACATACCGCCCACACTGGGTCCTCCCTTTAACTCGAGAACACCGACGTAATCGCCTTGAGTGGTGCAGACAACGGTCACTCTGGGATCAGGAATGGAACAGTATTGTCTTTAGTGACGAGTCTCGATTTTGTTTAGGCATGCACGATGGTCGTGCCAGGGTTAGAAGACGACGTGGTGAAAGGAGGAATCCACAGTTTTTTGTTGAAAGACATGTTCATCACACTGTTGGAGTTATGGTTAGGGGTGCTATAGCTTATGGTTCCAGGTCACCTTTAATCTTCATCAGAGGTAACATGAACGCGCAGCGTTATATCCACGAAGTTCTAGAACCCCATCTTTTACCCTATCTTGACACCCTGGCAGATCCAACTTTCCAACAAGATAATGCCCGACCACATGTTGCAAGAGTCACGATAGACTTCTTTCAACATAATGATGTCACATTGCTCCCATGGCCACCAAGATCTCCCGACTTATCCCCAATTGAGCACGTGTGGGATATGATGGGTAGGAGATTGCTCAATTTTCAACATCCTCCTCAGACTCTAGAAGCACTTCGAGAGGAGTTGGTGGTTGCCTGGAATGAGATACCACAAGAGGACATTGACCACCTGATCAGAAGCATGCCTAGGCGCGTTGGAGAATGCGTAGCACATCAGGGTGCATCCACACATTATTAAAGGTCAAAGGGCTTTAAAGCAGTGCAATCATTTTGAAATTTTCATCATTTACTTATTATGCTTCATTAAGTACTTATACAAAATTTTTTTAAAATAAAACCATTTAAACTGGGTGTTCGGATTTATATGTCACTTAGTATATATTCAGTTTATCAATGATGATGAATCAACATGACTTTTGACATACAAATTTTTCATTATTTTATCATATCAATGGATAAAAAATTATGTAATACCTTTATAGTCCAAATTGTAAGGAGCAACAGCAATATCCTTACAGTCCTCCATGATAGCTCTGCTAGTTACATGTAAATAAATTTGTACATTTTCAGAGCTATGTAGCCTTAGCTGTTGACAGGCTATCACCAAGGTGCAGTTTAAGCAGTGTTCAGCAAAAATCGAGGTGGACACAGGGCCTGTGAAGACTTTACAATTCTTTAGATGGTTTAGATGCAAAGTAGAAGCTGTTCCTTTTAAGATAACTATGCAATTTTCTAGGTTTTCTAAGGAGACATCCTTTCTAAAAATTTCTGAAGGCAACATGTTCAAAGTCTCATCGGATCTGTTAAAAAATCCGCATGAGTTAAAGATAGCAGGAACATGGGGCTTAAAAACTGCTGAATCAACTTCATCCTCTTTTTCCTTTTTAACATCCTTTTCCTTCATCCTGTTTTTGAAGCTAAATTTTTTCTTAGGCAAAAGCTCATTTTCTAAATATTTTGCTTTGTTTGTAAGCTCTTGTAAGGTATTTTGACACCTCTGCAGATCATAATGACGTAGAAAGATATTTGAAGCAGCAACATATTTTTGCAACGTTAAAATTTCTTTTGATATAGTGTTGAAATGATCAGGTAGTTCATTCTTGGATAAATTCCTAGAGTTTTTTATCAGGCTCTCTATGTAACTCTTCTTCTCAGCAAAGATAGCTTCGAATATTTCCAATTTTTCATTACTAGCAGAAAGTAATTCCTTATCATCTTTTCTTTTCTGTATGTTCAGTTGTCTCTCAAGTTCTCTTTTTGTTAGTAGATTTATTTTATTTGGTTTCTCACTAAAATTTTCTATGCTAATAAGTGGGTCCATTTTATCACTCATCTTTTTTCATCAGCTTTTCTATTTCTGATTTTGATAATCTATAGAGAGGTACACTACTATCTGTTGCAGTTTGTAGAACATTCATAAACTGTCTGTTCCTTTTGTTACTTTCCTTATCTTTATATTCCTGAAAAAAAATTCAATGAATAATCTTATCAAAATGAAATACTCGAAAATTTAGAACGTGTGGAAAATGCGGTGAAAAGTGTGACAAATACTACAGCTAGTTTAGCCACAGAACCACAGATTTCTTTAAAACTGCAAGAAATACACTGTCAATTTGACATTCATTATTAATATAATACAAAGTGATTCAAAATCATGGCAATATTTCTATGGTCTCTTTACAAGTAGTATCCATTATGTTTTGATGTGTATGTACTATAGCATGTAGCATCGGCATAGTGAATCAGGTAAAAATCAGGGCTATATTTAGAACAGTTCATACCAAATAGTCAAAAACTGTTTATTTTGTTTTACTTCTATGTGACTTGGAACATAGTCATTAGCAGCCATTTTGCTTGTAGCATTTTTTTCTTGGGTGTCAAGCTACTTTTCTAAATAAAAGCATTGCAGGGAGTATGAGTATATAGCATACAAAAGACCACAACAAAATATAACTCAGTTCATATAAAATGCCGCCTCACAGGGTGATACAAGTTATTGAGGGCATAATATCAAAATCCTGAAAACATATCTGCAAAGTGATAAGATCTGCAAAGTGATATTGATTTCAATTTTTGAGCATGTACGAGGATGGTCCCAGAAGTACCCGGCCCGACCTAGAGATGGCGATAGTTGTTTGAAAAATATCATTGTATTAGAAAGTATGCAACCTATAACGCATATGTGTCAAGTTTGAAGACGCCACGTTGTTTAGTATTTGTTTGGCAGCCATCAATACTGAACCTTTTCAGGGAATTTGTGAAAATGGACAATACTTTTATTTCAAAGGCCTCAGCCCAACCAATATAAAAGCTGAACTGGCGAGTCTGCTCCTTCGTTTACAACAGTAAAATATTGGGTAGCAGAGTTTAAACGAGGGTGTATGAGCTGCCAAGACGAGAATCGCAGTGGTCGACCACATGAGGTGACGACTCCAGAAGTGGTGAAGAAAATTCACAAAGCGGTACTTACTACTTGGAAAAGATAAAACTATCAACGGCGAGTATTATGCGAACTTATTACAATGTTTGAGCGATGAAATCAAGCAAAAAGCGGCCGCATTTGGTTAAGAAAAAAGTGTTGTTTCATCAAGACAATGCACCAGCTCACAAATCCGTTATTGCGATGGCCAAAATTAACGAATTAAAGTTTGAATTGCTACCTCATGCACCCTATTCACCAGATTTAGCCCCCTCGGATTATTTTCTGTTTCCAAACTTGAAAAAATGGCCAGTGGTCAAAGATTTTCCAGTGATGAAGAAGTGATGTCAGCCGTTAATGGCTATTTTGAGGAGCAAGACAGTTCTTATTATAAAAAGGGTATTGAACTTATTGTACATCGCTGGGAAAAGTGCATAGAGCTCAAAGGAGAGATTATGTTGAAAAATAAATACATTTTTTTACAAAAATTTTGTGTTTTCTTCGTTGGGTCGGGTACTTCTGGGACCACCCTCGTACTGTATTAGCAGCAACATTTTTCAGGTTATAACTACACCAGTGCTGTAGAAACAGGGATATTTTGATGCTTACAGAAGGAAAAAGAGATGTTTTCTATACCACTGACTTTTCTCAATCAACTATTGCATCTTTAAATATATCATTAAATTTTATATAAATTATCTCTCTAAATAAATTTTTGTGAGACTATTTTGGAGAATAATTAGACTGAAAATTTAAAATATGTATAAAAAACCTAAAACAGATCAGTTTTAAAGGTAGTAATGTTTGATCTAAAAAACTGTAGATATCATATCAAAAAACAAATTATCAAAATGTTATGTGAAAATATTCACATTTTGTCCTTATTGTGACACATAAATCTTGGTAATGAAATATTTTTATCACATACGTTTATAGGAACATTTGGCATTATTTTTGAATATACTTTCTACCCAGGATTATTGTCATTCCTTTTTTAATCACCCTGTATACAGAAAGCTTCATTACATCACAGTTTAAAGTTTAAGCAGATAAAACCTAGAAACCTCGTATTTCTTATCACATTTTCAATTTGGAATAGTTCAGAATCTTGTAAGCATTCATATAGAAGATTTTTATCATTTACAAATCTGTTAAGGTACAATGGGTTCATGATTTGTGTAACTTATCCAGGTTTTACTAGAAATATTTTTATATGTACTATTGCAAATAATCACACTCTTGTGCCCTGTAGGCAATCTACTGTGGTGGATCTACAGGTCAGTAAATTGTAACAACTAAATGCAGAACCGAATTAAGGCTTTCTTAGGAATGAATTAATGTTTTTACCTGTTTGATCCTATCAATATCTTCCTGAGATGGCGAGGAGATCACAAGCAGGCCATACCCTAAACTAGAGCATGCGAACAGCCAGAATGCAGATCTAACATATCTGTTAGCCATAAAGTTACTCTTGTCCCCAATAGCTCTGGTCCACTTGTCGGGTATTACTCTGGGAGTTCAGTAACTCGCCTGCCTTGTAATAGTACTCGAGCAAAAACGGATAATTGTCCTTTAGATGCTTTCTGAAATCTACAGACAAAGGTTTCAGTTATAATTGGAACATTGCGGGGGATAAAAATACCTACCTCTATCTGTATTCGCTCTATGCCACAAAAAATAACTTCCAGCGAAACAAGCACCCTCGAAAACGAATAGTGCTACTGCTCCTTTCTTCAGCCACTTTCTAGATGCCGGTTTCGGATGTTTAATCAACATAATTCGTGAAATTTTTCGACATTTGGTCGAGAATTTGGTAACTGCCGTAAAAGGACAAAAATGTTGTGGACGAGATTTGTCATCGACGTGACGTAACCACAAAGGGAACTTCAAATTTGGACTGTTCCTTTTGAATTGTCAAACCTACACGATGTATACTCGCGGAGCGCATTAAACGTGGTGATGGGTTGTGAAGTGCTCAATGGATACTCGCAGTGAACCTTGACTTCTACTCATCAGGGTAGGCCGCGACCTTTTGCCCAAAAATGACTAAGGCTCGTATCGTCAGTCGTCCCTACAATTGTAGGGCGCCTTTATGGCCTCCTTGATTGTCATAGTTTTCTACTGCTCCGTGTTAGCGCTCTATTTTGAGGTTATGTCACAAACATCTATTTGCATCAAATTGTGTTTGCTTCTGAGTTATATCATGTTTTATCAGCCTGAAATTTCCTACAAGATATGTTTTTCCTACAAAAAGGAAAACATATCTTAACAATAGGAGAGCGCTGCCGCCTTAGGCCCGTATCGTCAGTCGTCCCTACAATTGTAGGGCGCGTTTATGGCCTCCTTGATTGTCATATTGCTTTCTCTCCTTCAAAAATTTCTAGATTACACTTGTCCCGTGTCAGCGTCAGCGCTCTCCTATTGTGAAGATATGTTTTCTTTTTAAATTGTAGGAAATTTCAGGCTGATAAAACATGATATAACTCAAAAGCAAACACAATTTGATGCAAATAGATGTTTGTGACATAACCTCAAAATAGAGCGCTGACACGGAGTAGTAGAAAACTATGACAATCAAGGAGGCCATAAAGGCATCCTACAATTGTAGGGACGACTAACGATACGGGCCTAAGGTACTAACTGACAGAAAAGCGAATCTCTTTAACAAAAAATGCCAAAGATAGACTATACGATTATGAAAATTATATAAAAAAGCAGTCAATGTAAAGAAATAAAGAACAAATTATAGTTTCAGATAATCAGATTGTTAATCTTTTGTGTTTGTGAACGGATGCTGGATCATATGTCACCGCATCTCTTCTTAAAGGATTTGCATGTGAAGTTGCACGTTCGTAACTTTTGCTTGCAATTTGCTAAATGAATTGAGACAAGACAGGAATATCCAGGTCATGGTGAATGGTCGCGTTGTAGTGAACCTGTTCAAGCGTCATTTTTTGTTTTGTATTGAAATGTAATACTAAGTGCTTACTTCAAAAGACGCCGAAATTTATAAACGTGAGCGTAACTCGTATTTTGTGCGCCATACTTATAATTTTCGCTGAGCTAGTTTAGTAATCGGATGTCTATTTCGAGTATCTTGCGAGTATTCGGAACCCAGACAAGTCGTTCGATTTGTTCTGAGTACAGTTTGTCACGAACCGCTTATGCCGAGATTGCCAAATTTGTGGGTCAAGTCCTGTCAAAATATGTGCACACAAATGTTCGGTTTTTCAATTTTCCCCATCTAGAATTTGAAAAATTTCGGCATGATTCTGTAGGGTTTATCCTACTGTTGGTGTAAATACGTAACATCGTCCTTTTTGCTTATTTCATATTAACATTCGACTCATACAGGTAAATACTATGCAACACCTAAAAAGCTAAGCTAGTTTATTCCCGCTTTTTTGTAGGTAGTCCAATGATTAACTTCCTAGATCCCAGGTTCTGCCCAAAGGTGAATTCAACTGCTCTCGCAACAGATCATTATGAAGTCCAGAATCTTATAAGTCTAGACCCTTCTGCGCGGTCTAGAGGTTTCCTGCCTTATCCAATTGTAAAACCACCTGTCGTATTGGATTTTGAGCTGATTTGCCCTGTCAACATCCATTATATATCGATCAACGCAACTGTGGGATCCCACAGATCTAGTGGGATAGAAATTCTTGGTAAATCTGGTAGCTCAGAGTATGTAACGATTTGCAGAGCAATCTTTGATGAACCAGGTGTTGTATTTTGCAACAGCAGGAAATATTCTATGTCCAATCAACCACCAAATGTGAACAAACGATACCATGTAGCTTTTTTCAAATCTAAGTCGTTTAGGACTTTTTTAAATGCAGATGCGATAAGGGTTTTGATATTTAGAACAAACACTAGGAATACTCTTCCTTGTTTAAACACTGTGCAGATTTGGGGACTCCCAGCTAGAGTTTGTTCTCTGAAAACTAGAGAAACTATTAAAAAACTTTTTGATAGAACTGCACCTTTTTATCCAACTGACGAGGTACCCTATTCTACAAATTCCAGTGATGAAGTTATTATACCTGAAGATTTTAAAGACAATCTAACGTACGAAATGATGACCATTCCTATGACACTGCCTAGCGGGAAGACTGTGGATTTAACTACCTTAGAAAAGCATACAGAAAGTGAGATATCATTGGGAAGAAAACCATGTGATCCATTTACAGGCTTAAAATTTGATAAATATAAAAAACCAGTATTAAATCCAGGCTTGAAAACTAGAATAGATATGTTTTTATTACAAAATTCACATAAGCGCGAATTTTTTAAACTGTATAGGACAGTTGGTGGCAACACTACTGTTTCAGACTCCAGTAAAAGGAAATATGATGAAATTAGTGGTGATGATGATGATAAAGCTATTTCTAAGGCAAAACGTAGTTGCAATTTTGTATCTTTTCGTGATGAAGTTACAGTTAAACTTTGTATTAATTGTAAACATGAAAATAAGTCATTCTATAAATTACCCTGTAGGCATTTATATTGTAGGCGTTGTATTCTTGAAGCTTGTAGGAATTTAAAATGTGAGTGTGGAAAACGTTTTTCTACTAGTGACGTTAAAAAATGTCATTTTTGATGAGTTTAATAAACTTTTTGTCATTTTGTATCTAGTTTACTTTTTACAAATAAATATAATATACAATACTGCTAAATACAAATATGATATATGAAGGTTGAGAAAGGAATGTTAATCATTAGGAAAAATTAAATTCTATTATTGCCAATAAATTTTAGGGCTATTTTAGAAGTTTCAAATCACAACTGTTTTCATCGTGTGATAATAGTCTGTGTGTCATTTAATGTGCTTTTGTGGGCAATTTACTTATAAAGGTATGGACCGACTATCCAGGGTTGCCAGATATGGATCAAACAAAATTTCCCCTAGACTGATTTCAACTTAAAAAAATCCCCCAAATCATATTTCAGGAGTCGGGTGGGGGGGGTGTACAGGTCTAAAGGCTACAAGAGGGGCATAAAGTGAAAAATAAAATATTTAACCAAGGAATTGAGACTACATATTTTTCAAACTTGTTTCCTGAGCTACAATTGCCGATGAAGGTAAAAGGATATACGCGCATTCGCTATGACTTCGCCATTTGCAGAACCGTGGATGTAAAGGGTTCTCCATTAAGGACTTGACAGCTTCCTTTATAAATAAAACGCAAACCATTTGAAATATCTCGAAATTTTATTATTGGATTGAAATATACTCAAAACATTTATCTATGGAATTCGACCTTGTTCATATGTCCGCCACGGGCACGTCCGCAGCGCAGTTGTTCCCAATTTTCAATGATTCGGTCACAAATTTCGGCTGAAACGGCCGCTATTTCTCGTTCAATAGGGCTCTGAGCTCCACTAACAACGCCGGCATAGACCAATGATTTAAATATACCCACAAAAAAAGTCTAGAGGTATTAATCACACGATCTAGGCGGCCACTCGACAGCACCATTTATCTTTCTCAATATAACACGTTCACCCAATTTTGATTTCAGTATTTATTTATTGTTTTACCCGCTGAGTGCTGCAGCGATCTCGGTTGACTGTAACGTGACGGACATTTCATCAACGAAAAAAAAAAGACCCAATGACCACCGGCGCATGAAAACCGCGTCATACAGTAATTTATTGTGGATGAAGTGGTGACTCTTGAAGCACATAAGGGTTTTCACCTTACCAATAACGCATATTCTGTTTGTTGACTAATCCGTTTCGCCAAAAATGCGCGTTATCACTGAAGATGATTTTGCGATGAAATTGGTCATTTTCTTGCAACATTTCTAGAGCCCAATTCGGGAACGTACGTCGGTTCATATGATCGAACGACTTTAGTTCTTGAGTTAACACGTTCTTATAAGGGTGCACACCAAGATGTCTTCGCAAAATTCGCCATATTGTGGTTAGCGTTAACGCTCTTAAAGTTGCAGTCACAGACTCGGAATTTCGGTAGTAAATTTTAATTATTTGTAAGCCTTGTTCATTTGTGTACTTCACCATGATTAAAAAGGTTTTCTTACAGAATGTTTTGACATTGACAGATCGGTAATTGATTTAAAGGTGCGTTCACAGTGAAAATTCAAAGTTGTCGTATTGGAAAACCCGATATAAGAGGAGCAATTCCGTTGAAAATTGTAGAGAAGAGTAATCGTCTAGTTCTTTCTCCCAAAACACGTGTGTGAGGCACAAAACACATAAGACTGCCAAGAAGGTTTTCTTACTATAAATCTAGACAGCAGTTTTTGGGCGATTAGAGAAAAATGATGAAAATAAGTTATTTCAAAGTTAATAATTACCATACTTAAAGAATCAGTACAAATTGATAATTAAAAACATCACGATCGTGATTTTTTGTGACATGCTAGCAGTAATTCTTTTGAAAACATTCTCCACATATCTGTGAGGTAAACGCAAAATTGTAAAATATTTGAACAGCAATTAAAATGAATGATTCTATTTTTTTGTGACTCTAACCTACTAGGTCTGCAAATTAAGATTTTTTTAGATTCAATTTAATCACTTGTAATTAGCCTTCAGCTGGTCATTTACAGCCGTTTGAATGTTTTCGACTGTCCCAAAATTAGTTCTCTTGAGGTGATTTTTTAACTTTGGGAAGAGAAAAAAGTCACAAGGTCTCAAGTCAGGCAAATAAGGCGGCTGAGGAGCCACAGGAATGTTAAAAATCCGTTTATTGACATTGCTGTGTTAAAAGAAGCATTATCATGATGCAACATCCAGTTGTTCTTGACCTGCTAGCACACTGCTGCTCGAAATTGATGTCATTCATTTTTAGAACACAATTCAAAACACTTCGCTAGGACAACCAAATGGCTGGGGCGAGTTCAAACGTGTACTGAAGGCGGATCGCATGCTCCCCTCCAAGGTTGCCAAATCGAATGCTATGTTGTCAGTCTCATCACTTAATTTAAAGACCTTGTATTGTGCACTGCAAAATTTATCCAGGTTGAATTGTGTAACAAGAAAACAACAGACTATTTTAGCAACCACATATATTGATAAACTGAAAATGACACACTAAGTAACTACCTAACAAAAAATTATTTAAACATCATAACCTACAATGTGACGTTTTCCAATGCATTCACCAACATAAAACCAGCACCAAACTTCAATGCCTACTAGGGTGTTTAACCAGGCCTCTTTTACTGTCAGGTTTTTCCAGGAGCCATTTTTTGCTGCACTTACTAACCTAGAAAAAAAAGAGGCTTCAAGTAAAACGACTCTATACTTCTTCAAGTCATTTCAAAAGGCAGAATCTAACCATAACTAGTTAGGTTCACTTAGGTATGATGACATGAGACATTAGATTTACAACCCCTCCCCCCAATCCGTACAATTTTTTTTTCAAAAATGATCAGAAGTCTCTGAAACGTCAAAAAACGAAGTTTGAGCGATTTTTTTTGTTTTGGCCTTTTTCTCTTCCGGCACTGGATCGATTTTTTTCCTAGAGGCAACTCTGGGCGAGACTGTCAGCGACTCTAAACTATTAAAAAAAGTAGCAATACAACCTAGCAGAGTTTCTATTGGGAGGCCAAAATTCCCTCAGAATGAATTTTAGGACTGGTAGAACAGTTACAAAACAACTACATCCCTTATATAAAGGGAGTTTGGGGGTTATATGGTAGAGGTAAACTTTAAAAAAAATGCTTACCTGCCAATGCCCGCTCTGATCTGGGGTATATCTGCGGGAGTTGGAGGCGTTAATTCTACCTTGGCGTACTTCATAAACACGTTCAGTTTCGGTTTGGCTTCGGCCAGGAGCTCTGAAGATAAGGTTATCGTCGGTTACGTAATACGAATTGGAAACAAAAGAAATACTTACTGTTGGCGAGAACGGGGGCTTGGGCAATGAGCTTAGACATTTTGGAGTGGCTGTCGAGGATTTTATTGTAAATTGGAAAATGTTAAAAAAGGCTGCAAACTACCCCCTTTCGCAGCTCAAAGACAAAACGTCACATCGATTTGACTTTGACAAGTCAAATCGGATAAACGACTAGGATTTCCCTTACTCGATGTGTACTCGCAGAAGTTGTGCAGTGATGCCAATTTACTTTCCCAGATTTCTAGTTAAAAATGCGTGTCAGACATGAATTATAAAAAACATATTTCCAAAATTCTGAGAACTGCATAGAACCCTAAAATTGAATTAGATTGGAACTGTGATAGAGTGCTCCAAACATACCACATTTTCCCCTAGAACACATCAAACTTTTATTATCATTCATCGCTTTAAATTACCATATACTTACCACTTTGTACGTTTGTAATCACGTATTACAGAAATGGTAAAATTTTGTATGAATTATAAATATGCGGTATATGCAATTGACAAAACTCTCCCAGAAAAATTGCCACCGTCTACGATTGAATATAATCGCATCTATGACAAAGTAGTCACTGATCTATTTCAATGAATCTGGAGAACTTAGGAAATTAAGAGTATTGGGCAACGTTGTTCAAATATGCAATTTGCACTGCGGGTATACATCGTGTAAGCTCCGATTATCAGAAATCCTTTGTCTCCTTGACGTATGTCAGTTTTCTACTTGACAGTTTTTGAAGCATGTGCGGTTTCGTTTTACATTCATAAAATACTTATTTGGTAATATAAAGCAACTGCAAGAATAATAGGAAAAATAAGTTCAATAAAATGGAAGAATTAAGCATGAAGATGCAGTCACAGCTGCAAAGTTTCAAACAAGTTCAAACGGGTATACATTTTTGGCGTGTATATTTGATTTCACTCTACATTCGTAACTTTTCAGAGCTTCAAAAGGCTATTTCAACTAGGCAGCAACTAGATGGTCAACTTAACGAAAACGATATTGTTAAACAAGAATTAGATCTCATGCCAGAAGATGGAAAAGTATACAAATCTGTTGGTCCAGTTCTTATAAAGACAGACCTTTTAGAAGCTAAGCAAAATGTGGTAAAACGTATGGACTACATATCGAATGAAATAAAGAGATTAGACTCTCAAATTGAGACATTGGAAAAGAAGCAAGTTGAACATAAAACTGTCATACAAAAACTTCAACAGCAACTAGCTATGGCAGGGGGAATGAAGTGAAACAGAAGTTCTGTTTGTGCCATGAACTAATTGTCACTGTTTTTATAAATCCTTTAATTTATATAATTCATTGTGCGAACGGATATTTGTGCTTGTATTCTTTGTTTAACCAAAGAGTAACTATACCATTAACCATAAATTGCTACATTTTTCTGTACAAAACATGTACTATCTATATTCTACAGGTTCAGGTTTATTAAAATTCACAATATAGAACACTGCTTGATTCTTGAAAATGTTACATGTTAAGCAAAGGGTCTAAGCACTCTACATACTCTTATAAGTTATTAAATACAGACTGTAAGACAAATGTAGTTATAAAAGTTTGTTTTGATATTTAACTTTGAAATAAATAGATTTGTGAGATGATTTTTATTGTAATAAATTCTCTAAAAAATTGAGAACCTGAAGGATTGAAGATACGCGTTTGTAGAATTAACTTTTTGCCCATATGGTGGACAAGTTATATGATAGACTTCTGAAAACGTAAAAAAAACAAAATACGTTTTTGAGGTTTGCAGCTTGGAAAACGAGTCCAAAGTAATTTCAAATTAAAAACGCCATTTTTGTCCAGCCCATGGATGTGTGGCTTTGAATTCAATCTTATTCGAAAGCATAGCAAAACTGAATGTTCACTCTCCATCCGGTTTTTAGTACAAAGAGCAACGCATTTTACATCAGAAGAAACTTATTTGTTAGTAGAAGTAGGTGTTATGTGGTTAGTAGCTACAAGCTACAACTACAACCTACAACGATATTTTGTACTTATTTATACTAGTGGTGTTGAAAAAGTAATCATACGAAACTCGAGTACTCGTTACTTATAGATACCCGAAGTAACGAGTACCAATCCGAGCACGAAATGATTACTCTGTTTTCCGAATCCCTGTACAATCGTTGATCGTGGTAACGCTGGTTAGACTGTAGACTGTAGCACTGCCGCTCATGCACCAGGGTTGCCAGACATCCCACATTCAGATGGAAACCGGGAAACTATTTTTTTTTTATTTGCGGACATAGAATTTGGTGATTGTTTTTAAATCTGAAGTTTACCTATTTACACCGTGACACAAATTCGCTTTTATTGTTGTGATCTTGGGAACCTGAAAAGGAATATGTAGTCGATTGGATCGCATCAAAGTTCGGCAGTATTATGAGGCAGAAAAGCGACAACAAGGTAACACCATCGTTCAGGAAAACCACAATAATAAAAGTTATGTCAATTTCCATGCACTGTTTTGCTAAAAAAATATAATTCAGTATGACCACCAATAGTATGTGTAGACCAAGCTCAACGTAGAATTTTTTATACTGGTATATTATGCTTAATTGAAATGCTCCGAAAAGTCACATGCCATTCCGAATTTCCTTAAGCCAATATACAGATCATCTTTCTGACTAAAAGACATGTTTTTAAGTATTTCTAGTAAATATAAAGTATTTTCAGTTTGTAGGCTCATATGAGTCATATGACACTTCATCCTATGATAACTCATCTCGATAAGCATACAGTTTGAAGATACAATAATCAAATTCAAGCGGATAACCAAATGGAAATGGTATTTACCATTTTGGGTTGGTATTTACCAATCCGTTCAAGCGAGTGTAGTTATCAGTTTGGTTATAAGATCCGTGACGTCACGAATCAGCTGTTATATGTCATAGTTATCACCGCAAAATTGTGGTATTTACCCAACTCAAGAGTAGTTTTATATTTCTGGTTATTATTTGAAATGTGACAAGTTAGAATTTTGCCGGGTATTGGATATTGTTATTGTACTTCAGCTTCATTTTTGAGAAAATTGATACAGTTTTACCATAAAGTGGAGCACCTTATTAGTTATACTCATTACGGTTGTTGGGGACACTTTAAATGTAGTTCCTATGCTTAACAAAGTATCCTGTGTAGCCATATACAACAAGAATATTAAAATATGGCCATATAAACTCACTAGATGATATCCACCTGTATACGGTTTTGCTAATTTCTTTTTTCATCATTTCTGCTGAATCAATAAATGTTTTTTTTGACATGCTGAAAATTTTAGAGAATTGAAAGTTATCATAGCTACAAAGCTATGGTTCCATCATTAAAAAAAAAAAATCTGAAAAAAACATTTCTCCCATGAATATTATGAAAGGTTTCTTATTTAAACTTTCCAAATACAGTTGTAGACGAAAAAGCACCGATTATTAAGTGATAATAAAAATAATCAGAGATTATATACGCGCTTTTCTAAAATAAACAACTTGCAACAAAACCGCGGTTAAAACCAACGCGTTCAAGCGATTCGTGTAACTGACGTCATCAACCCGTGTGCCATCTTGAACCATATTATAACCGCGGCACATAACACAGAAATTTTGGTTATTCGCTTGGATTTGATTTATGTTTGCATTAAACACGATAGTCTTGAATAAACTATGCTTATAACATTTTGCAAATTTTAAGGTCGTCTATTTTCTTACAAGATTCGGTTCCATTCAACTTGCTTAAATGCGACACTAATCACAGGACGCACATTGCCAAATTGTTATACTCATACTACTCATAGTAATCAAAGTAACGAATACAATAAACGATTACTTTGTAGAAGAGTAACGATTAGTAACGAGTACTCGAAAGTAACGATAACCAACACCGCTAGTTTATACCACATTTTAAGATCCTGTTTTGACTTTTTTTCCAGATATAAAAATTGTTTTTTGATTGCCCTGTCACGTCATTCCTGTCAATAAACTCGTTGTTCCATGCCATGTCCCGCCATTCCGCCATCATGGATAAATTAGAACGTCATTTCCATATTCGACAACAAGCAAGAAGGCTAGTCATTTCTATTTAAAGGAAAACTTGCCGCTAATGTAGGAAATTAGAAAGTGTGCCTTATACTAGCATAAATAGTGCCGTTTTTTATCGAGTTTACCGTTGATGATAGTGCAGATATAGGAAATTCAAGGTAAACACTCGTTTTTCTCGAAAAAATGATACTTTGAAGGTAGCGTGTTTAGCCTGGGGCCATTGTTTCTACCTCCCATAGAGAATTCAATATTAAAATACACAAAATCGTTGTTAAAAGATGTTTAAAATGAATGTAATGACGTACTAGATGATTTAGTTGTAGCATTTTTATATTATTGATCATATTTTACTAGAAATTCTTGAAGATGCATTCATTTACATACGTTTGCTTTAATTTGTACACATATCGTTTTAGATATTGATGAGGTATTAGTAGAACTTTGTAACACGGTGTGAATTTCGAATGAGTGCTTTTTGTGCATTTTTGATTTTGTTGAGCAATTCATTTGACCTATAAAAACCCGAGCCAAAAATATAGTATATTGAAAGGTATTTCTTATATCAAAAATATACTGTGTTTAAAAGTGTCTATATTTTATTCACAATAACATGTGGTCCCAGGATGCAAAGTTTAAAAAGTAATGGTAGTAAAGCATCACAAAATATTGATAATTCTTTGAAGATATGGTAAAGGCTGCTTTGTTTCATAAATTGTTTTTATCAGATTCATACAATTTTTGTGTAGAGACCATTTCTATACTTCTAAAATTTGTTGAACAATCATTATTTTGTGATTTTTGCTAAGAAATTCTGATAAAGTATTTTCTCCTATAGTTATAGTTACTGAATGCTTTAATAGTGAGCTAAATGCTGATCAGTGCAGATATTTGGATAATAGAGAGGATGTGGATTTAAAAATATGAAATCCCAGCCCTATACTATTTATCTTTTTTCCCTTATGTAGATGGTGGTAGATGTAGATAAGCTGAGTGATGCAGAGCTGCGAACCAAGCTATTGGAGTTTGGCTTCCCTGTGATGCCAATCACAGGCACCACTCGCAAAGTGATGGCAAAGAAGCTGAAGATGCTGCTTGAGAACAAAGGAAAGATTGGGGATGGTGCAGGCAGAAGGTCTATGGGCAAGTAAGTTAAATCGCAGGTTGAAAATTTTAATAAAGTATGTTTATCACAGATCATTGTTATAAATGATATTGCCTATTGTACTGAAAATATTCAGTTTATAATCATGCATTAGCAAAATATGAACAATTTCAAACATAAAGGGTTGGTTGTCCAATAGGGATGCAGGAAAGTAAACGTCAATTTAACATAGACGCCATCTTTGTTTTCTGTCACCGACATGTAATTTTGTTAGTTGAATGTTTACCATCGATCGCTATGGAGTCGTATTCGATTGAAGATCGCATTAAAGTTATTCAAGAGCACTACAAAAATGGTGCAAAAATAAACACGTTTCGCGCGCTTCGTGAACATTTCGGTCGCAACAACCGCCCAAACGAAACAATCATCGGTCGTCTGGTGCGTAAATTCGAGGCAACAGGTTCTGTGGCAAATCTGCAAGGCTCTGGCTGGCCAAGGAGCGTTCGCACACCGGAAAATATTGCTGTTGTGAAGGAGAGTGTGAGAGACGTTCCGAAACAATCAACAACGCGTCGATCCCAAGAATTGGGCATTTCGAGAACCAGTTTGCTCCGCATTCTCCACAAGGATTTGAATGTACACGCCTACAAGATCCAATTGACGCAAGAGCTGCGCCGGGCCGACCATTTTTCGCGCCGAACGTTCTCAGACTGGCTCCTTGAACACCGCCAAATTGATGCCAATTTTTCATCAAAAATCATGTTCAGCGACGAAGCGCATTTCACTTTGAATGGGACGGTAAACAAGCAAAACTGCCGCATCTGGGCGAACGATAATCCCCGTGAGTATCAAGAGCAGCCGATGCATCCTCAAAAAGTGACTGTGTGGTGTGCATTGTGGTCAAAAGGCATCATTGGACCTTACTTTTTCGAAAATGCGGCCGGGGACGCCGTTACCGTCAATTCTGGGCGATATCACGTGACGATAGAGGACTATTTTTTGCCGCAACTTGAAGGAATGGATATGGACGATGTTTATTTCCAACAAGACTGTGCAACATGCCACACAACCAACGTCAATATCCATCGATTGCAGTCCTTCTTCGGTGACTGCGTGATTTCGCGCAGAGGAAATGTGCCATGGCCACCAAGAGCAAGCAAAGTCCACGTCAACAAACCAGCCACCCTCCAAGAACTCGGAAACAACATCATTGCCGAGATAAATGCCATAGAACAGACCAAGTTGCAAAATGTCATTGAAAATTTCGACCATCGCGTGGACGTCTGTAAATCCAGTCGTGGTGAATATTTGAGCGATATTATTTTTCATACATAAATGGTATAAATGAACCTTCAAAATAAAGTACCCAACTTGATTTGAATATCAATCTTTCTTGTTTTAATATGCGTTTACTTTTCTGCATCCGTTTTAGACAACCCCAATAAATACATAGTACTATAAGTAGAAAGATAGAGGTTATAGTTTATCTCATCTGCTTACAATAATTCAGTAATATCTCTTAATGGATCAAGCTAATTTAAATTTTTGGTATAAAATTCTGTGAACTTATAAAGACAAAGCTGTGTGATTCTTGTAATATAATGTTGTGAAAACTTGATATTATACCAATTTTCAATGATGCTAGGCTCTTGGAATTTTCATTTTTTTCTACTTTGTTTAGGTACTCGAGTGAAGAAGATAGTGATGTGGAGATTGTGAGTGTTAAGAAGAAAGAAAACAGAAGAGCCACAATGGCTGCACCAGTTATGCAGCCACCACCTCCTGCATCATCACCTGGAAGGTCTAGGAAGAGCACCAGGTTAAATGATGTGTCAGAGATACAGGTAATTATTTTAGATATCCAAAAACTATAACACTTCACTTGCAAATGCTAACTTTATTCAATATAATTTGTTAATTTCAGGTTCGCAACAGTTCACCAAAAAAAGAGCTGAAAACTTCATCTTACACCAGCACAACCACAACAACGCGGACAAAGACATTCAGACCCACACAAGATGAATTTGATACTGGCTCAGACTCTGAATCTGACTTGGTCACCAACAACTACAGGTATGAATATATTTTGATTTCATATAATTTATAAACCTAAACGAAATTTCATCATTCTGAGTGACATAACAAGTTTTTTTTGTCTTTTATTGATCTGTTACAGATTTTCAATGATAACTAACAAGTTCTCATAGCTTCATAGATTTTTGTAATTTTTTTTTCAGATCCTCTCCGACAAAATCTGAAAACGTGTTGGGAGGTAGTGAGGACTACTTTACCCGCGACGCTTCGCCGAAAAATCTATCATCAAGATCAATGGATATATCGTATGGTGGTGGATCTTCGCAGCCAGCATCTAGCAGCAGATACAACTCTCCATCGCTTGCCTCCGATTACGCCAATGACAGATTGAACCAGATTCGCAACAGATTGAGCCTGGGCGTTCCGTCAAGTGAGTATTCGATTTGTTACTGGCTGGTATACAGCGTGCTTGAAAAGTTCGGGAACCCCAGGATAATCTATAAGCTAATGATATTCAATCGATTTGACCTTGACTATAACCTTCAAGGTCATTTGAAGGTCAATTTTTTTAAATGCAATCTCCTATCTTTGACGCCGTAAATGAAAAGTGCGGAAAATTTACGTTCAAGTATGGTCTTGACCATTCTTAAATTTTGACCTTAAGAGGACATCAAGGTCAAACTCAGTTGAAGATATCTAACTTGAAACGAGTAGTTGTATAGGTAAACTACCGAAACTTTATTTTCATGATGTTTCGCCGGACATCCAATGGTGACCTTGGATCTGACCTTCACATGAATACCTTCAAGGTCATATGAAGGTCTACTCCATTTTTGCATCCAGGGAACAAAACTGGAAGTACAGTGAAGTCTAAGAAATCGAGGTAAATTTGTTTGACCTTGATTGTAAAGTCCAAGGTTAGCTCCAAAAATTGTCAACGACAAATTCAAACAAATTTTTCCATTTCTCCATTCGCACAGTCATAAGTATAGGGTCCCAATAAAAAAATGCAATCCCCTATTTTTGACGCCGTAAATGAAAAGAGCGGAAAAATTTACGTTCAAGTATGGTTTTGACCATTCTTAAATTTTGACCTTAAGAGGACATCAAGGTCAAACTCAGTTGAAGATGTCTAACTTGAAACGAGTAGTTGTATAGGTAAACTACTGAAACTTTATTTTCATGATGTTTCGCCGAACATCCAATGGTGACCTTGGATCTGACCTTGACATGAATACCTTCAAGGTCGTATGAAGGTTACTCGATTTTTGCATCCAGGGAACAAAACTGGAAGAACAGTGAAGTCTAAGAAATCGAGGTAAATTTATGGTTGACCTTGATTGTAAAGTCCAAGGTTAGCACCAAAAATTGTCAACGACAAATTCAAACAAATTTTTCCATTTCTCCATTCGCACAGTCAAAAGTATAGGGTCCCAATAAAAAAATGCAATCCCCTATTTTTGACGCCGTAAATGAAAAGAGCGGAAAAATTAACGTTCAAGTATGGTCTTGACCATTCTTAAATTTTGACCTTAAGAGGACATCAAGGTCAAACTCAATTGAAGTTATCTAACTTGAAAACGAGTAGTTGTATAGGTAAACTACCGAAACTTTATTTCATGATGTTTCCCTGGACATCCAATGGTGACCTTGATATGAAGACCTTCAAGGTCATGTGAAGGTCTACTCGATTTTTGCATCCAGGGAACAAAACTGGAAGAACAGTGAAGTCTAAGAAATCGAGATAAATTTATGTTTGACCTTGATTGTAAAGTTCAAGGTTAGCTCCAAAAATTGTCAACGACAAATTCAAACAAATTTTTCCATTTCTCCATTCGCACAGTCATAAGTATAGGGTCCCAATAAAAAAATGCAATCCCCTATTTTTGACGCCGTAAATGAAAAGAGCGGAAAAATTTACGTTCAAGTATGGTCTTGATCATTCTTAAATTTTGACCTTAAGAGGACATCAAGGTCAAACTCAGTTGAAGTTATCTAACTTGAAAACGAGTAGTTGTATAGGTAAACTACCGAAACTTTATTTTCATGATGTTTCGCCGGACATCCAATGGTGACCTTGGATCTGACCTTGACATGAATACCTTCAAGGTCATATGAAGGTCTACTCGATTTTTGCATAAAGGGAACAAAACTGGAAGAACAGTGAAGTCTAAGAAATTGAGGTAAATTTATGTTTGACCTTGATTGTAAAGTCCAAGGTTAGCTCCAAAAATTGTCAAGGATAAATTTGAACAAATTTTTCCATTTCTCGATTCGCACAGTCAAAAGTATAGGGTGCCAATAAAAAAAGAGTTGACCTTCAAATGACCATGACAGTCATGGCCAATGTTACCATTGGATATCCAGGGAAAATTTTTTTTTTTTTAAATGGAACCCCCTATATTTGACGCCTTAAATGAAAATATTGGAAAATCTTACGTTCAATGGTCTTGACCATTCTTAAATTTTGACCGTGGGAGGTCATCGTCAAGGTCAAACCCAGGTACAGTGATCTAACTTGAAAACGAGTAGTAGTAAAGGGAAACTGCCGAAACATTATTTACATGATTTTCCCCCGGATATCCAATGGTGACCTTGGATCTGACCTTAACCATGAAGATCTTCAGGGTCATGTGAAGGTCTAGTCGATTTTTGCATCCAGGGAACAAAACTGGAAGAACAGGGAAGTCAAAAAAATTGCGGTAAATTTATGTTTGACCTTGATTATCAAGTCCAAGGTGAAGTTCCAAACAGGTCGACATATACATAAAATTTTCCCTTCTCTTCATTTCCGCAGCCAAAAGTATGGGGTCCCATTAAAACAGGGATGACCTTCAAGCTAGTTTCCCTATATGACTACTGGCTTTCAAGTTATATCACCATACCTGGGTTTGACCTTGACCATGGGCTCCTAAGGTCAAAATTTAATGTTAGTGAACGTAAATTTTTTTGCTTTTCACATTCACGGGGTAAAAATTGGGGGAAGTTATATTAAAAAAAAAACGGCGTGACCTTTAAATGACTTTGAATGTTGTAATCAAGGTCAAATTCCATGTCACCATGTATAGCTGGGGAAGACCATTCGCGGGGCTTCGTTTTTCCTAATTTTCTAACAACTGGCGGTGATAATTTTTGAACAGATACTGGGATATTAGATGAGGCGAGACAGTATTTTAAGATTAGTAAAGCAATTTTTAACCTTGTTTGGTAGAGCAAATTTTTGATTGTCGCCGAGTTCAAACACGATTCCATTACTGCTAGCTACTCTTACCTTGATGTACTGAGTCGAATGAGTTTTCTGTTACAGGTTATGAAAAACCAACATCCTCATACGCCTCAACATTGGATAAGGAAGAGACACCTTTCCTGAGCAACTTCACCAGGAGATTGTCAGCATTGTCGTCCACTCAGAAGGCTGACGATTACAAAAGTGACATCATCAAGGAGCATGATACAAACGGAAGTACTTCTTTGTATGCCAGAAGTCAATTGGGCAGGTGAGAAAACTTTTAGATACAGCAATAGGGAATCATGATCTTAGCACGAATTCTCGAATCCTGGGAAAATCTTCTCATTGATGCTTACATGTGGGAATGATCTATTCAGCATACTTAATTGTTATAGAATATGTCGTTGGAATATTTTCCTGGGACATGTACATTTGAGAAATTATTTATAATATAATTAAAAAAAAACAGTAGTGTAATATTTTTTATGTTCAACCACTGGAATTCTTGTAACATAGATTTTATTTTGATGTACTTATTTTTATTCAGTATGATTCTCGATGGTTTATTTTGCAGGCTTGTAATTTTGAGAATACAGCTTCATTGGCAGTGCACAAGATAGATGAACAATATATTTTTTTGGAATATATACTAAGACCATAAGAAGCCTTATAAAAGTAATTTGTTTTTTTTGTCAAGTTTTGAAATAACATATTCACAGTAGTGATCCTCAAACTTTAGTATATAGTATAGTATACAGGGTGTCCCAGAAGTCGACGTCAAGCCGAAACCGGGTGATAGGCAAAGTCATAGCAGCTATCAGAAAAATATTTAAAAAAATTTTATGTATGTGTTTTGAAAATTATAGGTCTTTGAAAAAGATATAGAAATTTCACACCCTATGGCAGTCTGTCAACTCCTGTTACTACAAATATTAACTTTTTTTGGATTTTATTTTTACAATGTAATAATGCATCTTCAAACTGGTGTCTCAACCTTACTGCCAACTTTTTTCGTTCAGGAAAAATTGCCACTTATTTCCCAACCAAGTATTCCAAAGTAAAACTTTGCTCAACTTTAACTGGCTGTACTGGAAAAAAATGTACTACGAGAGTTTGGCGAGTAACCTTAAAAGTTGGCGCATTTAATAACGATTCCAAAATAGTATAACACTTAGAAGATTACTCGTTAACTTATGCACAATTTTTATTTGAAAAAAAACTGATGAAAATTTTTCAAAATTTCCTAATTAAACAGCGATTATGAAAACGCACAAGGGCCCTTAAGGATAAATGTTTGCACAACAGTGGGCGTCAAAATGCTGCTGATGATGATTTACCTTTACAGCAAATGCTCAAACTGTTTTCCTTCAGCCGCAATACACGCTCGACATCTTCTTAAAAAAGATCGGGTTATTAAACGAGTGAATCCACGGTTATTAAAAAACTCAGCTGCTTCCAATAGTCTTTGCCGTAGCTCAGCTACATTTTGAATCGGCTTGAAATATAGTTTCTTTTACAGTTCCCCAGTAAAAAAATCTAAAGGATTCAAATCAGGTGATCGGGCTGCCCACGGGATTGTACCAGACCGCCTTATCCATCTGCCTGGAAAGTTTTGATCGAGATACTTTCTCACTGAGAGTGCATAGTGCGCTGGGCAGCCTTCATGCTGAAACCACATGTCCCTGTAAATACTCAGTGGCACGTCCTCCAATAAATTTTCTAAATGATTTTGCAAAAAACCTAAATAAACCTCAGCAGTCAAAGTCTCTGGGAACTCAAACGGACCGATTATTTTACCATTTAAAATTCCTGTCCAATGGTTTATCTTGAAGCGATATTGAGATTTATCTTCTCTCATCAAATGTGGGTTTGCTACGTGCCACTCGTGTAAGTTATGCAGGTTCATGTACCCATCTTTCTTAAATGTGGTCTCATCCGACCATAAAATTTTTTCAAAGAACTGTGGATCTTTCCTGTGTCTTTCTAACATTGTGCGACAAAAAGCAACTCGGGGCTCATAATCCCGGGACAGGAGAGGTTGAACACGCTGTATGTGGTATATCGCTTCAAGATAAACCATTAGACAGGAATTTTAAATGGTAAAATAATCGGCCCGTTTGAGTTCCCAGAGACTTCGACTGCTGAGGTTTATTTAGGTTTTTTGCAAAATCATTTAGAAAATTTATTGGAGGACGTGCCACTGAGTATTTACAGGGACATGTGGTTTCAGCATGATGGCTGCCCAGCGCACTATGCACTTTCAGTGAGAGAGTATCTCGATCAAAACTTTCCAGGCAGATGGATAGGGCGGTCTGGTACAATACCGTGGCCAGCCCGGTCACCAGATTTGAATCCGTTAGATTTTTTTTACTGGGAAACTGTAAAAGAAAAAATGTATTTCAAGCCGATTCAAAATGTAGCTGAGCTACGGCAAATACTATTGGAAGCAGCTGAGTTTGTTAATAACCGTGGATTCTCTCGTTTAATAACCCGATCTTTTTTAAGATGTCGAGCGTGTATTGCGGCTGAAGGAAAACAGTTTGAGCATTTGCTGTAAAGGTAAATCATCAGCAGCAGCGTTTTAACGCCCACTGTTGTGCAAACAGTTATCCTTGAGGGTCCTTGTGCGTTTTCATAATCGCTGTTTAATTAGGAAATTTTGAAAAATTTTCATCAGTTTTTCTTCAAATAAAAATTGTGCATAAATTAACGAGTAATTTTCTAAGTGTTATACCATTTTGGAATCCTTATTAAATGCGCCAACTTTTAAGGTTACTTGCCAAACTCTCGTAGTACATTTTTTCCAGTACAGCCAGTTAAAGTTGAACAAAGTTTTACTTTGGAATACTTGGTTGGGAAATAAGTGGCAATTTTTCCTGAACGAGAAAAGTTGGCAGTAAGGTGGAGACACCAGTTTGAAGATGCATTATTCATATTACATTGTAAAAATAAAATCCAAAAAAAGTTAATATTTGTAGTAACAGGAGTTGACAGACTGCCGTAGGGTGTGAAATTTCTATATTTTTTTCAAAGACCTATAATTTTCAAAACACATACATAAAAATTTTTTAAATATTTTTCTGATAGCTGTTATGACTTTGCCTATCACCCGGTTTCGGCTTGACGTCGACTTCTGGGACACCCTGTATAATGTACATAAATATTCATTTAATTGATTCAATATTTTCAGTTATTTCACCATTTATCCTAACTGTGATAGTGTTTTCATTTAGGTATATCCCTATTAGCATACAATTTGTTTTAGAAGCATTCAATTTTAGTTTATTTACATTTAACCAATTTATGATTTTTTCCAAGTCAGAATTTAGCAGTATCTATATTTTCATCTGATATGCAAATATCTCTATTTTAGAATAATCTAAAATATTAAAAATGCCATTAATGTATAAAATTTGGACCTAGTTTACTACCTTGTGGTACACCAACAGAAATATTTTTTGAGCTTGTTAATGTAGATCTGATTATGTTTTTTTGACTTCTGTCAATTAAGTAGTTTTGTAGAATTGTGAATTCAGATCCTCTAAATTTGCGATTTTTTTTTGATGTATACAGGGTGTAGATTAGATTTTTGATATCTATTATGTCTTGGCCTATCCCCCGTTTCCGGCTCGACTTCTGGGAAACCCTGTAGATGCAGCCTGGCTCTGACTTTGATATTTTTTCAGCTACAGATCGGCGGCCAGTCGTCCGGCGGCCTCGCCGTACGGCTTCAGAGTGGGTCAGCCGCAATCCTCCTCGACCAGCCACTGGAGCCAAGGCAACGCGTTCATCAAGAACAACGTAGTGTCTTTCGCCGTTTTGGCCGGCGCAGCGTTGTTCTTCATTTTTCTGGCCATCGCGTACTTGGGCATGCGCAGCGACACCTCGGTGATTCCCTCAGGTAACGTACACGGCCATCAAGGGAATCCCTACACGCCTAAAAGGCCAGAGGGGTGGGCGGTTAAATAGGGATAAGGGAAGAAATCGTCATAGTGTCAGCTGGGATTGATTGACAATGAGCCGTGTCGCAGGCACAACGAATTTTTTATTTGAAAAAACGAATTCACCAATGGAAACGTTGATCTTTAAGCTATTTTTCTCGACAGTCGCTATTTTTTTCTACGCATTTTTTTAGACGTGAACTTGGTTTGTTGAGAGACATGATGCGCATTGATGTGGAGCTGTCTTAAGCTTTGATGATTTTTCCGCTACGTCTCAGCTTTTTTAGGAGCCTCAGGAACTTTAACCGCAGCGGCAGGACATATTTATCTTGGTCCAATATATTTATAAATTCAAACAGTTATAGAAACTAAATGGGCGCCCATACAATGTAAATCAAATACTCGTAATCTTGTTGAACCATACTTACATTTAAATCTAGTCCTAGCAGAATATCTGCTATAACTACTGCTTGAACTGTTTCCATTTGCTGACATATCTCACAGTGTTTTTTCTTCGGTTCAACAATTCATTGTAATTCAAATTTGCATTTTTACAGCTCGCACTGCTTTCTGTTTTCCCGTCTGCTTTATTCGATTTTTCAATAAATTATTGCCAAATAGGTTTTTTTACCACTAACGCTTTGAGTCATTTCAGCTATCTTTTGAACGCACTACTATTTGAACAAGAAAGGGATGGGGAATAGGAACACACAATTTACTAATGAACGTATATATCTTTATTGTATGGGGTTGTCCAAAGCGGACGCAGGAAAGTAAACGCATATTAAAACAAGAAAGATTGATATACAAATCAAGTTGGGTACTTTATTTTGAAGGTTCATTTATACCATTTATGTATGAAAAATAATATCGCTCAAATGTTCACCACGACTGGATTTACAGACGTCCACGCGATGGTCGAAATTTTCAATGACATTTTGCAACATGGTCGGTTCTATGGCATTTATCTCGGCAATGATGTTGTTTTTGAGTTCTTGGAGGGTGGCTGGTTTGTTGACGTAGACTTTGCTTTTCAAAAATCCCCATAAAAAGAAGTCCAACGGAGTCAAATCGCACGAAATCACGCGATCACCGAAGAAGGACTGCAATCGATGGATATTGACGTTGGTTGTGTGGCATGTTGCACCGTCTTGTTGGAAATAAACATCGTCCATATCCATTCCTTCAAGTTGCGGCAAAAAATAGTCCTCTATCATCACGTGATATCGCTCAGAATTGACGGTAACGGCGTCCCCGGCCGCATTTTCGAAAAAGTAAGGTCCGATGATGCCTTTTGACCACAATGCACACCACACAGTCACTTTTTGAGGATGCATCGGCTGTTCTTGATACTCACGGGGATTTTCGTTCGCCCAGATGCGGCAGTTTTGCTTGTTTACCGTCCCCTTCAAAGTGAAATGCGCTTCTTCGCTGAACATGATTTTTGATGAAAAATTGGCATCGATTTGGCGGTGTTCAAGGAGCCAATCTAAGAACGTTCGGCGCGAAAAATGGTCGGCCCGACGCAGCTCTTGCGACAATTGGATCTTGTAGGCGTGTACATTCAAATCCTTGTGGAGAATGCGGAGCAAACTGGTTTTCGAAATGCCCAATTCTTGGGATCGACGCGTTGTTGATTGTTTCGGATCGTCTCTCACACTCTCCTTCACAACAGCAATATTTTCCGGTGTGCGAACGCTCCTTGGCCGGCTAGAGCCTGGCAGATTTGCCACAGAACCTGTTCCCTCGAATTTACGCACCAGACGACCGATGGTTGTTTCGTTTGGGCGGTTGTTGCGACCGAAATGTTCACGAAGCGCGCGAAACGTGTTTTTTTATTTTTGCACCATTTTTGTAGTGCTCTTGAATAACTTTAATGCGGTCTTCAATCGAATACGACTCCATAGCGATCAATGGTAAACATTCAACTAACAAAATGACATGTCGGTGACAGAAAACAAAGATGGCGTCTATGTCAAATTGACGTTTACTTTTCTGCGTCCCTATTGGACAACCCTTTATAAATCTAGACAACAAATATTTTTTGGTGAATAGAAAAAAATAATAAAAATCAGTTATTTCAAAGTTCGTTATTGCCATGTTCAGTACAAATTGATAAGAATAAACAAACACGATATCGAAAAAATCATATTTTTTATTTTTCCAAAAAATCGTGTTTTTTGCAGCACTGTCTGGGCCCATAACCTAAACATCGAAGCTTTTCTGTTTCTAGGCGATAGGCTCTTTTATAATGTATAGTTAAGACATGGTTCATAGTCAATTTTCTCTAAAGGTGGCACGTCCCTTTTATCAGACTTTTTTCAACTCCCTGTTTGCAACAGTATCCTAAATCCTTTTCATCTGATTTCTTTTTGTCCAAAAATGCATTTTTTCTTCAATCGGAACTTGTTAACAAATACAAGTACAGCATTTTTCGAAAAGGAAAAGTGATAAGAATAAAAGTAATCACTCGATTCATTCTTCCATAAGAGAGGAATATTCACACTCAATTTGAGAGCTGTACTTATATTTGTTAACAAGTTCCGATTGAAAATGTACTATTTCACAAAAAAAATTGAAACATTGTTTTTTAGTCATCTCTATAGGCATATCAGACGAAAATAAATTACAATACTGCTGCAAAGAGGAAGTTGAAAAGGGATCTAAAAAAAGGGAGGTACCTTAACCAGTTCTGTGACAATTTATCTTGGTTTGAAATCCGCCTTGTTGAAAATATGTATCAAGAAAACGGTGCTGGGAGGGTTATAAGATGCAAAACAAATTCGAAATAGGAAGTAATCTGAAGGTTGATATTTTTTCGAATAGCCTTCGAGTCCAATATTGAAATATTTTACTTTGCTATATAATTCGTTAAATAACGGATTCTTGAGTTTTTGGAGGCAATTCGTAGGTAAATGGTGTAGTTAATACTAGTTAATCAAAATAAAGACATAGAATTTTGTAGCAAAGTTGATTCTTCCTAAATATAATGGCCGGAGGTATTGGGGTTCTCGAATATATGCATTGAATTTTTTTGGAGCAAAGATGTTTAATTTTTTACTATTCTTCTATAGACCGATAAGAATGAAAAAATGATACTTGATTTTAATTACATTGATAAAAATTGCACCACCACAGATATGCATTTTTTAAAAATTGTTTAGTGTTAAAAGTGTTTTTGTTGTATGATTAAGCAGTTTTCCAGTTTGTGAAATTTTAATAAACAATAAATATTTTGCTTCGTAAACGTTTAGTTTTATTTTTTATTTCACCACCTTTTTCAGTTTTTACCAACTACCAAAATATTTATTGGTTATTGAAATTTGTAGGATCGTTTTCAAGATATCCTACTTTGGCCTTTTGGTAGAAAGATAAGATAGTTTTGTTTCCTTTTTAAAGAACTATAATTGTAGTCAAGATCCAGGTATGATAGGAAACAATGCTGCTTGTCCTTTAGCCACAAGAGCCGCCAAACTTTGGATGTCCTTTGAAAATGATCTATTAGGCAATCAAATATGCGTGTCACATGCAAGGTATACGATTTTTCACTAGACGTCATTACGTTTTGACGTTTATCTTGCGCCTGTCCGACCACAGACGGCCAACCGTGTACAACTGTTTCATGCTTTTTGGCAATTATCAGTCTGAGACCAAGCCTAGACCGGGCTGATGATTCCTCAAAACGATTGTAACGAAAACACCGTTTATTACTCACAGTTGAGTGGTGTAAGGAAAGGGCAAAATCTATCCCAGATTACTTGGTTGAATAAAAAAGTTAAAAAATTGATTCATTGAAAAGATTTTTCAAGTACAGCTCTGTCACTTGTAAGTATTGTGCAAAGTTGTCTCTGACAGATTCACGGATACGTTACATTTCGCCCCAAACAAAGAAATCACAAAGGATCTTGCAAAAACGATCTGCATGTACTCGCGAAGCCTCGGTAGCATTTTGAAGACACTCACCGTAAATTAAAATAATATGGATAACTCCGGTATTGCCGTAAGAGTGCGATTTTTTTTAGAACCGATGTGTAAAGGTTTTGTTTACAAACGCAGCCAGCGTCTGGATTGAGTACTGATCCTCATCGCGCGAGTTCACGTTTGATCTGATCGAGGACCGGATGACAACATCTCGGTAATCTTAAGACTTTGGTGCATATCTTACTAGAAAAAAACTGATTTGTTTCCAAGATCTATACGCCGTGTAAAGTTCCAACTTTGAGGACACTGTTTTTTTTATTGATGTTACATTAACTTTTCGTCTGTGGTCAAGAATGCGTACAAAACAGACGATGTCGTTCAAACTGTTCAGTCACATATCAAATCATATCAATACTATCGGTATTGTAGATGCCGTGGTTCCATACTGCATTCCTCACGACCCCTCTTCAAAAAAGGGCGTGAACTGCCTTCTCAAAGAAGATGCTCCAGACGCTTTCAATTTACTTGCTATCGTCAGACGGGAATTGCATAGAAGAGCTATTGATGCAAACTGTAATGGTCAATCGTATCGAAGAATGCACATGACAGAGGAGGATATCGTCAAGTTTTGTTTGGCGAACTTTCATACCAAGGTGGGTATCGCAAAACATTAAAAAATAAAAAAGTCTACATATATACATTTCGACGTTAGCTGGAGAAAAAAGTACATTTCTAAAATTCTCATAGCTCTTGTATACCTACAAGTGTGTTTCATAAGTATGTCAATTTATTTTAATTCATGTGAAAACACTGGGAATTTTAGGGTATTAGGTATAGTGGATCTATCTACAAACGTCAATCGATGTTACAATTTTGAGGATTCTACCTGTCTATACCATCGACTGCTAAGTTTGCGATATATTCTTTTTTTTGACAGCAAAACAAAAATGCTACTGACATTCATTGCAAATTACGAAAAATACTTATAAAAGCGTTCTATATTTTAGGTCGACAAAGTTAAACATGACCTGACAAACTTAGAGATTTTAATATTTAACAATGCTAATTGGGGCCTGACTGTCCTAAATTTGGACGAAGATAGAGACACTGTGACAGAAAATGACATAGCCAGAGATATGGTGAGTTCTATAAATAACACATCTTCCTTTAAGGTCCCCTGGTAGCCTCATGTCCTGTGTAAAACGTGCATCCGTGGTTCTATCGTACCTATTTTGCTGTCGGTGCAATAACTACTTACAAAACGCACTTTTGCAGGAAAATCCTTAGATTCTGCAAAAGGGTACAGTTCAACATCACGTAGCGTTTGCTACAATTTAGTCTTGGAGACTTGCTTTTATCTAGTGCTCTTTGAAGGATTTTCATCTACAAGATTCAATACTCTTTCCTGTTTGCCCCATTCGGGGTTGTCTAGGTTTCGTATTGTGCCCAAATCGACGTTCCTGCAAACATCCTGTATCCCTAGCTCTTTACTCAAGGTAAACAAATCTACGCGACCCTGAATGATAGCGTCTGGAAAAGCGATCTGCATACACTCGCGAAGCCTCGGTAGATCCCCACGATAAATTAAAATCATGTCGACAAGTGCCGGTGGCTGGGTTCTTCTTCTCACTTTGACCCGATCGAGACTGGGGAGCCGTAATGGCATAGAAAAAGTGTGGAAATCATTTTATACGTATGGATTCTTTTTGTATTTTAGGAACAGGTGATTTTCAATAAGGACTTAAAAAACATTGTGGCCTTGATTCAATTAAAACCAGACTTGCCGTGGACTTGCACATTTTACAATGGAATCAAAGTGACTGTTACTGCTTCTTTGGCCGTAATTGGTTTGACTGCAGTGCTTTACTGCACGAAATGGTTGTATAACAGGTAAGGAATGCTTGTTTCATGTTGTTTCCTTGAATGCAGTTCTATTGATAATTTAAAGGGAACGATAAAATCAAGTATAAAAGAGCTTTTTGTCAACTGTGAGATGAACCAAATTCAAATTTATTTTATTGCCGATTAAATCTTAGTAACAAAGACAAAGTAACAGTGTATTATAATAAAGTTGCTCTGATTCTTAACATTGTTCATGAATTATTTTGATCTATTCACTATACCTAAAAATACGAATTCTATTATAGGTAGAGTATAACTTAGGGAAGAAATTAAGCACAAAATTCAAGTATGGCAAAACTTAAAAAATTCACATGAATATATTACAGACTTTATTTAAGAGAAAATGTTTTAAAATTCAAGTATCATGTATTGCTTCATTATGGGATTCTACTGTTTGAAGTTTTCAAATGTAAATTATCCATTTATCTGTTTAATCATTCAGAGAAGAGATGTTTACTCCACCAAGTTATTGTATGCAACAATGCCTATTTCAATATTCCAGTTAAAAAAAAATGCTTCAATTGTACAGCACACCATGTCTACTGAATAATTATTTAAATATTTTCCATCCAGAACCCCAGAAATGACATGGAAAAAGTGCTAATGCAGGTTCAAAGATTTGAATCCACATATTAAATTTAATAGCGGTTGCTACACTATCTATCACTCATACTCGTGACTATATCATGTTATAAATAAATTTATACATAATATTTATTGTATATGCTAATCACTCGATGCACTTGATGTTAAATAAATGTTCATTAAACTAACTTTTTAGGAGGAGGTGAAAATACTATTCCCTTTTGGAATGATGTCCATTTTACACTTATTATGAACCTACATTCCAACAAAAATCATTATTAATATCCTATAGATGATATTGTTTCTACTTAATCTCAAATTATTTATTCTATCAGCATATTTCGTAATTTTTGTCCATCAGATATAGTCAGAACCAGAGTAGGCAGCATAAAGAACTGACTCAGATGGTTGAGCGAATTTTGGAGATATTACAACAAGCTAGCGGATTAGAAGATGGTAGGGGAGATGAAGAAAACGGTTTTGTGGTAATCAACCATGTTCGTGATATGATTCTACCAGTCGCTGACAGAAAACGTAAGTGCTATTTTCTTCAATTTAGGTACATCATGGCCAGCTAAGCAAGAATGGCACAGGAAAAAAATGATCTGGAAATCTACCTAGGCACGGAACAAAATACTTTTTTGGTTAATGTTATTTTATAATGCACTTGCGCCATTTCCTCTTATAAAAACAGTTTCCTCTTCGCTCTCTAAAAATCAATCATCAAAATTGATTCAAGTTTTGCAAGTAATGTTAGAACGCTTGCCAATTTTTGACATGTTATGCTTGTACGTTTCCATTGTTTTTTCACGGTTAGATAGATTTTGTTTTAGGGTCGCTCGTATGAGTATAGCCCTTATTGGTCCTGCATATAAAAGTTGTTGATAGGCCTTTTCCAAAGGTATAAGAACAATACCTGCGAAAAGCTATAACATTTTTTTGTCTTCTGATTTTATAGGTAAAGAAACTCTGTGGAAAAAAGCAATGCGGTTTATCAACGAGAACGAATCTAGGGTTAGAACAGAAATTCAAGAGGTGAAAGGTGAATCTTTTGAAGTTTGGAGATGGATTGGAAGCTCTAACCTCAGCACTAGCGGGTATGTTTCTTGAGCTTAAATTACGGATCTCATACTGCTTTCTTTTGGTCGACTTTTTAAATCTGTTTGATCATATATCTGATTCGCATTGTGATATACTCGTACACGGGTTTTATGTGATAGTAGATAGATTTATGTCGCTATTTTATAAATCTAATCTGAAATTAGTTCCATTGAACGAACGGTTGGTCCTCTGAATACGGGAAACTTCTTTTCAAGATGAAATGTCTAAAAAACATTTTTATTGTTTGACATTTTTTACCCACATACTAGATTATACTTTCCCGAAGGTGAATCCGATTCTTTATTCCAAATATCTCAATTGGCTCTAGTTTTCTAGATATCCTAACCTAAAAAATAATTTTTAAATTTTTTTTTTCGTCAAAATTTATTGTTCATTCTTTCTTCAATCGGAACTTAATATCAAATAAAAGTACAGCTCTGAAATTGTGTGTGAATATTCCTATTTTATGGAAGAATGTAACGAGTGATTACTTCTGTTCTTATCACTTTTCCTTTTCGAAAAATCTTTGGTTTTCTTGAAGCCTCGTCTCGCAACAAGTTGAGTTCTCGTTCATTCTTCTATAAAAGAGGGATCTTCACACACGATTTCAGCGCTGTACTTATATTTGTTAACAAGTTCCAATTTAAGAAAAAAGCATTTTTTGACAAAAAAAATTAAAACATTGTTTTTTAGACTTCTCTAAACATACCATGAAATTATCAGATGAAATGGATTTAGAATACTGCTGCAAACAGGAAGTTGAAAAAAAATCTAAAAAAGGGACGTGTCACCTTAAAGTACAAGCCTTGCCGTTGCAAATTCAGTTTTCTTAAATATCTTTTTTTTTTCGCAAAAATATGGCACTTTTGAAATTTTTATTTTTCTCATTGTCACTAGATTTTATATCAAAGTTGTGGGTTGGATTATAAAACACCAAATCTTTATTGAGATTAAGCTTTTTATGAAAGAAGACCTGCCAACTGAAAAACCCATAAATTCTCACCCTACCCTATCAAGGCAGAGTTAAACGTTCTTACGAGAATGTATACTTTATCTGAAGTCACTTGAAGTAGCATAAAAACCTTTGGTCGGCGCTTCCTTTGTAATTTCATGTCGTATCATAGGCGTGCGGTCATTTATTTAGAACGATAATAATAATGTTTTTATATCACAATAAATGGATTTTACTATCTTCTTATTTTTTTGATTTGGGATAAAAAATACTTATATTGGGAGTTTAATTTATGTTGACTGAAAGTTAAGAAATGGAAAAATTACAGAATTCCAACGTTTGACATAGGTAAATATTTACATAGCAGGTAGGTATATAAAAAGGTATATAAAGACTTACATTATAGGTATTTATATATCATCCTCGCCTTCGGAGCTGTGGCTAGAGTCATCTTGTAGAGGAATTACAACGGGATTTACAGGAGGCAAAACACAATATTCATTTTCTTTTTCAATAATATGCCTAGAACACTGCTTCCATAGGTTTGTGGCAGCAATATGAGATACTGCATCTCTTATTGTGGCCAATAGCGATTCACTTAATTGAGGGGTCTGATTATGTTTTCTTACTTTTTTTTTTAAAGCAGCCCAGACCAACTCAATCGGGTTAAAAATGCAGTAATAGGGAGGTAGACGTAATACTTCATGGCCATTTTGCTGAAGCAGATTGTCAACAACATACTCTTTTTCAAATTTTTGTCTTTTAATAAGATCCAATAATATGGCTTTGGTTGATTTTTGTGGTATTTCCATTCCCTTATCCTTCATAAAATCAATAATGTCTTGTTTTTTTGTGCCTGTATTCGGAATTTTGTTTCTCTGTCGGGAATGGTATGGCGCATTGTCCATAATAATCACCGAATTTGGGGAAATGTTTGGTATTAACTGCTGCTCTATAAACTTTTCAAATAAGTCGGAGGTCATGTCCTCATGATAGTCGGCACATGATTCTTTGATATTTTTGGCAGATAACAGCAAGGCATTAGGTATAAATCCATTTTCACTGCCAGCATGGAGAATAATGATTCGTTTTCCACGGTTGCATGGTGCATTTAAAATGCACTTGTTGCTGTCGTCAACCCAGCCGTACTGCACAACATCATGGGTATCATACCACGTTTCATCCAGGTAAATCAGATTTCTTTTCTGCTCTCTATAGATTTTAACTTTGTGCAAAAATTCTTGGCGCAATTCAACGATTCGAGACACTCCATAATCACCATTCTTTTATCTAATTTTTTGTATTGAAAACCACACGGTTTTACAATACAGTGCAGTGAGTCTAAGCATTTGTAATTATAAAAATCTTCAGGATAATCTTTTAATTTATCCCGTATCATTTTCAACGTGGGCACCAAATTTTCTTTATAAAATCCGTATATTATACGACGAATATCTTCCTGAAAACCCACGTCTATTCTTTTCAATTTTTGCCCTATGCGCTTTCTGTGGAAGGAATGGTTGACTACATCTCCCCTTTTTATAACCCGATAAATGGTAGACCGACTGATTTTTGTCAGGATACAAATTCTGTTTAAAATTTGATTTTGCGAGGAATCTGGATTTTCGTTTTTCAGACAATCATACATATTTAGGATTACTCTTTGGGTCTGTTCCTCTAAATCTTTATGAAAGAATTCTGCCTGCACAGGTTCATCAACCATCTCCTCGTGGCTTGGAGCATTTTCCCAAGGTCTCCAAAGAGCCATATTTAGGACACACAAGAACAATCAACACAACAATTAAATCAACAAGTAAACTGAGTATTCAAAAGTCAAAAACACACAAACTAATAAAATCTATGAAAAAACACGGACAGACTAAAGAAAACACGTTTATTCACCGCTACACGGCACTGGCTAAACTGTTTCAATTTTCAGTAGCCACCTGCACTTGTTCGGAGCTCTGAAATACACGCTTTCTCATTGGCTATGTCCACGGATAGGCGTGCTTTACTCCACGTGGACCGGTGAAACTGCCTTTGATCTTATACGGGGGATATTTGCTGCGAAATTTGGCGATTTTTGCAGCAACAGAGCGTGTTAAATATAGATATATAAAACGCACCCGGTATTTCACAGTGTTTCAAGTGACTTCAGATAAAGTATACGATAGTAAATTTCTCTTGCGATGATGGCGCCGTCGGGCGGTGAATCTACGTACTTATAGGCCTAACCTCATACTAATTAATCTGCTTTAAACACTATCTATAACTAAATCATCCTATCTTTATTGTACACTTTTCTAATAGCATCTTTTTTTTTATTTCTTCTATGATAATCGGTTATCACTATTATCCGCTGTCTGAAAATGTTTCCATTTTGTAATTCCATTATACGCGAGACGTAGTTCAGCCGTTCAAAATGTTATATGAATATCGTGTTGTAGTTGATGAGAATAGAAGAAATGTCATAAAAATAAGTGCCTCAAATGTGTATTTTGGTGTAGCTTGATCAAGGTAAGTAGAAACGTAACTTGGTTACACCACAATATTTTTATTTGTGCAAGTTTACTTTTTATGATATTTATAACTAAGATTATTAAATTTGCTTGCTAGAACGCCAAAAAATGTATACAAAAGCAGATCATATTAAAAATTAACACCACCGTTCCATGTACATCATTCCGACGTTGTAGTGTATACCATTATTTAGTAGCAATAAATAATTAATATTTCATCTGATTTATTTAGCCCATACCATTTTGATAATCTCAAAGTACGCTAACTTACATTTTTCGTGGGGTTTCAAATTGACGAACCTTTAAAGAATTTGGACTACCTACCTTTAGAAAATTACACATACATTTTACATAATTAAATGATTCATTAGTGAGACGATTAATTTTTAATATCATCTGCTTTCCAGATGCAAATATCGACCTGGTAGAAGAATAGTTGACGTACACTACTTGATAAGCGAAACCCTGAAATTCCCTCACAAAAAACTACGATTTTGCAAAAACGCCGACGTCGAAATCAAGAGCGAATTTAGAGAAGGCTTCCAATCGATCTTGCTCCTATATTGCAAGAACTGCGGCAAGGAACATGCAGTGTGTACTGAGAATGCTGATACAGATCTTATGAATGTTAATGTGGCTTTTGTGTCTGGAATTGTCAGTTTGGGTATGAGTCTGTTCCATTTGAACGAATTGTGCAATGCTATGCAGATCCCCACTGTCTCAGGAAAGGAATATAACATATATTTGGACGAAATTTTCGAGATCTACAAAGATTCTACGAAAGATAGCGAGAGTAACGCAAGTCAAGTGAGTTTGAAAACTGCTACATCAAATAAAGAAGATAGCATCCTGACTGACATGCTGCCTAATTTCGAGGACGATCTTGATAGCCCTACAGGGATGGTTCTGAGGTCCTCCACGCCAAAGCCCGGTCGAAAAAAGGAAGATGAATTCTTGAAACAACTGACAAAGACCCCGGAAGAAATCAAGCAACTGGCTGAAGATACTGTAAACCAAAGGGATTGCTCAGCATGGATGGAAGAACGTAGGAAGCGTCTAACGGCATCGAATTTCGGTAGGATATGCAAGTTGCTTCCATCCACAAGTAAGGATAAGGTTGCCGAGGAATTGCTGTATCCGAAGTTTGCCGGGAACGAGTGTACCAGATACGGGAACGAAAACGAAGTTAAGGCTATCAGGGAGTTTGAGAAGATATTTGGGCAGGTTAGTAACGATTTTTTACGCATTAAAATCGGTTGATCCGTTGTGGGCTACGATGCCGCACACAATACACATCTACATGTTAAACTTATATTTTGGATCGGGGGTTAACAAGTCTCCTTTGTGTCACAACTTTGACGCAAAATTGTCGGCGAACTTTTGATTCGAGAACATTGTAAATCAAAACGACGACGTACGCGAACAAAAACAAAACAACATACTAACCACTGTTACCGTTTGCGATCGATTGCCGGTTCGATAAGAGTGATGATGATCGATGCGCTGTTGTCATGTGTGTTTTAAATATTAAATTTAATGAAACTTACTACTGACTACAAATTTTGGCTTAACTTAGAAAAACTTAATGCCATTTATTTGTTAATTACCCAGTTTAAAAATGTTTTATTATAAAAATTAGTAAGATTGTGCTGATTGTAGTCGATATAAGGCACTTAAAGTTGTAAACTATAAAGCCATTTAGACAAAAAATCTATTGACTTCTGGACCATGGGTCATATGAAATTTTTGACTACCATAACGTTTACACCCTGTATAAAAATTGAGATACAAAAAGGATTGCTGCGCTTGTCCCTCATCGCTGTAAATCGGCATGAATTTGTTCTTACCCAAAAATCAATCTTCCAAGTATATGGAACTATAAATTGCAAAATAGTGCGCAATTGAAATATTGCACTCGTGTTGTTACATCCTTTTTGATGTTCGTACGGGATGTTCAAAAATTTTCCGCCTCGAAAACACTGCTTAAACAAAAAATGATCAGTAAACAACTTGTGATATAGGAAATCATACTCGCACGGTGGTGCGTGCCTACGTGGCGGCGTGGTGCAACTAAAAGGCGATTGGAGATACCTTGTCAATCCGGTTTGTTTCCCGAAAATTAACTCTCAAAACGTGTTTTCCAATGTCAAGTTTGTCCTAAAACAGTGGTTACTTTTAACCAGAAAGCCATATGTGTCTTGACCTTGACTTTGGAGGCCATTTGAAGGTCAACTTGAAAAATATATGTGTATGTTTTCGACCCCGCAGGTGGAATGACTGGAAAACTTTAAATTCAGAGTTGACCTTGATCGCGGCTTTGACTGTGACCTTCAAGATCATTTACAGGTGATCTTGAAATATGAAAATAGAACCGTTATTTATTACCCACATGCGAAGAGGCCGGAAAATTTTAAATTCAGAAATGACTTTCATCGTGGCCTTGAAATATTAAAATGGAACAGTAATTCATGGCCCACAGGCCGAAAGGGCGGAAAATGTTTGGATATGACCCCGACTTTGAAATTACCTGTTAGGGGCCGAACATAATACTTTATGATCTGCTGACAGCATTGGATAGCAAGTCAGCGCAGAGTCAACCTACTAGACGGCATTTTTTTATTTTCTAGGCAGTTAAGGGATGCGGTCTCTACGTCCACCCTCAACATCCCTACCTAGCTGCATCCCCTGACGGTCTTCTGAACGACAATGCCCTTGTTGAAATCAAGTGCCCTTACAAGGCACAACATTGTACACCCGAAGAAGCCGTTCAGAAGAAACTAATCACTTTCGCAACTTTTGAACACGGCGAATTCAAGTTGAAGAAAACCGACAAGTATTATTATCAGGTTCAGGGGCAGTTGCAAGTCACTGGAAGGGAGGAGTGTTATTTCGTCGTTTGGACGCCTAAGGGTCTGTTGTATGATAAGGTGGTTAGGGATGACGCGTTTTGGAATGAAGTGGTGTTGCCTAAACTAAGGGGGTTCTATATGCAGTATATGCTACCCAAGCTTGTAGAAAACGCATAGGATCGGTTTTTAATCTTCCATAAATTAGAAGGTTTTGTCATTATGTTGGTAATAAAGCAAGAAAATGTTCATATTTTTAGCTAATTTTTATTAAATATCATGCTTCAGTTACGAATAGCAATAGAGTTGATGTTTTTTACAAAATAAGGCAATATTCTTATTTTTTCATTTACTTTTTTAAATTGTGCCTTAATATCAATATCACATTATTATATTTTAATATATGGGGTTGTCCAAAATGGACGCAGGAAAGTAAACGCATATTAAAACAAGAAAGATTGATATTCAAATCAAGTTGGGTACTTTATTTTGAAGGTTCGTTTATACCATTTATGTATGAAAAATAATATCGCTCAAATGTTCACCACGACTGGATTTACAGACGTCCACGCGATGGTCGAAATTTTCAATGACATTTTGCAACATGGTCGGTTCTATGGCATTTATCTCGGCAATGATGTTGTTTTTGAGTTCTTGGAGGGTGGCTGGTTTGTTGACGTAGACTTTGCTTTTCAAATATCCCCATAAAAAGAAGTCCAAGGGAGTCAAATCGCACGATCTTGGTGGCCATGGCACATTTCCTCTGCGCGAAATCACGCAATCACCGAAGAAGGACTGCAATCGATGGATATTGACGTTGGTTGTGTGGCATGTTGCACCGTCTTGTTGGAAATAAACATCGTCCATATCCATTCCTTCAAGTTGCGGCAAAAAATAGTCCTCTATCATCACGTGATATCGCTCAGAATTGACGGTAACGGCGTCCCCGGCCGCATTTTCGAAAAAGTAAGGTCCGACGATGCCTTTTGACCACAATGCACACCACACAGTCACTTTTTGAGGATGCATCGGCTGCTCTTGATACTCACGGAGATTTTCGTTCGCCCAGATGCGGCAGTTTTGCTTGTTTACCGTCCCATTCAAAGTGAAATGCGCTTCGTCGCTGAACATGATTTTTGATGAAAAATTGGCATCAATTTGGCGGTGTTCAAGGAGCCAATCTGAGAACGTTCGGCGCGAAAAATGGTCGGCCCGACGCAGCTCTTGCGTCAATTGGATCTTGTAGGCGCGTACATTCAAATCCTTGTGGAGAATGCGGAGCAAACTGGTTCTCGAAATGCCCAATTCTTGGGATCGACGCGTTGTTGTTTGTTTCGGATCGTCTCTCACACTCCCCTTCACAACAGCAATATTTTCCGGTGTGCGAAAGCCCCTTGGCCGGCCAGAGCCTGGCAGATTTGCCACAGAACCTGTTGCCTCGAATTTACGCACCAGACGACCGATGGTTGTTTCGTTTGGGCGGTTGTTGCGACCGAAATGTTCACGAAGCGCGCGAAACATGTTTTTTATTTTTGCACCATTTTTGTAGTGCTCTTGAATAACTTTAATGCGGTCTTCAATCGAATACGACTCCATAGCGTTCAATGGTAAACATTCAACTAACAAAATGAGACGTCAGTGACAGAAAACAAAGATGGCGTCTATGTCAAATTGACATTTACTTTCCTGCGTCCCTAACCCTTTAGTAATCAATATCAGTCATCTTAAGCATATCTTCTATTTGCTGCTAGTGTAACTTTACTCTCTAGTCTTATTTCTTTGTGATTAATATGTATTGCATTTATAGGTATAACTTTGTTTTGTATTCTACTACATTTATAATCACGTAGTGTATTATTATAAATCTATAAAAAAATGTCTTTTTGTTTGTGAGAACATACTATCAATTATGTTGCTTCCATTTAAAAATATGTAACCATTGTGATAATAAATAATCAAATACTCGTACGTGCTTGCTTTACTCTTTTGTTTGACTTACCAGCCTGTATGAACCGTATGCTGTATTCCGGCGTCCACAAATGTATTTATAAAACTATTTTTAAAATAAATAATGTGTGGTTCTACTACCGTCTCATAGATGGCGGTACGACCTTCAATTCATTTTTGGCCTCCGTAATGCTCAATCAATTGAAGATGTCCAACTATAGCTTAAACAAATTAAAAAACAAAAAATGCTTTAATTCGAACTAAAAAGCAGAAAATAATTTTCCAGTAAGGAGAGTTTGTCTTATGGCAATAGTAAGTCCAAAAAATAATGTGAATAATAGTGCGTAATTAATTTCGAATAATATCGATATAAAATCGAGATATTAACAAAAAATCAATTACAGTAAAAAAGCGTGCCAAGTTAAATGTTTGAATGATTTTTGTAGTTGATATTTACAAAATTGGAGTTATTATGAAATCATAGTTAATTGCATCCCACGCTTTTTACTATATTGAATGATTTGTTAATATCCTAATTTTTTTATTAGTCATAGATTTTTTGACGTTTTAGATCGATTTGCTATTGAAGCGTGTTTTTTAAACTATAATTTATTTTCTAAATGTTTAATCTCAAAATACAACAAAAGTATTTATGATGAAGACCTTAGATTTTTGGTATATTTTTTAAATTTCGAAACTACCAATTTTTTCAAAATTCCAATTGTTTTTCAAAATTTATAATTTTCCAAATCTTTCCATTTTCTCCAAATTTCAAAACTTTTTTTTAAATTTCCAAAATCGATTTTTTTCAAAGATTATTGTTTTGTCCCCGTGCAAACTTTCAACTTAATCAGACTTCTTGAAATCGATGAAAATTAGGTTGAAATCTTTCACCTTGATAAAAGCGTGTTAAAATGGATTGAAGATCCTAGTGCCATCTGTTAGACAGTACCAGAACAAAAACACTCTTGAACTCTTTTCAAATTAGATTTCAAAATTCATTTTTGTCTTCTGCTATTGTCTCGTAGGTCCCGCTGGTATCAGATTTCTTTTATTGCCGGCTAAATCTTAATAACAAAGAAATATCAACGTCAAAAGATAGATGTCCGCAGAAGTGACGGAACAGTATATCAAAAAAAAGTAAGATTAAAGAGTAGCGGTATCAATAAAAGGTTGAAATGTAAAAAAAATCGTTATATAATATGATTCACATGATAGTTTTTAGAGTTTTTAGGCAAGCTAAGTAGATTGAAAAACATTCTGGAAAGAATTTTTTAAGAGGGACAAGGGACAATTACTCTATATCTTTCTATCGATTTTGTAAGAACGTATCTCGGAAATAAAGCATTCCAGAACTGTCGACTACATGCACACTCAATGTTATTTTTTATTGATTTAATAAAATCTCCTTTATTTGCATATTGTCATTGTCTTTTATCCTAATACATTGGTTTTAGATCCCCTCCGGGTAGTCCGATTACATCTGGTCCAGCATCTTGGCAAGGGCAAGCTTTTGAAACTGATGCAGGTGCCGTCAACAGTTTGCCGTGTTCTCCCACAACATGCCTCAAAGTCAGAGGCATTACCGAAGAAGGAGGTGGTAAGTAAACGTTACTGTCGTTTCGGCTCTCTTCGACGAACCAGCAACAGCAGATACTAAGGCTGACGAGGTTGATTATGAAAAATTGTTCGTTGGCGTTACTTGGATAGAGAAGCTTAGGAATGTTCTCAAATATTTTACCGCTAAATGTTCTTGAGTATCCTGTTTATACAGAGATAAATAAACCCCAGATTCTTGATGTGTGTCCTAGAAGTTGTCCCTCTTTACACATTCTTTTCTACAATTTTGGTAAGATACTTTCAGCACAGATAAAGATTTCAATAGAGAGTAATAGTTTTCGTAGACATAGCAGTATAATATTTGATGGTGTTTTAAACAAAGATACAGTCAAGCTTTTTGAGTTTTACGTCATGTTGGATTTTTTTTTGTGTCGACACAGCATCAAATTACAATCATTAACTTCCATGCAAAGTAACAAGACATGTTTAAAAATGCGAAATAAATAAAAAAGTAAGAATACACAATGCAGAAATATGTACAGTAATGGACAAAAGTATATAGACAAATATGAATACCTAAATACCTTTAGAAAACGAATTCATACGCCATAAACAAATGCGTTATTAGTAGAAAAACTAAATTCCTTGTTTTTACATTATCTGCAATGAACACTATCCAAGTCTGAATATAAGCACTTTTTTATGAGGGACCAAATATGTAGACAAATTCTTTTCAACATTAGTTTAGTACAGTTTCGTGTCAGAAGAGGATTAGTTTGTGTTCATCAAGTATTGTGGAATAAGTTAGGTGATTTTAAGACCATGCCGCGTGGTCCAGAAATTTCTTTCGATGTGAAAACTAAGATCATTGAGTTATACAAAGATGGTCAACGTCAAGTCGACATTGCCAAAAATTTGAAGCTGAAGCGTAAAGCAGTTTGGGCAATATTGAACAAATATAAACAAAAAGGTATCTTGGAAGCCTCTAAGAGAAGTGGTCGGCCTAGACAACTAAATGTCCAAAGATCCGTTTTAAACCCCAAGACAAATAAAAGCCGAAATCGAGGCAAAAGGAATTGTCAGTTTTTTTACGAAAACTATAAGTAGAGGATTAAATGATTTGAAGTTATTTGCACGTCGCCCTAGTAAGAAGCCGCTAATCTCGAGGAAAAACCGTAAGGACCGATTACAATTTGCACGGTTGCATCTTGATTGGAACATCTGTGACTGGAAGAGGGTATGTTTCAGTGACGAATCCAAGTTCAATATGTATGGATCAGATGGTGTTCATTACGTTAGACGTCGTAGTGGACAAAGATTGAACCACAAGTACACCTTGCCCACCGTCAAACATGGGGCGGGTCTGTTATGGTTTGGGGGTGCTTTTCGGGGTTTGGGATGGGACCTTTACATAGAATAGATGGCATTATGGATAAGTTTGTATACTCAGACATACTAAAGCATGTCATGTTACCCTATATAAGATCAATCTTCCACCAAGATAATGACACGAAGCACACTTCAAATCTCGCAAAGAAATTCTTTCTGGATGAAAAAATACCAGTTCTCAAATGGCCTTCACAGTCTCCCGATATAAACCCCATTGAAAATCTACGGGAATACTTAGATAAGCAAATACGAGATAAGAATTATTCAAACAAGGATGAACTTTTTGCCGATTTAGAGCAAAAGTGGAGACAGATTGATGAAACTTATATCAAGAAACTTCTACAATCTATGCCGAGACGATGCCAATCGGTGATTGATAATAATGGTTATGCTACAAAATATTAACACACACATGGTTGGTTTTCTATAATTCGATGAACTTTGCTCCGTTTTTCTATAATTTTTTTGCTTTGTCTATATATTTTTGACGTTCATAATTCCAGTTTTTTTTATCAATTTTTTATTGAAGGGAGTATAATGAATTTATTTATGTATAAATATTATGCTATAACGAATTATATATACAGGTTGGTGTATTAATAAAACAAGTTAAAAAAGAAATACAGCACAATATTAATTTGTCTATACAGGGTGACTTCGAAGTTGAGTCATTTATTTTAACAGTGAGTAGATCTGATCAAAACAAATGTTTTTTTCCTTTACCATTTTTCTGGTAAAATTAAAGTAACAAAATTATAGCCCTTTGGAAGTTTGAGTACCGCCCTGTCTCAATAATAATATTATGTGCTCGTGTTTGGCGACAACGGATATAATTCGCCTTATCGGTTCATCGCATCGGAAACAAAAAAGCGAAAGAATTTGGAACGATGTTTTTACAATTATTTCATTCAGTTGTATACAGGCAGTGTCAGTCGGTAGTGGATAGTGGTGTCTGTTGCGTGGCTCAAACGAAATAAAAAATGGCACATGTTTATGCGGATCGGTTTCTCAATCGAGTGCAACCAACCCCTCGTGCCTTTGTTAATGTAGTACAACGGGCTCGTGAATCAGGTGACTTAAGACCTCACAGGGGACGGCATGCCGCTGCTCCAAGACCTTACGATCAAATACAGGTCCGCACTGAAATACTTTTCGGAAGGATACTTTATAAAACAAAGTAAAAATTTTTTTTTATTTTTACACACATATTTTGATTTATCTTCCTTCTACAATCATTATCTGAAAATTAATGACTCAACTTCAAAGTCACCCTGTATACTTTTGTCTATTACTGTATGCTGGGCACTAATTTTTCAATCAAAATTTGTGGTTTCAGGTGCGTCTAAAGCACGCCTAGACGAAGCAAGAGAAGCGGTTTTATCCAAATGTGCCCATAGATGTAGGATATTGCACTGCCAGGCAGATCAAAGCACAGGCTGCGTCTACTTGAAATGCGCCACCACTGGAGATGCTGCTGTAGCGTACAGGAATCTACACGGGTGGTGGTGAGTAGATTCGTAATACAGAGTTTTTCAAAAACTTCCAAGAAAGATATAACTTGAAAAATCGAAGAGACTGAAAGTACCGACGGGTATTAAGTGAGGATTCCTGGCGCGACATTGTCTTATATATATTTCTTGTATCCAGGATAATTGAGGTTCTAGGAGGGCAATTACTAGAAGTACAGCTCGGATTTTGATAATATTTTTGCATAGTATCCCTACTATGCCAAGGATGAAAAAGCTTTGTTGTTTTTGAAAATCGGCCCAGGGGCGGCGGGGAAAAAGGGCAACACGAAAAAAGTAAAAATCGCCCAACTATTTTTTGACTTGACGCGATTTTTTTATTGGTGATGTTGCGTCGAAATAGCCAGGACCAATTTTGCGGATAGAGTCGACAGAATTAGCTTCCTTGGTGAAAAAAAAAATGAATGTTAATTTCTCATTCTAGGTACGCGGGGCATCTAGTGACAGTGAAATATCTACGTTTGGAAAGGTACATGCAACGCTTCCCGAATTCTCCATCCGGCGGTCCGCCATTTTTGAAATCTCAAACACCAGCCGCCGATTGAAGTGTGTTAATAAGACAAAAATATCAGGATCGGAATAATTCAGCTAAGAGAAAAGCTAGATTTCAGACTTTCAAAATATCGGAAACGTTCGTCGCATTTTTTTCTTAAATTGTAGCATTTTTCTGTGGAGTACACAGCTCTTCAAGTCACTCTATGTTAAAGTGACACCATGGAGTATGAAATGTATAACTCCACTTAGAAATCTACTGCAATGGATTTGACGACTCGAATATTTGGATATTCACAGCTGGTTTTGTGTTGTAAATAGTGAGTGACGATACGTGCTTAAAAAATAACGCAATCAGTCCACTTAGTAGATTATAATGAAACACTTCATATCATAGTAAATTTTTTATATTCGCGCTTATACTGCAGGCAGAATGGTTTAGTTGTTGACAATATTGACCGCTTTTGAACTTATGCGTGTATGAGTGGTTCCAAATAGAGTTTAAGTGTAGTTCTACACATTTTTCATTGATCTACCAGTCCTAAATCCTGTGATTTCCATGTCGATAATTTCCCATATTTGTCATAACGGTACAATAACTTTGAGATTATATTTCATTTATCCATCTTCCAGGTGACCCTTTGTTAGTTTTTCTTTTCATTTTCATATTCATCTACTGTGTAATTACAATAGTGTGAAAGGTTTCGTAAAAAGCAGTTTTGATGGCAATCTCTTCATGGATGTTGGTCTCCAAATCTTGTAGGGCCCTTGGAAGGTTCACAAAAACCCCCTAGAAAAAAATCACAAAGGGCCAAATCGGGAAAGCGGCCACTCGAAATCGCTCCAATTGAGATGAGGCGCTCTGGGAAGTGTTTCCTTAAAACACATCAGTATGTTTCGTTGTCCCGTCTTGTTTAAACCTAATCTCACATTATTGTAGAAATACACCGTACGCGAATATAAAAATGTAACGAAAAAACCAATGAAGTTTTAAGTCGGATAAATAAAATCTACTGCCAAAGTCATTGTACTGAAGAAGGTTACAGTTGTGACTAAAACTTTTACAATGATTTTCTCAAGACATGTGGTACATCTAAATTCTCTCACTTATATTTTTGCTTTTTTCAACCTTAAAATCGTAGACCAAAATTGTGAAAAAAAGTCTACTGAGATAACTTGTTGTTTCTGGGTAGTTCAGTGATAAATGTGTTTGCAAAAATTGTTACAAAATTCTGTGTATTATTTAAGAAACAGTCCAAATCGTTAATACAGATTCAATAGGGATATAATTAAGTTTGGAAACGTTTTGAGACGACTCAAATTTCGAACCATTTCCTTGAGAATAATACCATTATAACAGGAATGGTGTGAATGTTCTAAAAGTTGCTGAAAATCTGTATTCGCTTTGTATACTTGATTAACAAAAATGTTGTCATATTTTTAGATTTTTTTTTGACGTCTTGTTTGTGTTTCTTCTTTCACTGTGACTAAGACTAAATATTCGTTCCAAAGTTATCAGGTTTTCTGTCAGGAGACAACCATCTTAGAAATAGATTTTATTTTTGCTGTTGCTAAACCAGAATGCAAAATCCTAAGACATGACTTTTCCACCACAAATATTAAAACAAAAAATAGTGCAATCTGAAACGAATCTCGTAGAAAACTTCATAAATTGTCAATCTTTGGAATGGATATCTTGCAATTTTACAAACATTGATATTAATTTTGCTGTAAATGTCGCCGTTTAAATGAATTTTCTTAATGAATTCTGACTTGTACAGAAGACGAAAAAAGGCTGAGTACGTTTTTTTTTATTTATCAATGTATTATATGTTTCTTAACTTAACTCTAGGAGGCATATTTTTTTATAGACACTAGCATAAATTTAATAAATGAATTAGTATTAATGTTGATATTTTAAGAATGTTGGTTTCATTTTTATGTGTTTTTAACATTTAGGAAATCTTTAATATCTGTTATATTTTTAATAAGGTCCTCTGAATAAACGAATCAATCCATCTGAATTGTTTTCAGTTTTACCACCTTTACGCAAACTTGGAGTTAGTTTTTCAGGACATACGCCTTTGGTAAAAATGCACTCACACTGGCTCAGCTTCCCAGGCGTTGTCATAAATTATTTAAGATTTAATGTACGCGATAACAGTTCCAACTTGCTGGTGGAACATACCCCATCTACCAGATTGGATCTGGCAACACCACATCCATCGAGTTTGCTGCGAGTATTTGGTTTGTGGTATTTTCCCATTCCCAATGTTGTGGCAAATGACCTAATAGGCACAATTCCTGGCTGTATTTGACATCTAAGCAGACGCAGTAAAACAAAAATAAGACTTGGAATTAATAAAGTTAGTCGCTGCCACTATTTACAGGACGCTTAAGGCCCGTATCGTCAGTCGACCCTAAAATTGTAGGGCGCGTTTATGGCCTCCTTGATTGTCATACTTCTTTCTCTCCTTCAATAATTTCTAGATTACACTTGTCCCGTGTCAGCGCCAGCGCTCTAATATTGTGAAGATTTGTTTTCCTTTTAAATTGTAGGAAATTTCAGGCTGATAAAACATGATATAACTCAAAACTAAGCACAATTTGATGCAAATTGATGTTTGTGACATAACCTCAAAATAGTGCGCCGACACGGAGAAGTAGAAAAATCGTGGCACAACCAAGTCTGTCGTGGTCTGTTTTCTTCCCTTTTGTGCGAACAACCTTAGTTTTATAGTAGTTTTCGCAGATAAGAGAAATTAGATACGAAAAGTAGTTTCCTGTGTCATTTTCTGGCTATTATTTTGTACTGTTCACTGATTGTAAGTTTAATTGGTGAAAATCATAGACCCTTTGGCCGTAAAATTCAAACCAAAAAGACTGATATTTACCTCCAACGAGTTGTAAAACAAGAAGAAGAACAAAAAACCATAGCAAAACTTTATAATTAATAAGATTATTAGAATTAAATCAGTCTTGGTACACTTTTAAACAAGATAAAAGTTTTTTAGTATTTTATCGCAATATTTCTAGGTTAGAAAGTGTGCACGGAAATGCATTCAATAACCTTAATTCTGAAACAATTTCGTCTACTTGTCATTATTAGTGTAAAGTCGGCAGTAATGGTGGATGCAGTATTCAATAACTCCCCAATTTCGGATCTTTTGATCCCATAAAATAAAATTGGTTATCTACGTTTGGAAATTATTTTTCGATGTTTGCAAGTAGAATAGATTCCTATTTAACAATTCAAAATGTCCGTGTCACCACAATCAAAACAGACTCTACCCGCAAAAACAAAGAGTAATACATTAAACGAGCAGTAAACTCCAAAAACATGGACGAGGTGATTAAGTGCACAACAGCTGCTCTTTCGAGAAATGCAAAGCATCGAACTATTCGTAATAGAATGTAAAATCTGCATTTTTATGTTACCAGGAGCCGGCAACAAATGCAAACATGTTTGAAACTTACTACTAGAACACACGTTTATCTACATTCAATTTGGCAACACTGTCCACATCGAGCTTACTGCGAGTATTTGTCTTGTATTCGTTTTTCCCATTCTCACTGTTTTGGAAAATGTCATTGTTACGTTTTGTCTATGTATTTTGTGGTTTTGTCCCTTAACCTATTTCGGATCTTAGATTGCAAAAAAAAAACTGATAATTGAGGATATCTACGGTTTCATATCGTTTTTAGGTGTTTGGAAGTAAGAGAGATTTCTATTGTAGCAGTCCAAAATGTCCGTTACCACCACAGTCAAAACAGAGTCTAAACTCAAAAACAAAGAGCAAGATATAAAGAAAGCAGTAAACTCCAAAAACTTAGACGAGGTGATCCAAAAAGTAAAAGCAGTGGACAACAGCTGCTCTTTCGAAAAATGCAAAGCTCGCATCGAACTTTTCGCAATAGAATGCAAATTCTGTGACAGACGGTTCTGCACGAGCCATGGTTTACCAGAGATTCATGGTTGCGGGGAAGCTGTACGAAGAGAGGAGAAAAGGAAAATGATGCATCCAAACGCTAAGCTGAATCAAGAGATGATCTCGCAGGCTCATACGAGGCTGAACATGAAGCTAAAACAGTTGCGAATGGAGAGGAAAAAGAAAAAGTAGCTGATGCTATAGGAGTTGAATGAACTAGGACTCTGGCATCAATTATTGTGATATCGGGAGTTTCCTCAACAAAATATAATTACATTTATTTAATATTCTCATTGTCAGCTCTCAAATAAATATAATACACCAACTCCTGTAGACTTTCTTAGTATGATTTAAGTCTGCTGATCATATTTTTATTATTTGAATTGAGAGGAGGGGCATATCAAAAATACAGTTTGTACTTGTCTGGAACCAAAATAAATTGCAGAACATTCGTTGAAAAAAATGACAATGTGCTGGCTTAGTGATGTAGTTTAGTTTTTATTAAAGGGAAGCTCTGATTCAGGCCCGTATCGTCAGTCGTCCCTACAATTGTAGGTCGCCTTTATGGCCTCCTTGATTGTCATAGTTTTCTACTTCTCCGTGTCAGCGCTCTATTTTGAGGTTATGTCACAAACATCTATTTGCATCAAATTGTGCTTGCTTTTGAGTTATATCATGTTTTATCAGCCTGAAATTTCCTACAATTTAAAAAGAAAACATACCTTCACAATAGGAGAGCGCTGACGCTAACACGGGACAAGTGTAATCTAGAAATTTTTTAAGGAGAGACAGGAGTATGTTGTAGGGCGCGTTTATGGCCTTCTTGATTGTCATAGTTTTCTACTTCTCCCTACACTACATTGTAGTGTATTGCCATGATGGTAAATTAATTCGTCCCTTATTATCGCGTATACTTTAAAGAAAAGAAAAAAGAAGCAGCAAAGGAAAAGAAGTTGTTGGGTTAAGCCATGCATTCAACGAAGGCCTGTATTAGGAGCATGCTCTTCAGTAACTCAAGAACTGAAGATGCACGGCAAATTCGGAACTTTGTTTGAATGAATACGGCTAAAGTTCGGTTTATCATAGAGTTAATAGGACCACATATTGCCAAGACGGAACTTCCCCCATTGCCTAGGTGCTTAAGATGGCAATCATATTGTTATGCAAGCTCCAAGAAAAAGTCATGATTACAACTACAAGGGAACATACAGACTACAAATTTTCGTACGTTGACGTTGGATGCAATGGTAGAATATCCGATGGAGGCGTGTTTCAAAACTGTTCATCAGGCGATGGGCTAGAGAGGGTATTATACATTTACCCAATGATCAACCTTTACCTAAGAGAAGAATATCGGTTACATATTGTGTTGTCGTCGACGACGCTTTTGAGATAAAACCGTATATTTCAAAACCTTATCCCTTTCGTGATCAACCTGCCACAAATCGAATTTTCGATTATAGATTATCCAAGTTTTGAGTTTTTCGAAAACCCACGAACCTAGATCCGGAAACTGTGACAGATGTTGTTCTGGCGATCTGTACTCTACATAATTTTTTAATATAGTCCGATTCAAATTATTCATTACCGAGATTAGTTGATGCTGAAGATGAAAAAATTCATGAAATTATACCAGGTAACTGGCGGGAAGAAAATGTTTCTGAACATGTTTTTCTGCCTCTAAAAAGGGGGAATTTGAATAATTATAAACCATCCGAAAAAGAAGTAAGAGATGAACTCAATGAGTATTTTATGACGCCAATTGGGGAAACCAAACCGAAATTTCGCGTAATTCCCGCTAATATTTTATTTTTCGTCTATCTGTTCTTATACTCATTACTTTTAATATCCCACAGGCCAGAATTTCCTTCATATAGACAAATCAAATAGTTTATATCATCTTTTGACCATTCTATTTTAGCGGCCATTATGTTTCAATTCCAGTAAAAAAATGCAAACGCTGGGAGAACTATCACAGTACGATACGAAACGTTTTTCATAATCAAATTCAAGCGGATAACCAAATGGAAATGGTATTTACCATTTTGGGTTGGTATTTACCAATAGGTTCAAGCGAGTGTAGTTATCAGTTTGGTTATAAGATCCGTGACGTCACGAATCAGCTGTTATATGTCATAGTTATCACCGCAAAATTGTGGTATTTACCCATCTCAAGAGTAGTTTTATATTTCTGGTTATTATTTGAAATGTGACAAGTTAGAATTTTGCCGGGTATTGGATATTGTTATTGTACTTCAGCTTCATTTTTGAGAAAAATGATACAGGCTGACTTCAGTTTTACCATAAAGTGGAGCACTTTATTAGTTATACTCATTACGGTTGTTGGGGATACTTTAAATGTAGTTCCAATGCTTAACAAAGTATCCTGTGTAGCCATATACCACAAGAATATTAAAATATGGCAATATAAACTCACTAGATGATATCCACCTGTATACGGTTTTGCTAATTTCTTTTTTCATCATTTCTGCTGAATCAATAAATGTTTTCTTTGACATGCGGAAAAATTTAGAGAATTGAAAGTTATCATAGCTACAAAACCATGGTTCCATCATTAAAAAAAAATCTGAAAAAACATTTCTCTCATGAATATTATGAAAGCTTTCTTATTTAAACTTTCCATATACAGTTGTAGACGAAAAAGCACCGATTATTAAGTGATAATAAAAATAATCAGAAATTATATACGCGCTTTTCTAAAATAACCAACTTGCAACAAAACCGCGGTTAAAACCAACGCGTTCAAGCGATTCGTGTAACTGACGTCATCAACCCGTGTGTCATCTTGAACCATATTACAACCGCGGCACATAACACAGAAATTTTGGTTATTCGCTTGGATTTGATTCATATGTTGCGAGTTACTCTCCAATGGTGGTATCAGTGTTGCCAGGTGGAGTCGACGATATTCGGTAGAATTGTCTGGAATTTTTCGGTAGATTGAATACCGAAGAGTAAATGAAGGCATAAAAATGAAACCAATTTTATTTAACTCAAAACATACTTTAAAACAGAAACACAAAACAAAAATAAACAGTTTATATCTCACTTGAGCTAACTAAAGATAAAATATTCTTAATAAAAAACAGAAAAAGTGTATAAAATAAAAAATGTGTAAGGTATATTGGATAATCATTCTTCCGATTCATTTTTGTGTAAGTTTTTATCAGTCATATTATCTACTAATTTTGCTTTGCCAAATGGTCCATCAGCAGGAAATTGCCCATTTGCGTGTTTTATAAGTGCATCTCTTCCACTTTTGATATTAATATCTTTTCACATACCATGCATCTCGCATAATCGCGCCCTTTATTGCTTTTTTAAGCCAGCCTTGTAAATCTGGCAATTCTTCCTTATAATGTTGGGCACACGGCACACGCACGCGAAATAAAAATGACTGCAAGCCAGGCAATACTAATACTGGCGGAATTCGGAATTACTAAGTACACGAAATCATACAAATCGTACAATACAGGCATGGACTTGCCACGAGCCACTGGGCCTAGGCGATGTAGCCAAATCATCGAGTATCTTCGGTGATTCTCCAGACGCGAAGAATCATCGTATATGGCACACCAATGTCAGGCAAAGAGAATACAAATATTTCTGGTCTAGCACGAATAATAATAGCATTTTTGTCATTCTTTTTATCGCTATGATCAGAAATATTTCTCTTATATATAGCGAACAAAATTTATTCAATTGAAGGAAAAGTCCACTTTTCGGTAGATTTTGCTTTAAAATCGATAGTTCGGTAGACCAGGACCAAAATCGGTAGACCTGGTAACACTGGGTGGTATTAACAAGTATACACTTGAGAAAAGAATTCTGTGCAGCCACTATCCGACAGAACACCGGTTGATCTCCGAGAGTTACTATCAGACGTGTATCCATTTACGAGAAATGCTCTCGAGAGGTACTCGCGAAAGTTTTTCTCGCAAATGGACACCTACCATAAAACGTTTCATGATCGTTTTTAACATTTGTCTAGTTGAAAATGCACAGAAATACCTCAAAATCATTTAACGTTCTATTCGGCTACTTTCCAATAGATGGCGCTGCACATCGGCAGCAACCACAAGGTCCACCGCTTTGAATGACTACCTAGGGCTGCTGAAATCCGTTCAGTAAGCCCAAATCCCCAAATGCACCTAAGGAGGATGCTTTGTTTTTCAACAATGCCAAATCAATACGTAAACTTGGATATAAACTAATCCAAACAAAAAATGGGGAATTTGTAATCCCGCCCTCACGGAGATTTAAGTTTCTTGATCTTTGAAGATGCGTTGCCGTTGCCATAAATAAAAAACCACATACTGATTGAAAAATTATATTTTGCATTAAAAAAATTCCAACTGATCTGCGATCCATTATATGATAACGCACTGCAATTTGACAATAAACAACATCTGATGTTGGCCAAGTTTTCAACTCTGTATATTAATAAATAAAACAGTGCAACACAGCATAAATTATGACAGAATTTTTAAAATTGTCAATGAATAATATCTACATTAGCATTAGCTAAAACTGTTCAAGTAGTGACAATAAATAAATTTTGCGAACACAAAAAAAAGGATCGCGACTACATTTTGCTGCCCTGCAATTGCAAAAATTGAAAGGGATTTAGAATACTGCTGCAAACAGGTAGTTGAAAAAAAATCTAAAAAATGGACGTGCCACCTTGACGAATTTGCATGTTCCAGGCTTAAATTTGCGTCAGACATTTTTGAACAATTTTTGCAGACAAATCCTAAGAAATCGTTTTTTTCGCTATTCTGATGCTGTTTCTGGGCTTTTAGGATATTCTGAACAAAAAAGGTGATTTGGAACTTTTATCTAAAGTTGATAATTTTCGAGATATAAAACAATATTTGAAAAAGTGCAAAATATGCCATTTTCGACCCCGCCGAGAAACAATATTGAAAAATTAAAATGTTAATGTTTTCATTAACAAAATTCCAAAGCGTTTGGTTAACAATTGAAAAAACAAAGGTTTACAATAACAATACCTTTTGAAATCGTTTGAGACTTTGTTAATGCGTTTTTAGAGAATATCTATGAAGTTCGACAACATTAAAATTTCCATTTCTTCACATTGTTTATCGGGGTCGAAAATAACATATTTTGCACTTTTTCAAATATTGTATCCCTTATGTCTCGAAAACTATCGACTTTAGGGAAACGTTCTAATGCACTTTTTTGTTCAGAATGTCCTAAAAACCTAAAAATTATTTGACCAGAGCGAAAAAAAAAAACAATTTTTGAAGTTTATTAAAAAAACGTTCAAAACATTTTTGACGCAAATTTGGGCTTTGCAACATGAAGAATTGTTAAAAGGGCTCCTTTATGAATAAGATTATGAAAAAAATACTGATCAAAATATTTTCCCCATCACATGCGAAGTTACTATATGAGATTGGTTCATTTAAATGTCTGATTGAAATTTTATCCATTAATCAAATTTTTGATTTTAGTCTAGACCTCTTCCAGTTGCCTAAATCTGCATTCCACTATTATTTTGAAACCCTTTTTTAAGTTTGAAAAGAATAATGTGGAAAACTTATATAAGAAAATGGAGTGCTTCTAAAGTTATTGATGCGTTTTAGAATAATAAGATGACATAGAATAAGGCACGGATCAGAAAAAAGTGTACGTCTGCGACTTTTAAGGATCATCAATTAAAAATTATGCATCTACTTTGAACATCTACCCTAGCTTAAGAATAAAACTGACCACTGGGACCTGGATTCCGCATTTGATACCTATCTTGCAAAAAAACGATATGTAACTTTTTTAGTAATGACCTATCTTATTAACCCCTATAAAATTTATGATCGAGTAAAAAATATGAAGCCTTAAATTACAAAATATTTGTTTGAAATCAATAATCAAAAGGTCCGGTTTTTGGGTACTGTAATCTCCTTTCGAGACAACTTGAAAAAATAAACACCTTTGCTTAAAGCAATGAAAAATTATCTGTAACAGAAATATTCCAATAAATGAAAGACATAGCAACAGCAAAGACAGCAAAACGAGTGAAGAATATCAGCGATGAAAACGTCATTGAAAAAAAATGTCCCTATGTGAAGAACACTCCAAAGCCGAAGGTTTGCTTCATGGCATCCCAATAGTAACGCTGCCAGTTGTCTTTCGTCACGTCCATTTCTTGCTTGGGCACCCCTACTTGCTCTAAAGTTACTTCAGTGTGGTCATCCTGAAAATATAAAAGAATGGAGTCCTAAAACGATCAGGAGCAAAAAAACAACATAAAACCCTTTTCGAAATTTTGCTGTCTTTTATTGTGAGGCCTGAATACCGCGGTAACCGTTTTCTTTTCAGTTTTAAAATAAACAACAGTTTATCTCACTATCTTACCTTCTGTTTTATGTCAATGGTGACCGTCGAATAATGTCCTTCAGGCCACTGCTTGTACCTCCACTGTTTCACGATTTTCTTGGCCGGCGCCAACTCCTCGAATTTGCCGCTAATGTTGCCCCCAAACAGGGAGAATTTTCCCCCTTCAGTTGGCTCTAGTATTACGTCGCCCCTGGTGAATGCCGTGACCAACTCTGACCGCGTCAGGGCGTCGTAAAATTCTTGGGCAGTGCATTGGAACTTTTGGGTTTGTTTTATGGTACATGTGTCGATCTTTAATCCTGAAAAAAAAGCATAGTGTTGGAAAGTCTTCATTGCCATATAAGGTTTTTTTCTATAGCGAAGCTACGCATAGATACCAGGTCACCAAGTATGTAACGGGTGGTTTTTTAAGAGGTATAGGATTTGATTTTCAAAAAAAACACAAAACATTTGAAAAAACGATTAAATCTTCATTTGAGTCGATAGAACGGTCGATATAATTTAATGTTTAAAGGTTATTTCATGTAAATGTTGGCCGCGGCTCCGTTTTAGATGGCTCCTGAGCAAGGTCCAATTTTGGCACACTCTCTCCAACATATGGGCCGGTATCTCACGAATAAATGCTTCCATATTGGCTTCCAGTGCGTCAATAGTTGCCGGTTTATCCCTGTAATAATAGTCCAACGGCGTTAAATCACGTGATCTAGGCGGCCAATTGACGGGCCCCAAACGTGAGATAAACTGTTCACCGAACTCGCCTCTCGATAGGGCCATTGTTTCGTGTGCGGTGTGGCATGTGGCACCGTCTTGTTGAAACCACATGTCAGCCAAGTCCAGCTCTTCCATTTTGGGCAAAAAAAAGTTTGTTATCATCGCACGGTAGCGCTCGCCATTCACAGTTGCGTTCCGGCCATTGTCGTCTTTGAAGAAGTACGGCCCGATGATGCTACCGGCCCATAATCCACACAAAACAGTGATTTTTTCGGGATGCATTGGTAGCTCTTGCAATGCTTCTGGCTGGTCTTCACTCCAGATGCGGCAATTTTGCTTGTTAACGTACCCATTCAACCAGAAATGAGCTTCGTCGCTGAACACAATTTTTCGATAAAAATGTGGATCTTCCTCCAACTTTGCCAGCGCCCATTTACCAAATTGGCAACGTTGTGGGAGGTCGTGTGGCTTCAATTCTTGCACCTGCTGTATCTTATCAGGTTTTACACCCAAATCCTGTCGCAAAATTTTCCACGTAGTTGAGTAACAGAGGCCCAATTGCTGCGAACGGCGGCGAATCGACATTTCAAGGTCATCACTAACACTGGCGGATACAGCCGCAATATTTTCTTCAGTCCTCACTCTACGTCTGCGTGTTGGTGGTTTAATGTCCAATAATGTAAACTGGGTTCGAAATTTAGTCACAAGCTTCCGAATAGCTCCCTCAGTAGGCCGACCAAATTGCCCAAAATTGGAGGCAGTGCCCGGTGCACTCTCTTAACCGAGCATGAATTTTGATAGTAAAATTCAATAATTTGTAAGCGTTGTTCGTTCGCAAGTCGATTCATGGTTAAATTATAGACCAAACTGTACAAGTATGACAATGACACAAGACACGATTCACGCGTCATCTGTCAAAAACAGTGTTGCCAAAAAATCACCCATTAAAAGGAAATTATGCTGCCGCTCCCGGTATGTTTCTATAATATAAACGGTGATTTAAAAAAGCAATTCTCCACCCCTTTATCTGACTCTGTCACTTCATATTTGTACAGTATCGAAACTTACCTAATTGCTTATTTTCATTATTTCCAACAGGGTCCATATTAATCTTCTTATTGAAACCACTAGTTAGGATTTTCACCGAGTCAGGCTTAACTTCCCCTTTCTTAGGAAGGATCATGCCTTTTGAGAATTCTTCTTTAAGCCCAGAAATATATTTTCCTAACTGTGTTCTAACAAGTTCTTTGCCCTCTTTCATCATTATTTCTTTAAGTTTAGAGCCATCACCATCATCCGTTTCTAAAGACACTTGAATCTAAAATTGATTTTTCATTATTACGAAATTTATAAGAAAAAATCATAATTTGTGAATATCTTAATTTTTATTACTAACATCTAGTTCTGAAACATCGTTTTCTTCCGACAGGTTGGGAATCTTGATCGTGCCACCATATTTTTTATCAGATCCCTTGACGTTACCATTCCATTTTAGTACTAGATCCCACTCATAGAAGAATATGAGTTTGCCTTTTCTATTATTTGCTGATGCTTCTCCTTCTATTTTCTCTACTTCATCGATCTTCAAGTTTGCAGCATCAGTTTTTACAGGAACATCCTTCAAGAAGTAAAATAAGAATATCTAACATGATACTAAGACTGTTGATATATAATATTTAAAGTGAGAAGGAAATTTCAAGTCAAAGCTAGTACTACAATACGATAATAATTGTCTCTGAAAGTTGTAATAAATTATGGCGCGAAAAGACATCCCTCGTATTATGTGCAGTGTGCATATATATATATATATATAAATATATCTCTGATTAATTCATTAATTGTTTTTACCTTGAAAAGTTCCTTTATTCTATCTTGAGACCATGGGCTGGCATTTTTTTCTGTCCAGTGCCAGTTGTTGACATTTGTGGCATCTGGTCTTTCTTCCACAATCCATCTTGGATCTCCTTCACCCCACTTGGCCATGGTTGTGGTACAGTTGTAGAATCACAGACAATTAATACCTATGCAGAAAATACAAGGACTCTAAAGCATAAAACAACAGTATAGTTGCCATTCAACTTTGTCAAAAAACATTTAATAAAAAATATTAAAAACTGTTGCGTGTCTATGATCTAGATGGAAATTTGTTTCCTAGGCAAATCGGGATCGTAAATTCCGAATTCGATGTCAATTCAGTGCTAGGATTCACAAATAGTCCCAGCTAAATGGTTTTTTGCCAATTTTTCACCCCAAATCACGTCTGATGACACTATGACATTCATATTCAGCGCTCCAAATTACTTTATTGTACAGAGCTTCGCTCACATGTAGCCATCAATAGTAAAAATCGTAGAATAAAGGTCATATGAACGGCATTTGAAGCATTTTAATGTATAATTATAAAAAGGCACAAAATAGGTCAATCATCAACTTGCCTTATAATTCGTTTTTTTGGGTCGCTGATACCGATTCCAGGGTATATTCAGTCCGAAAATGCCTCGTTCTCAAGATACAGGCAAGAATTCAACTTTGTCAGAAAGCAACTAATAAAAAAACTCTAAAAACTGTTTTGCGACTATGATCCAGATGGAAGCGAGTTTCCTTGGTAAAAGGGGTGCGTAGATTCTGAATTCAATATCGATTTAGTGCTAGGATTCACGGGTAGGCCCGGCTAAATAGTTTTTTGTCAATTTTTCACCTCAAATCTGGTCCCATGATACTTTGGATTTTTTGACATTCATATTTGGCATCCCAAATTACGTTATCGTACAGAGCTCCATTCTGTAGCCATCAATAGTAAAAATGGGTTTTCAGCACCTTAAAGTCTCAAAAAACGCATAGTTTTCCAATTTTTTGCTAAATAATCAGATCGACATGTTAAATGACTTCGGACTTGATTTCAGCCACCCAAAATACATAGATTAAAGATCATAGAAGTAATATCCAAACATAAAAGAACACTATGGTTGTAGTATAATAGTAGTGCCTAAAGGTATCAAAAAGCATAAAAGAACAACATTATTGTAAAATAGAGTCAAAAGTGCAATACCTACACATAAAAGAGCACCATAGTAAGAATATCACAGAGAATATCTAAACATAAAAGAACACCTTGTAACACCTAAGCATAAATTAATGCCGTTGTAAAATAGAATTAAAAATCTAATCATAAAATACTTTGGTTGTGATATAGCAAAACAATCACATACAATACTTAATAGAACATAAATAGAACACTATGGCTGTGATACAGTACAAGAATCACAATACCCAATCATGAAAAGCACATGTACTAAACACAGTCAACAGTGCCAATGCAAGTATACAGCAACATACATGTCTGTATTACACGAGTAGAAACACAGGCATAAAAGAACACTCTATCTACAACTATATTGAGAAAAGTGTTGATATTTACGCATGTTTTGGTTCCCCTATCATTTATCAATATATGGTTCACTTTCTTCAGAGGAAGTCATGAGTTATTTAAGAAACAAAAAACATATCCACTGCGAGTCCACTGTATTTTGAACAGAACAATTGTAAAAAGTGTGCGCCCGCAAAACCGAATTTAAATATCGACCTACCTAAGGTTATGAAAATCACCCAATATATATATATAGTTTGTAACTTGGAACAGCTGTAAAATCTTTTTGAAACCCTAAGTACGCTGAAGCTAGGATAACCGCAGCTATCACAGCACGAGCACGCCAGTTCAGTAGCACTTTCTGTTAAAATTTGGGAAAATTCTAGAAGATTTCTAGTTAAATTCTTTGGAGGTTCTAGGTTTTGAAGGCAGTGACAGTTGACGACATGTGACGGAATGTCACAAGAGTTCTAAATAGTGACATCTAAGAAGAAGTTAATGTACCTCTAGATTAAATACAGATTTCTTTTATACATTCTAAATAGTTGGGTATATCATTGATAGATGTTGCTAGCAGTGAACTGGTGGCGACATCTAGTAGGGAAAATAGTAATATTTCTTTATAGAAGTAGGTTCTTATTCCAAAATTACTATTGTTAAACGGTCTAAGGATAGATGTCGCCCTTACAGTTGTATTAGAGACATCTATTAACAGATGAATATACTAACTTCTTTTCTCAGGCAAATTTCTGCATCCCTTCACAATAGTGTGTAAGTCCTAAGCAGGAGATGTCACTGTAATGATGTTATGGTGATTTCCCTCCCAGATTAATTTTCTCAGCAATCATAAAATATAATAATTTAGTAATTCTCCAAACAGTAAACAGTTTCGTAATCAGTGATCAGAAAAACGGCAGCATAATTTTCAGATCACTTGATTAAGTACGTTTTTTGGAGAGTGACTGCAACAAAAACGGCTCTTCTTACCGAAATCAAACAAGAATGCATTTTCAGTTAAATTATTAGGCTTTCAGAAAATATTATTTTTTGGTCATTATAATACAGGGTGATTTAAACGAGTTGCTTCCATGGACACAATCAAGTAAGGCTATCAAAATTTCCTTGATGTATCTGTCATTCAAAATTTACGATTTCCAGTAGCGTGCTTAGGGGGGCTGTATGGAACATTTTCTCGTACTACACATGTGGCATAATTTTTTTGTCTTCTATATAAGAGACATAGATTTTCGGACATCCTGTATAAATTCGAAGAACTGCCCACATATTCTGAGATACTCCGTACAGCCATATGTTTTACAACAAAGCACATAGCGCCCGTATTACGTGATATCCCTAATTAAGGCAGATGTCGAGTGATTAAACAAAATAAGAGATTTGACGTTCTCCGTATCAAAGCCTCCCTTAAATGAATCTTAATCAATTAACTAAAAAAATAATTCGTTATACGTCGAAGTCGAGGTCATGTGGGTTTCGTTAGAGTTTAAAAGCGTTTCTAAATTGTCTTTATGGCCTGACGGTTTGTGTTATTTTATTATACGGGGGTAAATAAGCGCTTGATTAGGCTTTTGATTGAAATGGCCGAGATACGAGACTTGAGTGTCCGGCAAGATATCTTCAGTCATGTTGAGAAATAAAAAAGATAAAATATATAAGGACCCTCTGGTAGGGAATAACCAATAACCATTCTGATGAAATGCCCTGCGCACTGCCATGATCAGTCGTACTTACAGCGGATGACTATGGAAAATAGATTTTTCTATGAAGGATAACTCTTGAAAGATATCAGGTATCTCTTGAATAGTTTTATTGGACACAGCCGTTGTGGGAAATTGAAGAGACCATCGATCACAGTGATCACGGAAATACATTAGATTTTCAAAAAACGTTACTCTCATCAAAAAAGACTGCTCCCACATTGAACATTGTTTTGTTGTAAAACCAATATAACTAAATATGGTTTTGTGGTGATATTTTTTTGTATACTTAGTAAAACCGCGGGGCAGAAAGAGACGCTAGTGAGACTGACATTTTTTAATTTTTCTACTCGAATGTAATAACAATTTTATATTGTCACCCTCAAAACAACTTCCTTTTAAAGCCACACAACAACATTTTTAAAGTTTTTGAAATTCTTGAAATTGTTGAAATATTTGAAATTTTTGAAATTTTTGGAATTTTTGAAATTTTTGAAATTTTTGAAATTTTTGAAATTTTTGAAATTTTTGAAATTTTTGAAATTTTTGAAATTTTTGAAATTTTTGAAATTTTTGAAATTTTTGAAATTTTTGAAATTTTTGAAATTTTTGAAATTTTCGAAATTTTCGAAATTTTTGAAATTTTTGAAATTTTTGAAAATTTTGAAAATTTTGAAATTTTTGAAATTCTTGAAATTTTTTTAAATTTTTGAAATTTTTGAGGATTTTTAAAACTTTTAAAAGTTTGAATATTTTGAAAATTTCGAAATTTGCGGATCACATGTTCCCCTGACCTCCCTTCAAGCTCGGCGTCTCCAGTGTTGCCAGATCGAACGCTACTTTGCCACTCTCATTATTTAACTTACAGACCTCGTACAGCGCCATCTATGAGCACCGATGATTAAACATAGCAACAACATAAGGTAATTTCACAATTTCTGTGTGAGTGATATAGGAAGCAACGTTTCGAATAATTTTCTTCATGAACAATTCCGTTGGCGCCTGCTAGATATCTCCCGATTACGACCTTATTTGGGACACAATCATCGTAATCGGTTCCATAGTCAGAGGCAGGATGTGCTCGATTCGCATACAGGAAAAACGAGTTTAACTTCCATAGATATGATGAATGTCACGCTTATTCTAATCTGCACAATATTATCTAATAGCAACTGTTATCAAGCCTTTTCAAGATTCATGCATACATAGGACTACTATATAATGAATAAACACTTTTTGTAAATATCCAATGGATAAAGACAGGTGAAAAATCACCAGATTTGGTGTATAATCATCACACCCGGCAACCCTGATTAATTTTTAATGGCGTGGTAGAAAGGGGGTTGCGTAAGTATGGTTGCCTATACGTTCAGCTTGACGCAAATATAAATAAAACTTTTCGGCTTGGTAGCTCTGTACGTCCGTTAGTGCATTATTGGAAATTGAGCCTCAGGTGTTCTGTCGTGGAGGTTGTTAATTGTAAATTCAGACAAACGGATAGGAATACAATCAGATAAAAGGGGTTTCATTTGATTGAAAGGAGATGGTAAGTAGTAAGCATCATAGCAATCTAACCGCAAGAGTGTTCAAATGTCGCTCGCTTCATCTACGTGTGTAAGCGCTACTTGTGCATTGTGCATAAACTATTATTATTCATGTTTCTGATGCTATTTCTCTATATTGAAAGTTGTACTAGAAGTTGCTATACAGTCATTTTACTTGGCGCTACTTCTTGAAAGTATGAATTTGTATCGGCAATCATTTTCAATTCGATGTTCGCTACAAAGAGCATCTGTGTCCAGTGAAACTACTCAAATGCGCTGCTTCTTATAAATCCTTCCAGAGTTATCCCCGATAGAGAAATATGTTGCTGTCCCCCAAAAGCTAGTTGTGTCTCGGCACGTTTTCGGTTCATAGGATGTTGTGGGAGAAATCTAAGGGACTCCAGATGTAGCGGTCATCTATCCTCGCCAGTTGACGTTTCAGGATTATAGGCTGGGGTTTGGCGGAATGTGCGCTCGCTCAGGTCCCTGGTTTGTCCTTTCTCATACATCAAAACTACTGACATGGGATACCCACACATTTTTGCAAGTAAAATGGTGTTGAATTGCGTACATTTCCAACTAAGTAATAACGAATCTTGTCCAGCGTCTGTTTTATAATAACGTATGTCCATAAAGTTTTGGCACAACCTTCATTGGCTTTAATTTAAACAAACACATATTAATATCAAGTTGCCTTTGGAAACAATAGTTCATCATGCTATCACTCATGAGATACCCCAAACAGAGAAATTGATCCGACCCGCACGGGTATCATGTAAAAAACCTACAAAACGTCAAAAAAAACCTATAAGATGTCAACTTGCAGACTAGGTAGTTTTTAGGGCGCAAATAGTCATTCCACGTTTGCTCACTAGGATCGTTGTGAACGTCCATCAACGCATTATTGGTTGCATAGCTTTGTGAGGCTGAATGATCCGGGCCTGTCGTTTTTATCTCAGAAGAAAGTTGGTTGAATAGCAAGATCGCATCTGGATGATTATGTGTATTGGTCTGCATGTGTATAAAATCAGTGATATTTGCTGTGTGAAAAAATCATTACTGAATATGCCGAATATGACGGTTTATTTATATGTTGTGCTTTCTGGAGAGAGGTTATGTTCAAAGTTATAAATTACGAAAAACTGACGAGAATCACCGCGCCCGCGTTGTGTGTAATTACTGTTAGCATGTATATGGCTCGTAATTCGACAGTGTACAGTGAATATAATTATTTCTTATATCTCTCATGTTTGAAATTCAGCAAATTTGTATATGTAATTTCCAGAATGGATAAGAAAAAGTGGATGCGCACCTAATTTCTAGCTTTGACTCTCAATTAAGTGTATTTGAGACAAGAACCCAATGCGATTATCATCAACACATACAACTTACAGCCTAGACCTCCAGTAATGCCATCTCAGAAGCAGGTTTTACATCTCATCAGAGCCAAAGATTGATAACAAGTCTCATGATGACGTTTAGGCAACACGTACAACTAAGTGCTAAGTTAACATCTTGTAGAGTAACATACATAATGTCAAAAAAAACAGTATAATGTCAAAAAAAATCGGCATAATGTCACTTTTCAAGATACGTGATACCCGTGCCGTCACTAGTATAGTTTAGTTAAGTATTGAGTTACAATTTATGATAACTAGTTAGTGTTTAAATAAATTTCTTCATTAAAAAACTCCGATAAATATTGTGCCAAAACTTTTAAAATATACGCTAATAAAGCGAAAATAAAAGCTACATTTGACTTATTTTTTTTTGGTATTTTGACATCGGCTAGTTATGACGTAGCTTTTTGAAACATACGAGGTGTGGCGGAAAAGTAATGAGACTAATTTTTTATTCGCAACAGTACATGTTCCTAACCGACATTTTTTTCAGGGGATTTCAATTCCGCTTACTATACTAAGTGACGTATAAATCCGAATACCCAGTTTAAATGGTTTTATTTTAATAAAATTTTGTATAAGTACTTAATGAAGCATTATAAGTAAATGATAGCATGATTGCACTGCTTTAAAGCCCTTTGACCTTTAATAATGTGTGGATGCACCCTGATGTGCTACGCATTCTCCAACGCGCCTAGGCATGCTTCTGATCAGGTGGTCAATGTCCTCCTGTGGTATCTCATTCCAGGCAACCACCAACTCCTCTCGAAGTGCTTCTAGAGTCTGAGGAGGACGTTGCAAATTGAGCAATCTCCTACCCATCATATCCCACACGTGCTCAATTGGGGATAAG